GTTGTCATGTTGACAGGGCATGGTATCTTCGTTCCGTGAAAACCGCCCTGGCAGTAATATCCCTCTTCACAAGGCACACATTCTTTCGGAGAACCTGGCAAATGCCTATAGTAGTAACCGGGACGACAAGCACACCTTCTCCCCTCTTCTGTGGCACTTCCGATAACATCAGTATCAGCGTTCTTGTAGCAGCCGCCACCAGTACATGGTTGGGCTCCCACTATACTCTTCCACGTACCTTTAGGGCATGGATGACAGCGTGGAGTTTGACCTTCTACGAGATAGTATCCAGGGGCACAGGTACACTGACTAGGAGACGTAGCGCCCTCATCAATTGTAGACTCGTTTTCTGGACACTTGCTGCATTCTCCCCATTTCGAAAGGTTACTTTCGATTATCATTATGGAGTTGTAGGACCCTTTCTCACAGGGTAGGCACCCCCTATGCTTGCGCTCTTTATGGTTATTGAAGTAGTGGCCGTCAGGGCAAGCTAACGAGAGTGTCTTATAGATGCACTTGGCATCTATCGGTCCTACTGCTGATATACGCAAACGTACAGTAATTCTGTTGATACTACGTACATGAATTCGAAGAATACCGTCTGGTGACACTGCTATTGTATTTTTCGAGCCAGGGTAAGTGTCTAGCTCTAAAGGAGCCATGTCAGGGCCGATTGCGTGTGCTCCTTCATGAGGTTTGGGGCCCTTTTCGACACACTTTGAAGGTCCTTTGTTGTCTCGCCAGGGATCTGATATCAAATCGAGGTCATAGCGCGTCAAACTGTTGAAATGTGTTGGCGACCCTTTAATCTGTGGCTCAAACGTAATGTCCCTTCCGATGAATAGCCACTCGGGAATCGCATAGTCGAAATCGCTCACCCTAATGGTCTCCTGTATGCTCAGCATAGTTACATACCCGCCAACTTCATTATCCAAACCAAGACCCTCCGTCCTACGAAATAATAAAAGGTAATCATTTTTGACAGCAGAGTTCTCCTTACGCTTCGCCATGTGTACCCCCTTTATACCAAAATATGAACTGTAAGGTGCGCCTTGGAGTACATTTTTGCCATAAAAGTGGAGTTGTTCTTGTTCTCCACGTTGGTCAACAATGAAAGTGAGGATTGCGGGTGTCTCGCTTTCAATTAAATAGACGAAATCCATCGAATCATAGGTCACTGTTTCTACAGAATCTGGGTACATTAGAAGGGGAATAGGGGTAAGATTTGTTTGTTTAGAGCCAATGTTTTCCTTAGAATCGGTTCGCTCTCCGGTATATGCCTCCTGGAGAATCATTCGCGCATCGTTCAGATTAACCTTGATCCATAGCAATGTACCCGTTCGTTTTTGAGTGATGAAACAGTTTACCGTTTTCGGTTGGTTCGAAGCTGGTTGCGACGATGTACAGGGCCCTCCACTCGTTACTTTCGTGCAGGCAATCTTGCCTGGCTCCATAATATGACTAGATATTCCATGGTTTGTCCTGCACAGTTTGTCGGATGGTACAAGGTTCGAATCCAATAGGTATATACAATTGTCAACAGCGTCGGTAACGATGACCATGTATCGTTGACGGCACTCCAAAGAGTAGTGAATCACCTTCATGTCTACTGCCGCGGTAAACGTGGCGCACCTATTTACCGCACATGGCGGGGGCTGAGGCATCAACGCGAAATACAATGCATCGCCTCCCGTGATGGTAAGTTTGTATGACATTATCGTGCTGTTCCCCTCTGAAAGCAACAGGGCGGAAACGGAGTCGTAGTTAACTAAAAGTTCCAAGGCAATAGGCCTTTCGACATTAAACTGTCCTAGATATTTTGGGGAAATCTTACTAGGTGTCATCCCGAATACCATCACCTTGTTTGCCTCTTTTAGGCACCAAAAGCTTATAACTTGAGGATATCTTTCATCCTCGGTTACCCTTCTGTCTGAACAGTCGCACGCATGGCTAGTGATGAATCTATGGAGGTTGACGCGTGGTTTAGCAGCAACCGAAACCTCCTTTCCATCCAAAGAAACTGTAGGCGACTCCTCTACCTCTAAATTCGTGTGAAGAGTCAATATATCCCATTCGTCCTGAAGCACGTATGTCGATACGTTGCTGGGGATCTCCTTGAAATCAGGATGAAGATGATGCATATCATGATCCGCATAGCTAAGTTTCTTCCCCCGGCCAAGTTTAGTTATTCTGCCATCCTCCTGGAACACGCAGATGTCAAACCCAGTGAAAGCAGCCCAGGCAGAATGATTCACGAATATCTTATCTGCGCGCCATATTGTCTCGCCCTCATCTATAGCTGAAGAAAGTACGGGAGAAACTGTTTCAGAGAATCCAAATGGTTCCGAACATTGATCATTAAGTTTCACTTCTGACAGTATTATTCCCACGGGCACAGTAACAATTTTCCAGCTCCTGAAGAATATGGATTGCGCCAATTCACCGCTAAAGTCGCTTTCAATATCTGCCAACGAGAAGTCGATGTTAATATCATAACCCTGAAATATGTAATAACCTAATACCATGCGCGGGGCTGCATTTGCCTCCGGGTCAGGATTCTCTGGCATTTCCTGGCAAAGTGCCAAATAGGCACCAGTGCGTGCTACATGAATTTTTGTCGACTGCCGGTATTTTATGATTGTGGCTCTTGGGATAACTTCCCTCATATTGGGGAAAAGGGAAGTTCTATAGCCATGTAGCGAGTACATGGTGTGAATGCGGTTTTCTTCGTCAGCCTTTAACAAAGCATCCACAGAGAGTAAATATTCGGCACCTCCAACTTCATTGTCGGATTTATTCAGACGATCAGTATGAACCATAGATATTACCGCATTTTCAGGAGAATTATGATTTACGAAAACATCCATCGCATCGGTATAGATAAGGGGTTTCTCATTGAAGGCCATCCTATCTATTTTTATCATACCCAGATCTATAGTGTGGTCTGCATAGTTGTCACACCAGTTAGATGTTAAGGATTTCTCGTATGTCGTGGAATAGAAACAACCGCATATTCTCACTGTCACAGGGATGCGTGCCATGGCTTTAAAACCCTTCAACACGTGGTAGGTTACCTTCGTGCCATCCAAAGACGGATATTCTTCACGTTCTTCTCGTGCCAACTGTAACGACCACCTACCAGTGTAAACGTCATATGGCTGAAACTGGAACCATCGGTTGATCGGTGGCCAGTCTAGTGGAGTTTCGTGGCACTTATTTAAGAAGGTATTGATTTTGATGCTTACATTGTACTTAGGTAGGTACGGCTTGATCCACATGTCAAAGAATATGCCAGGCTGCACTACCAGCGGAGGGGGTTCGTCTCCTTGTGGATATAAATCTGCCATATTATCCCTCGTTGGGCACTCCTCCATTTCATCGTCCAAATTGACACATGTTATCACATCATCTGTAACAAATCTACAGTAGTTACGTATAAGGGAGCTTTGAAGACTTGCTGGAAACATCGACTTATCTACTTCGCTCCAATTTTTGCAGATTTTACCAGAGATAGTACTGGACAAACATCCAGTATATATCTTAGGCTCCGAATCATATATGCGTTCGTCGCATGCTGTAAATCTTATGTAAAACGAGATTTATGCACTTACGGCAACTTGTCACATAGTTGTCCCAGTCTATTTTTGCTTCTTCCAATGCGCGCAGAGGAGTGGCGTTTACTGGATCCCCTGGACAAGTAACTACCAGACCACATTCGTCCACGCAAAACGATAACTTCTCATAGTCAAGCCCACTTTCAGGGTAGCATAAAAACTTGTCACCAAGCAGACGCATAACCGCTCGCTTACCACACAAGTCATTTAACGCCTTTTGCAAGCTTGAATTCACTGCATAGATATGGGATTATAATAGTTTTACATACCACAGTGGTGACTTCGTAGCCTTATTAACCGATCTAGATCGATTCGGTGTTTCGAAATTTTCCTTCTCGGCAAACCATAACAGGAAACACGTTCACCGCAGTTGTCGAGACATATTCCATTACTTGATGAATAATCGAACTCAATCATATCAACGCAATAGCATTTCACTGTATCCTCGAAATGGCATGTTGCACATGACGTGACTCCTTCACTTTTCATCAGGCAATAACGGTCCATCTCGTGTTGGAAATTGGAATGGTTTTGACGATATCCTGTACAAATGTAAGTTATTGATTCTAAATTATGTAACGTAACATACTCATGAAGTTTTCATCTGATAACTATTAATAAACTATACATACCGTGCCAACATTTGCCAGGTGACCTGAAGGGATGTATGGGTTTTTTGTTTACCCTGACCCATTGTTTAAGCTCTATGGTCATAAACGCTCCTCTGTCCTCTTCAGTCACTCTTTTAGCGCTATTAGCCATCGATGTCATTTTGTTTTCATCCTGCAGAAATATTACCAAACGCGGCAGAGGGGTGTGGACCACTCACTGGATACGTAAAAATCCATTTTGCCGGTTGACCCAGGACGGACCCACAAAGCTGCAACAGCAGCAATAAGCATAACCAACATCTGTACCCACCCATCGGTATAGACAGAGGCCAGGTTGTGTGTTTGGTCCTAGGATGCACCGTGTACAGAAGGTGGAAAATTGATGCGTCTAACACACTCCAACTAATGTTTATGTCATTCCAGCACGTGCTATGAGTGACACACTGTAATAAGGTTATATATTTAATATCTGGTACGTGAGAACCGTACTGTACCACCACCATTGCTTCCCCTTCTTCAAGGGGTTTCATAGACTCAGTGGTACCTTGTGGCCACCGGTGAGTCAGGCACATCGGTCATCGCGACACTGGGATAGTGTACAGAATAGGCTGGGTGTGTTCCCTACAACCTACGTATTATGTCATATGCTTCATGCACTTGGCACATACAATAGTAGAAAGGCCATTAATGTGCCCGTACTGTCTCATTAAAAAAATCTACAACAAACTCACTACCAAGTGCCTTCCCAACCATGACGATACTCAACTATCTCTATTCATGCCACGTAGACAGAGTAGAGGTAGTTGCGATAGTCAGGGTCAAAGAATGCCCTTGATGCTACTTGTGCGGCCTGAACCAGCAGATGTCTGGGTGTGTTCTGCATTTTTGCCGCTTCTTTCTCTCCCCATATAGCATTAGAAACGAATGCTTCGGCTTCTTCTAAGAGCGTGACCGCTTTTGAGCGTTTCGTTGCATATACCGGTTTGGTGGTGTACGAGACACGCCCCCCAGTCTCGACGGTCCAGTACGTGTAACTTGAGTAATTGCTCTCAGCACCTTTTTCAGTGTCGAACTCAATATAACGAGCCGTTTCAGTCTCACTAGGTATACTCGTATCGTCGCCACAGGGTGCTGTGTCGGAGTCGGATAGCGTCTCAGGTACAACAGCGTCTTCCCCGGACGAACTCTTTTTCGCATACCCCGAGCGAGATGTTTGGGGCCTGTTCTCTGGATCAACTACAGCAGCGTCTTCTTCCCAAAGCAGTTCCTTCAATCTGTCGGAAATATGTCGTGAGACGCGTAGATTAGCATTTGCGTGACATGCGGCGTCTCCCTGTACCTCAGGATCTTTAGCAAAGGGCTGTAGGGCCCCGATGATCTTATATAGTTGCTTATAGACGCTATTTACCGTACCCTTCATTCTGTGTGTCTCACAAAAGTCTACAGTCAATTTGATCAAACCTGGACAATAGAAAATTTTGAGATTTGCTGCACACGACCTATACAGGTACGTGACATACCTACTGCGCTATAATAGAACAGAAAACCTACACAAACGAACGAGATGAATATCTGTAGAACACGAATCGATGCCTTTACGTCGATGGAAGGTAGGTATTCACTGTGGAGACCTGTCAATCTCAATCAGAGGAGGAGCCTAGAGGAGCTACCAAATCCGACGCTGCCGTTTCAACTGATGGACGTGTAGATTCGAGCACTTCCACTGACAGCCGCAAAGAAGCTAGGTCCGACCAATCACCCACAAGGCAACAGCACAGAATTGTGAGGAAACCCCCAGGAGGTGTATCTTCGAGTAAGTTCCAACAGAAATAACGTCAATAGAGCTCAGTTTGCTTCGGTTGAACAATAGCAAGAGAGACAGCAAAGGTTGGGTTTTGAATTTAACATGCTTAGTTTAATTCTCTCTTGAAACCACATATTAGATCGTTTACTCACGAGTTGAACTATCCTGTTTTGTATTTTGCCCGAATGTTAGAAGAAGCTGTCGTTGAAAGCCGATAATAGGGCTTGTATCTTGCGTTTCCCTAGCCCTGCAATGGATCAGCGATCGTTTATGTTTACCACACCTGGTATTTCTTCGAACTGGCTTGATTTTGCATGTATGAGTTGTTTGAAGCTGTAGGATCGTCTCACTATCTCTGCAGCATCAGTATTATTTACACGTCTGACAGATGATATGACCTCTTGCACTTCCCGCATATGCGACTTAATTTCTTTCCTGTTTAGAAATTCCAGTCCCTTCCTCCCGTCTATCCTAAGTATTTCCAATAGGGCAGCACTTTGACGTGCGCTCCAGCTGAGCAATATCCTATATCCTAGGGTAAAAGTAATGACTGTAAGTTCCTCTGCATGTCCGTCAGATAAGTGCCATAAGGGAAATAGCAACGTACCGATGGTATCCTGCGGGTCCGGTATATCTACCTGGCATATTATGAATGGGTTCTTGACTTTGTGTGATCTCAGGTGTTTCAGTCTTGCTACTATATATCCTCGGTGCATCCGGTGGTACTTTAGCGATAAAAAGAGTACCTGGATGGCATCAGTCACCTTGTAATCGTATTGTGTCTCTCCTTCCACCCAAGTGACGTTTGTTAGGTGTCTATAATAGCGGTAAAACAGGTTCTAAGCAACTAATCGAGACTAACTTTATTAAGGGGTTGCCGCGCTGTCTCGATGACACGACTATGCAGTGCTCTTTCGCGGCTACAGGCTCGCTACTGTCCATATTCCAGCCATATTACGGCGTACAAGGTGACTGTTATTAACTATGCCCACCAACAACATCGGCCCTACGCCGCCACAGGTTCATCCGCGCGTGCCGTCCATAGCGATGTGTGCATCGGTGTATTGTCTACTATTATATTCTAATATGTGAACAGTTTTGAGAGTGGAATATGTGGTATTTATTGGCGTTTGTCGCGGCAGTGGCAGTTGCGACGCCTACTGGAAAAACAGTTCAATCTGACCTTCAATCGGTGGTAAAGTCCGTTTCTTTATTTATTTCACTGTTATTACAGGAGAATGAGCAGAAGCTCTTGCTTCATGACCTGCAACATTCCCGGGCTGCCGCTGCTGAGTTGAAGGACAAGCTTGACAAACTTCAGCAATCTAAGAGCGGGGGAAATCGCGTACGTTGATTTGCTATGTAATTACCACGCATGCAGACTCTGAATGTTTCAAACGTGGTGGTCGAGAGTGGTGATAAACCGGAAGAATCACGTAAAGGTGTGTTTCTGCAACTTGCTATTCAAGTGACACAGGCGCTACGAATTACACGGCGCCTATCATTGTACTGCTTCCTGAAGCACCATCTGATAGGTATGAGTACCATTATATGTTGTGTGTACATTATGTGCAGGGAGAAGTGGGAGTATGCTCTTACCCTGCGTTGCCTAGGTCAACCCAATTTTAGTCCTTTTGAGCGTATCCACAATGTGAAAATGCTTGAGATGGCTAGTAAGTTGTGTTGAAATGTTTCAATACACGCTCTTATAGCGATCAAGGGTCGTACCGTTGCAGAGATAAAACGCGAGATAAGTCAAACTGAAAAGGAGCTGCAGCAGGTATGAACCCCTAGGTCACGATTCACCCCTTTCAGACCCGTGATGAGCTCTCGAAGTTGGAATCTACATTGTCTACACTGAAGGATGACAGTTATAATGATCGCACTAAGAAGCTTCACGTATCGCACAACATCAAACTTGTGAAGCACGAGATCGACGTCTTGGAAACCAAACTGGGACGGTTACAGAAGCGTCTAAAGGCAGCAGTTCTATTTGGCAAGGGCAGCTCCGGTAAAGGGTCACAAAATGACGATGAGGGTACGGTGGACGAGGAAGGTGGAGAGGACATGGAAAACGGCGATGTGGAAGAACCAGAGCTGGACAACGAAGATATTGAAGAATCCGAGGAGTAAAAATGTTAAATGACATATTTGGCAAATAACTTTGTACAATAATGAAATTATATAACGGTTCTTGTGTCTTGATGTGTGGAGGGGTGTGACCCTGTAAGTTGCTCCTTCACCGCTGTGGCAAGCACGCCAATTTCATATTCTGTCACTGCAGTAAAATGATGCAGTTTAAAGGTATGTTTTCAAAGCAAGCAGGCAATAATGCGCAGAGTCTAAGGCAGAACACCTTGTGGTACCAAAACCAGGGTCGCCTTTCAGCGTCAATTCAGATTATTCCAGTACTGTGTTCACGATAGCTGTCTTTATTTCGGTTTTGTCCAAGGTAAGTTACTAGATAACGATAACGAAATTATACAGGCACCTATCCTCTTCTTCATCACAGTGACAGCCTTCATTTCTCGTGCCATTACGGCAGATGAAGGTATAGACTGGGGAAAGGCATCGCTACCGTTAGCAGGGTATGTACATAAAGATGACTACAACATTTCTGCACAGCATTCTGCCATCGCTGGCGAGGTTAACATACGACATCGCGGTCTGTCTATGGACGAGGACACCGTTATAAGCTAGTTATTGAAGCGATATGTGTTTTAGAGAAACCTTATAACCTTTAATATTATGGTGTATTAAAACGTGGCGTATGCTGGCTGTTATCCTGTTGCGACACGGCACGTTCGTGCTCCTGCTCGAACCACATCTTACCTTCAACATCGACATAGCCGGTGGGACAATCACCACCGTCCATGTGGTCACCGGCCCTCATACCGGTTCCATGGTACTGGGGATGCATATCGAAGGGTAGACGTCCGAATTCGTCCGGGGCGATTAGGTGGTTTCCAGCTGGATGATTTGAAATCATCTGTTCTTCCTCCATTTGTCTAAAAACGGTGTTCCTGCAGCGGTTTAAAGATTATTCGCACGTTAACTTACAACAACAGAAGCTGGAATGCACGCTTCTGAGTGGATTGAGGGTCGACTATCTCGGCCAAGCGCAACAGAAACTCTTTGAACAAACCATATGTAAGCTTGCCACTGGATGACGACTTAACGACATCCTTATATGCTACCTTGGCAGCCGGATCTACATTTGATCCTGCAGCAAGTTGAATTTCGTCTAGACCGAAATCTAGACAGAAGGCTATGCAGCTATCCTCAGACATCACGAACTCGCCGCCAACCAATGCATCATCCCTGTAGGACACGAAAGCAGAGAACAACATGCTCTCATAATCCCTCTGTAATGCAATCAGTGTCTGCACCTGTTGTTGATGAGAACGATAATTTTCTGCGGCCTCTATCTGCTGTTTGGCCTGCTGGAGCTGTTCCTCCAACTCGGCAACGTTTTTCTTCACTGCTGACAACTCTTCGTTCAACTCAGTGATGGTACTTTCCAGTTGCTGTTGTTTTTCCTTAGCAGCGGCAGCGTCGGTGTCCATCTGATTCTGTAATCGTTCATTATCCCCCTTGAGCACAGATATCTTATGTATCAACTCCTGCCTGTGGCTCTCGTGGACCTTGTAATCGTCAAGTTGTGCGCGCATAGTCAGTAATTCGTTCTTCAACAGCTCGCATGTCTCATTCATCTTGTCTTCGGCCATACGAAACAAATGATCGGTCTGGAATGGCTGCAGTGTCTGCTTCTCCGTGTCCACCGAGTCACAGCTGCTCATTCCCAACTGCATAGCATTTGAAGATCCGCTTTTTGCGGTATCTCGATCTGATGAGTCTGTTTCGTTATCATTGTGTTGAGAAATAGCTCGAGTAATGGCACGCTGGAGCGCGTCGCCCTCGGTCGATGATGCGGTAGGAGATCCTACTTTTTTGATCGTAGCTGAGGTCATTGCACGCAGAAGTTCATTTTCGTGTATACTAGACCTGGGACTAGAACCCAGTGTACTCTCATAGTCTGCCTTGTTACCCGAATCACCTAAATGTACGGTCCCTTGCCGCTGTGGCATTGTGCGTATGCCATAACCGATTAGCGTGGTGAGCATGTGATTGAAGGCACACTGCTCAGTGACTCTTAGTACGGCTGCACGGTACTTTGCCAGCAGGAACAGTGCATGTAGGAACTGTTCGAAGTCTGAAAAAGGTTAGAATAATTGCAACAAGAACTCACCCACTGAATCTATGTCAACCACTCTCCCCAAAATATATTCCAGTATATCATCTTTTTTCCGTGAACTCTGTGATCTTGGGAATAGGGCTGCCCCGTCGACCTGAAGGCACTTAAAAGGTATATGAGCTTAACACACCAGTTTCCTAAATGCCGCTGTAGACATTCGACTATCTACAGCTATCCTCTGGAACAGCATCTCAATAGGTCTATGTAGCCTCCAAGGCACAAATAGTGTAATTTCACTGCTATCATTGTCGATTGCATAAGCCTTTCGACCTTGCAGTAGCTCCTCTCTATGTTCGTCACGTAGAGATGTGACATAGTCAGACCGAGCATTACCGGTAACCTCGGCAATGATTTCGCGTAATTTACATACTACTCTTGATGTCATTGTCAACCACAGGAACAATAGTGACTGAGAGAAAGACTGACGGTGTGCCAGTCTTTGTCTGGATAGGGCACCTATGTGCATCTAGACAAAAGGATAATGGGAGATTATTTTCCAGCTGTAGGCATAATATGAAGGTTTTAAAGAAGGAAGCTCCGGAGAATCCGTAACACATCTCTTCCCTGTACTATTTCGCGAGCATTGGTTCCATACACATCGCGCAATCAAGGCTCTACCTCCGCCACCGCGTCGTTCGTCCACAATGGAAGGAATAATGGCAAAGTCAGAAAGGACACTCCCTGATATCATAGGATGCTACTGTGTAGCTGTTTAAGGCGGTTTGCGGTAACGGCACGCCGCTACTATCGCATATACCCTGGGCGTAAACGCGTACAGGTCGAGACTAAAATCAAAAGTCCCAAACGCTATGATGAACTGCGTGGCGGTAGTCCGAAGGCATTACTTCAGGGGAATCTTTTCACCCCTGAGTCTGCCGGTCCACGTGAACTGGCGATGCTATGTTTTCGTATAGTCAGCATGGGCTATGCTGATGCAGGTGTACTTTTACGATATGCTACCTGTACATTAAATGGGCTTTCTCGGTTGAAAATCAAGCACATAGCACTAATTTTGCAGGCGATATCAAAGTTCTTAGCAACTAATCCCAGTGTAGTCAGCAAATCAGGTGAAACGGAGCTCGCCTCTTTCCAGGAGGAAATTGCCAATAGGGAGAAGTTACTGATCAAGGTGAAGGAAATTGCAGAAGCAGTGGAACCACAGATGTTTAAACTTTTTGCACGGGCTGTGCCCAAGGATCTTGGCATGATTGCACTCTCAATGGTTACTGTCTGTGAATGTGCTTACCATGAGTTGGACGCTGAACAACACTCAGCACTGTTGTCAATCACTGAACGTACTCTAAAGCTGATCGCTGAAGCCATGGGGCCAAAGTTACTCTTTTGCGAAGCGCCGGAATATGCTGCTCTGGCTAAGGCTTTCTGTAAACTCCCTCCAAAACACGAATTTGTGGAACTGTTTTTACGCGATCTTGCTGAAGAGGTTTCTAGCTTATTATCAGAAAAACATGAACAGTTGGAAGAAATTGCCCAGGGCAACCATATCGGCGACGACTTGCTTGAATCACTGCTATTGTTGCCAAGGGAGCTGACCACCATAGCATGTGCTTTGTCTCGACGTGTTCATCATCATCGTATTTGGGAACGTATGGCACAGTGTCTTGAACATTTGCTACAATTTGACACTAGTGACGATGTGTCAAATGCAGGACTAGACGGTCAGACATTAATTCTGCTTGCTACCTCTTTGAATCGCCATGTTGATGTCGGTTTCCTGTTGGAAGCAATGGTTTCGAGGCCATATGACCCGCGTAAAACAAATTGGCTGATAACTGGTATATTTATAGCGCTGCGTACTCTGGACGATGTTGATTTGGCACAGCGTATGTGGGACGCAATAAATTTCGATCTTGTACACGCTCTTGACGATATAGCCAAAACGCAGCTTGTACATGTGTTTATTCGGATACCTTCTGTGACCAATAACCAAAAAGATACCATTAGGTCGTTGGTCCAGGACGATGCAAGCCCCGAATTGCTTGTAGCGCTATATGCTGCAGGGCACCGCTGCGGTATAGAAGCACCAGAAACGCTGTTGAATCCTATAATGGACCATGTTTCACAACTAAGCGTGAACAGTCTGATATACCTGTTACGCAGTGTTAGAAGTGACCATATTGCATCCCCTGATGCCACGGCATCTCAAGTGCAGAGTGGTATGAAGGACCGGCTGCTCAAGGTGTTGAGTGATAAGATTGACGACATTCACATTGACAAACTATACCCGCTGTTGATTTACATGATAGACAACCACGGAGGCCACACGGCAATCATTGAAAAAATGGTATCCCGTGTGGCGAACGCCTCCGCTCCGTATGAAGACCACCATATGGCACTATTGATGGAAAAGTTACGAGACATCGGCATCAGGCCCGACCACATCTTCGAGGAATCGCTAGTGCAACGGCTGGTAGGGTCTGACGCCGCCGCAGAGCAACACCTGATAGACCGTTTTGTAGAGGTATCCGATGCAGATGATGGAACTAACGTGATCAAATTCTGTGATATGGACGAGACGGAAGTGGCTAAATTGGCCAAAGCCAACGAAGGGCCGGCACCAAATTTAGGACGGGGCAATGTGTTTTGGTAACAACCGATGGTTTAGTTTTGTTAGAAGTGATGTAATTCAAAAACTAGTTTAATGATATACGATGTGCTTTCACGTACTCACCGCCCCTATCTGGGCGGCCTTCCAGCGTTTCATAGTTATTCACCAGGACGGCTCCAATCTGTGCCCCGGCACAGCGTGAGACATTTTCGATACCTGTCCTGATGACTGGTGCAGATGTGCGGGCTCTGGCCTTGGAATAGTATGCGGCGATGTCTGCTGCTACCTGTAGCGCCTCTGATGAACCACCGTATCTCCGAAGCAGGACATGCGAGCCAGGGCAGTCTTTTGTGTGTAGCCACACATCTCCAGGAAGTGCGATTTCGTGTGTGACACGCTCGTTTTGCTCGGCGTTACGACCAACGATGATCAGAGCAGTATTTGGGTCCCCCGGGTTCATCTTAATAACAAGTATACCTTTATAAGGGTTAACTTTTTTGGGTCTGAAGTGCCGCACATTACGTTCTTCGGTCCCACCATCTGGTGAACCATGCTGCCGTCCTTCACGTTGTAAACGTCCCTTGCGACGGTAGCCAGTTAGATCACCGAGGTCGTATACTTGCTCGTTGATAGTCTTGACAAGATCGAATTCCTCCGGCGATTTCCACTTCATTACAGTATCCAGAGACTTACTATAGGAGTCCAAAGAGTCAAGGCGCTCCTGTACCTTCGCTAGACGCTCGCTCTGTTGCTCGTCCCCTATACACTGGGTTTTAATCTTCTCAAAACGCTCAACGGTACCGTCTATAAGGGTTCTAGTTTCTTCAGCCAATCTATTGTGGATGTAAACAGGTACATCAGTTCCCCAATGCCAGAAAACGTACTCAATGAGCGATTTGGACGTTTCCTTTCCACCATTGCCAGTTGCTGAACCATCCGTTACGGCACCTCCCACCTCAACTTCAGTGGGTAATGTGGGCTCATCATGACCCATATCTCCATTATGATCGCTATTCTTCGCGTCTGTGTCATCTTCAGAAGGAGTATGCGTGACAAATCGCAACTGCTCAACGACTCCATCGGGTGCACGTAACCAGCGAATGTAGCAGTCATAGAAATCAGCCACATTCTCGATCTTCGAGACATGTTTTGTACAGTCTATCCCTGCTTTAGAAGCTAGTAGTGTGACACATTTTGGGCCTATACCCTCGTAGGTCAAGGTCATGGCCTTCAAAAGGCTCATATGTTCCTTGCCCTTGAATCGATCCATGAAGTTTGGAAAGGGTTCTGAGGGGTCGGGTGTCGCCTTCTCAGAAGAATCTGTATGGAACACAGATCCAACTCCATCTTTGACCCCGCTCTTCTCGTCATGTGTCGCAGACGTCAGCAGTATAACTCCGTCATTGTTGTCTGCCATTACTATACGGTTCCCTGCCCGACGTGCAACAAAAAGTATCCGATAACTCTCTGGTTTCTCCATGCCGTCTTCCGAGGTCAATTGGTGATGCGGGGCTTTGAGGTCGATAGCAATGACGTTTTTGAAGAAGTATGGGCAGTGTACTTTACTGACACGTAGCCCTATGAGCCCCGACATTACCTTTTCAAAATAAGATAACATGCGCTGAGAAGCTGGTATATAGCTCGCAGAGGGGCTCGGTACTAGTGGGAACCCATCACGCTGGTAAAAGAGGCATATCGAGTCACCACGTTCGAACCCCCTGAAATGCAAGAGTAGAGCTTCCAAAGGCTTAGTTTCTGCTTCCAATTTCTTAATTGGGGTATGAGTTACACCCATGAAGGTAGCATTGGCAAATACATGGTCCAGCTCGTCTGCATAGCGGCGTAACATGCCAAATTCCAAAGAAAGGTGCTTATAAGTTCCATTTTTAACATTTGTCGATGGCGGTAACAAAAACTCATCGTTCTTAATCCTGTCAAATACGGAGATGCATCTATCACGAGAACAACGGTTCAGGGTGAAAGGGTAGCTGATTGCCGGATCCCCCGACTTCGCCGGTTTGGAATACATACGACCAGAAGTTGTACCCTCTGAGCTCTTGCCAGTAGAAAACAGTGCTGACATATTCCTTCCCACAGCTGGAACGTAGCAGAGTTCTAGGCATCTCCGGCGAAATACCGCCTCTGCACCAAGAATAGCTGCTGCAGTGATCATCAGTCGGCCAATACCGTGGAATATCCGCATCGCATAGATATATCCCAGTATTATCAGCACTACTTACCATGGCGCATGACCTGTTGTCGAATTTATAGCAAAAGTTTATACTTGACCGAACTTGGGATGGTTTCGACCATAAGGTTGCCTTCGGAAAGTGCCGCAAAATGCCAAGCATCAGTTAAACTCCAACAGCCCAATCGGCTGGTAAAAGTGCTCTGGTGCACTAATGGTGGACTACCGCCTCTCAGATGTAACAGTGTTGCGCTTGGTCCCCCGGAAAGAAGCAGTTGGTCGTGGAACGGGTTGAATAGCGCATATTGTACACAATTCCTGTGTTCACCCTCCAGAACCTCTACGGGCTCATTGGTTGCCCTTAGATCCCAAAAGGCGATCTTATAGTCCTCACCGGCTGTAACCAACTCGTTTGGTACGTTAGGATTGAAGTCGATATCCAGGACGTCGGCTATATGACATCGCCCGTTACTTACACAGACGGATGAGTCTCCAGACTGGCGCCAGTCGAATAGTTGGAACCCGTCACCGCAGGCACAGGCGAATATATCTCTATGATGAGGGTCGAATTTGCCGGTTAAAAACCGATTCTTGTATAATTCTTGTCGATTATGAACAGTTAGCGTTACGTCTGCCTTTTTGGGTTCATAACGATTAATCCGTTCTATGGCGTTACCACGTAATTCGTACAGTTCCACCTCTCCCGGGTGAACCGCAGCAATACGACAACTTGCGCCTTTCCTAGATTGCTGATCGATAGCGATTCCCCGCACGAGGCTCCCTAGTGGTTGCGTGCTGACTTCGACCTTTAGTTCCGACGAACCCTTGTCTAACTCCACGATACGGATGAAGGCCGCATTGACATCTATATCACGTAGAGATAGTACAAAGCGCAAAGTATCAGCTTGCTCAGAGAACTCCAAAAGGTGCTTGATTGGGTGAAGTGCTGTTGCCTCTGCGAAGGGCGATATTGCCCCTGTGTCTTCGTCGAATTCTACAACGACAATCTGCGAAAGTTGGACAAAATGACACCTCAAACTATACCTTATTAGATGTCGAGTATTCGCTAGACGCCGCGGCGAACCTATGCCGGTTCTGCGCTGAGCTCTGCAGAGAGGCGACGGTGTTAAAGTGCTCGCTTAGTGCGTACACAGCTACACCGACGCCGGGTACTCTGCCAGGATTCACAGTTGAATCCAAGATCTGCATTAATAAAAAGAAACAGTGAACTAGGTTACACACTATAAGAAGTTAGTGGGACATGCGCGTTACTCGGATTCCACACTCCAACTAGCATTAGTGGCCGAACCTCGTGCTAGTGCTGAACGATAATGTTATTTTTCAATAAGCAAACACTTACTTGGTTGATGTCCCAGTGCCTCGGCAGCCTCGTTGGCCAGGGCGATGGCGTCCAGGGCACTCCCCGAAGGCACGACGCAGCGGCACGACACGCAAGTGCCATCACGGTTAGACGACGTGATTAGTACCGCCATCTTAGGGAAAGCCTTAGCCAGTGCCTGTGCGAAGACGTTGACAGACTTGGCATCACCTTCCAGTTCGTTAGCTTCCATCTTGATCAACTCCATGCCAGAACGCTCGGTCTTCCAGGTTCCAAAGTCACCGGATTGAAATTTGGAGACATACTCCGACGAAATGTTCTTGGCTATAACACCAAGCCTCTTCTGGTGAACCTTTCCAGCATCGATCTGCGGCAAATGAGAATGGGAACATGTACACCTACCTGTGCGTTTATCAGCGAATCAAATTTAGCCTTCAGATCACGTCTACCGATAAGCGGAAGTAGCTTTTCGCCCTGCATCTGGAATCGAAGCGCGGTAAGGCGTTTCATATTCTCTTGGGCCTGCTGGGCCATAACCGCAGTATCCATGCCGTCAGTAAACTTGTATAGTTGAGACTCAAGAGTAGCCAACTGGTCCCAATATGAAGCCAAAATGGCCTTCGAACTCTCGCTCTGCTCGTTGGTAGCCAGTGTCAAACGACGGACACCCTTAGAAACGCTCTCCTCTCCCACTATAATAGCGCTCTTCAATACACCAGTCGATGGCACGTGGGTACCACCGCAGATCTCAATTGAGTTCACAGTTCCGTCCACAGTGCTGCCGTTGTGTGTCATGCAAACCACACGTACAACCTCGGGGTAGACATCAGTGAAGTTTGCACGTATACCAGGAATCTCAACAGCATCCTTGTAAGCAAGCTCTTTCACTTCGACCTTCCAATCGGAAACGATGATCTCCTGCATCCTATTCTCTATTCGCTGCAAAGTCTCGTCAGTTAAAGCTTTGGTGGCAGTTATGTCAAACTTCAGCTTCTCAGCATCCAGTTGAGACCCACGTTGGTAAGATTGGTCGTCGTAGACTTCCCGGAGAACGAAGTTCAACAAATGGGTACCAGTGTGGTTGCAGGCAACCTTAATTCGGCGTTTGTAATCAACACGTGCCTTGACTACTGCTCCTGGGTGTACAAATTTTTCGGCAGCTGGATCGTAGACACAGAAGTGGAACACCATACCACCCATCTTCAGCACCTTCAAAACGTTCAGTGGTCCAAGTTGACCTTCATCCCAAATTTGACCACCAGATTCAGAATAGAATGGAGTTTTGTCCAAAACCATTACAAACACCTCGCCTTCGGAAAGTGGCTTGTTCAATCCCGAAAGGGACCATGTGGCGAGTACCTCCACGTCGAATTCAAAATTGACATTGTATGCTTCGGCAAATCCATGATACTTCAACGAATCGTCAGTAAGTCGTTCTCCAATTGAGCCAGAAATCGTAGCAAGTACATCGGCAGATAGGGTATCCAGGACATCAGCTAAACCTTGCTCAACTGGGTCGTCGCTCCTCACCATTTTCTTCTCAGACAATAGCTGATGACGCTTGAAGTGCTCATTGAAACCATCTACATCAACATCAACACCCATTTCACGTGCCATAAGTTGTGTAAGGTCCAAAGGGAACCCGAAAGAGCTGTAGAGAAGGAAAGCGTCAGACCCACTGACGATCATGGGACCGCTTTTATCGGAGCTGGTTTGTAGCTTAGCCACCATTTTACGGAAACGGTCACAACCCTTGTCTAACGTTTCAAAAAATAGTACCTCTTCGTTATGTATTGTTGAAGCGATTTTATCGTTCTGGTTTTGTATCTCCGGGAATGCTATACCGAGCGATGCTACCACGCAATCCACGAGCTTGGACAGGAACGGTCCTGGTGAACCTAAATGTTCCTTACCGTAGCGTACTGCACGACGTAAAATACGTCTTAGTACATATCCACGACCGTCATTTGACGGTTCTACTCCATCGGCGATTGCCACTGTTAAGCACCTTACGTGGTCTGCTACTACACGGTATGCTACATCAACCATGGAGTCTGATCCACCATAAGGTGGTAGATGTGGCATCAATTTCTTCACGTATGCGAAAATGTCAGTGAACAAATCACCGTCGTAGTTACTGTGGCTTGATTTGAGTACAGCGGCGACCCGCTCCAAACCCATACCAGTATCGACACAAGGCTTTGGTAGCAATTCTACACTTCCATCACTGCGACGGTTGTACTGCATGAATACAAGGTTCCATAATTCCACGACCATCGGATCGTCAGCATTGACTAATGCGGCTGCATCCCTACCTCCGATGTGGTCGTAATGTATCTCTGAACATGGTCCACATGGTCCGGTATCAGCCATTTCCCAGAAATTGTCCTTCATGCCGAACGGTAATATTCGTGATGCTGGTAAGTGTCTTAGCCATAGTTGGCGTGCCTCTTCATCAGGACCACATGTTGGTAGTTTTGGATCACCACCGAAGTAAGTAACATAAAGTCGCGATTTATCCAATTTGTACACTTCTGTTAGAAGTTCCCATGCCATATCAATGGCTTCCTTCTTGAAGTAGTCTCCAAAACTCCAATTTCCAAGCATTTCGAAAAATGTGTGATGGTAACTGTCACGTCCGACGTCATCAAGGTCGTTGTGCTTACCACCTGCACGAATGCACTTCTGACTGTTGCATACACGTTGCAATCTACCATACTCCGTTGACGAATCTGCTTTTCCCGTGATGATATCTTTGAATTGGTTCATCCCGGCATTGGCGAATAGCAACGTAGGATCATTGTGTGGTAGCACGGGCGAGCTCTTCCAGAAGACGTGTCCATGTTTCTCGAAGTGGCGTACGAACTCGCTTCTTACCCATGCGCTCGTGTTCGGCTCGAAACCTGAGCCCTCAGCAGCCTTGTGAGAGCCGGAACCAGGTGCAACAGTGCTTGCCATCCTCCTGACGTTGAAGCTTGATTGTGGAGTACTCTGAATGTTGCATATAGACAGTATATGACTTAAATTACCTTTAAAAGTGGTGTTATACCGTAACTATTTGTCCGTATAACCGTTTTTCTTCGGATATAAGCATCGAAGGGCCGTCGCGAGAACCCGTGGCGCGGTATCACGCTGACAGTTCGGGTTATGAGAGGGTCCAACGCTGTTGCCCAGAACAGTATGAGTCCTCCGGCGTACATACAGTTTTTAGACGTCCTGGCTTGAGTTCATGGGCTGGAAGGTTCCCCATTTGACTCCAATACACATCGAGGGCCAATGAGACGGAATTCGTATCTTACACATAGGTGACCCTTCCTGCCCACTGAAGAGCACAAAATCATTATGAGTCATATAATTTCGGGGCTATGGGTACCCCTTTTTCGAAATTAGTGCGTGCCACGGTAAGCTCGAATGTTGACGGTCACGTCATTCGCGCCTACCTTCAAGCAACACTATTGTAGCTTTATGCACACCAACGTAGCCTGATGAGTGATAAAATTATCTGTTCTATGATATCCATACCTAGTTTAGGTACTTAGAGAAGCAACCTTGGTCGTGGCATGGTTACCTGTCACACCGGTGCCGTAACACTTTAATTAGAATTCACAACACACATATCATAATTGAGCTGTATACTCAAGTATTCACAGCGACATTTCTTTTGTGAATGCTCCCATTTTTTGAAGAGCCAGAGGCAAAGCCGTCGTGCATTGAACCTCTGGGCGAATTCCTGTATCAATTCTCTGCATATATCAGCGCAATAACTGCTATTCTGCTTTTTGCGTTATATTACACGATACGAGAGGGGGATACTTTCTTAAGTCGTGTGGATTGCGTGTTGGCCACGACATGCTTTTATGTACTATCCTTTGTGACAGCTTTTGAAACCATAAGCGACCCTGAGCGGGAACTAAACGAAGCAGGAGTTGCACTGCAGTATTTTATGGGTCTAGTGACACTTACTGCCTTCTGGGTATTCATATATACTGAAGGGCTTGCCGGGCAAGAGGTTGTTGATATGGACACATATGAAGAAATTATCATCATCGCAACATTATTTTAAAACTACTAAACCCTTTTTATAAACCTACAACACCATTTACTTCGTAAGGACAAGGCAAGATGGAGGAAACGGAAAATAAACCCAGATATGATCTGGACAAGTTTATAGCTAATCCCATAGACTTTCTCAACGAACATTTCGTCGATGAGTCTAGCCTTGGGGAAATAGATTCGCTAATCATCGATGTAAGCGCAGAGATACGCAACCAGGACAGAAAACTAATGGATGTTATTAAAGAGAAGGCAATCAGTGGGGAGTTGGCACATGAGAGGTTTGAGAAACTCCAATGTGCAACCAATGACCTTATCGCTAAGATGGCAGAGATACAAATACCTACCATGCGAGGAGAGCAGTCGCTTAAAATACTCACAGCAGATATACGCGCACTCAACCGTGCGAAATATAACATTTGTAACACTATCACAAGCCTCAAACGCATACTGATGCTATCAACGATGCTGGAGTCACTTCGTGAAAAGGCGAAACATCGCAAATATGAAGAAGCTGCAGGACTAGCTGTAGTTGTCAGAGAGTTATACCAATTGGTATCCCCGCTACGCGAAGCTCCACCAGTAGTTAGGCTACTAACATCGTGCAACAGCGTACTCGATGAACTCAAGCAACAAATCATAGAGGATATTGAAATCATGCTAGATCTCAGCACGACACAGAGCTGCCTAGAGACTCCGCTTGAACTATATGAGGTATGCAACTGTGCCGATGCTATCGATGACAGTGTTCGCAAACATATAGCTTCCAAGTACGCCGCAAATATCACACAGAGTTACGAAAATGTTTTCTCAATGTCGGCTGATCTAAAGAGTGAGTTGTATCATATCACAGATCATACATTGCAGTTCTTGATAATATTCATGAGAGATTTGCATGGTTAAGACGTATCATCAACGAATTTGATGAAAAGTATGGCACAGATGTGCCGGAACACTGGAACATACAGGCAACCGGGGCTTGGGCGTTCCTAGACGCCTGTCGTAACCAGATTGTCGCTGCACTGACAAGTTCGCCGAAACCAGTAGAAGCCAGTGTAATTCTTAGCACTTTGCTACGGTGTAAAGAGTTTGAACAAGAATTGGACTATAGAATCAGCAATTATGGTGGTTCTCCAAGACCCATAGAACGTACCGCTATGGAGTACCCCGAAGTGGTACCATCTCCAAAGGTCGCCACCTCCGACGCAGAACCAAAGAAAAACCTGATAGGTGCTCTTAGCCGTTGCTTCGAAAACCATCTTGGATCGTGGGTCGCAAACGAGGAAGTACAGTTAGAGGATCTATACAACAAAATTGTGTCATCCAAAGAAGGTATGCAAGAATCATGCCGTAATCATAGTGATGCAGATGGTGTTATCATGCTAGTGTTGCGTTCAGCTAAGGAGCTTTTCTCGGCCATCAGCGTAAGGCTGAAGGCGGTCCTTGCAGTGAGCTGCGAGCAGACCCTCTTTGAGATGAGCATGGTTTTCAGGCGTATTATTGCCAAGTATCAGGTCTACCTTCAGGAGAGGGTATCTAAAATTGACAAAAATGCTCCACTATCCACTCTGTCAAGGCAGGGTGGATACATTATAGCCACATGCGACTACGCTACCGAAATGATCGAACACCTCAACGATGAGATCGTGGAAGCTATTGTGCCCGCATATAAGGAGCAAGTCAACTTCTCTTCAGAAAAGGGTAAGGTTACAGTTGAGTTGACGCTAAAAAAGCTCAGAAAAAATTAACGTCACTAAAGCAAACGTCGTCAAAAGGGTAGTGGATGAAAGCTGCAAATTCGCACCCATCACGCCAAACATTGTCGCTCCCCTGAAAAATCTAGAACAAAGGGTTATCGAGGCCATACAGACCACCATAGAGCACCTGCCATCGGGATACCTTCATTACATGACCAACAAAGTGACACGTGGTGCCATGGCTCACCTGAAGGACACGATATTCTCTCTGGATAACGCATCGGAAGGCTACTGCCAGCAACTATTGCTTGACTCTTACAGTCTGCAAAAACTGCTATCAGAGTCTGTTAGCGTCTTGGTAGACCCGCTACCTTTGGGTTAGTTCTGCTATATAGCGATTTCACAACGCCCAGGCTATGTAGAAGCAACCACTGCAGAGATGAACAAGCTGCAGACGCTTCTCAAGGTGCTCAACTCGTCTAGCGACTCTTTAGGGGCATTTGATGGTGAGTGATGTGATAGATACGGATCATGATTGTGTGCAGCGCTGCTGATAGAGAACGGAGGCTGTTGCACAAAGGAGGAGATCGACCAGATAATGGAGATACATCGCAAAAAATAAAAAACAGTTCTAAGCTTGAAACATTGTCACTGAAATGAACATCAAATAGTATTTAGAAATGTTTAAAACCCAGGAGCTTGGAAAGGCTCTGTCTCGCCTTAGCACGCTCGGTGTCCTGTTGGTTCTTCTCCGAGAAACGTCGGCCTATATCACGATCAAGGCCACCGCCGTGATTTTTCAGCTGTTGTTTCACATCCTGTGGGTTTAAAGCGATAGATTTCAGTAGTCCTAGCAAGTGCAAAAGTTCACGGTCGTTTTCATCGCCGTCGAACTCACGCACCAAAATGGCATTCTCTTCCTGTAGCATACATGCCATTCTGTCGTGGTCTACGAGTATAACACGATTCAGATTACGACCGAGCTTGCTGAGATCCTTTATGTAGGATCCCTTGAACTTAGTGCAACGGTCACGGTGTATGCAACCAATCACCGGTAGCCCCCAACGATTGGCGACATCCGTTGCCATAGGATAATTATCATCTGACCATACTACTATTTCATAGTAGTTTACTAACTCGCGGAAGAATCGGTCTGCGAAAGGACGCTTTTTAACTTGCCATCCCGTACGACGGTCGTACTCAAGCTTGGCTACGACCTTGTCAAGATCGACAACAAGCGTCGGGAGGTTTGGAGGATAGTTGAGATCCTTCACATCAGGAAGCAATGGCCCATCATCGTTGGAGAACATACCGTTCATGTGCTCTACAATACGGTCTAATCCACGTTCTAGCATAGTCATCAGTTCCTCATCTTCACGGCGGAATACAGATATGAAGTACCCCGCCAAAACAATCGATGCAGATCCAACAATTCCAAAAGGTAGAAACAACTTGTGCTTACCTTTGGTCTTTGAATCTGTACCTTGCGATTGATCTTGGTTACCGTCGTTCCTGCTACGGTCACCACGGGATGGAGCGGTATTCTTCCCTTCGTTTTCGACAGCATCATCTGTAGGTTCTAAGACTGTCGCATCACCTTCTTGGCCGTCAGTTGTGATTGTAGATCTTGTATTCGTAGCAGTTGGATTTGATGTCGAAAATGTGCAGCAAGACAACATTGCCCAGGTAGGACGCCATTGCGGTACGGGGTACCACAAGTTGTAATGTTTAGAATTTCGCATGGACTGCGTATATAATGCGAAATTCCTGGCAGAGATTAGCCGGAATCCTGGGTTAAAGCCAAGCAATCCACGTAGTAGCGCCATTGCAACTTGCCAGAGTTCGCGCCCCTGGATACGCAGGCCGATATTGGAATCGTAAAGGATTCCTACGGCAACTTGGCACTAACCTTTACCTGACTAATATAAGGAAGGTGTGTGGCCCGTCAGAACCTCTCCAACCGGCACAAGCCACGACACGAATGCTCCCCAGCATTACCACAGAGTCCAGAATAGATCCTGGCAGACATAATCGTGTAATGTATACTATTCTACATGAACTTTAAACTATTTAGCTATTGTACATACCACTGTTACTTGCTACGGTTGCTGTTCCGTTGGCAAACTCTCGCTTGCTGGGAACTCGTAGTCTATATGTCTTTTCCAGACATTATTATATGCCTTCTCGAGCACCCTTTTACCATCCTCCTCCGGATGTTGAGCAACGACATGTTTAGTAAACCTTTGTAGAAACTCCTCCTTTACTAAGCGCTGCATACTGCGTAGCTTGAGGAACTGAGATTCACTCAAAAATGGTAGGATGGCAGTGTAGCCAAGGTACGGGTTTCCCAGATCAACCTGTTGACCATCCATGTCGTCACTTTTCGATACAACACGGCAATCTCGTGTTACATACAACGGAGGTGGGCCACCGGGAAAAGCGGCCTCTAGCCAATTCTTGTATTTCTTTTCGGGTCGTTTCATCAGCGAATCAGGCTTAACGCCAAACGTAGCTTCACATGCAGAATCAAAGGCCTTACGTGTAAGACCAACCTCAATCATTAGGTCAGTGGTATAACGCCACATCACATCGTTACCAGAGTTGAGGGCGACGGGGGCATGCCGTTTAGCTCCAAAGTACGTAAACATAGGTTGACGGCGCGCTGGAATCAACAGAGGTTTCACATTCTTGTGTAACCATTCGAATTTCACAGCTGTGTGAGCACGAGCCGTTTTAATGAATTCCGCATTCTCTCGGTCCTCTTCCATAATTTGTACTATACCCATAGGGCTTATTGACGTTCCACCGCCCACGAAAGATACCACAATAGCTGATACGTCACCAGGAGTCGGTGCGTTAGACGCGGAAGTAGTACTATGCCCCCCAAAAGCATCAGAAAACGGACACAGGAGACTGTCTATGTAGACAGGCAGCAACTTCTGCTCAGCCATAGGGGCGATCAGCGCATTGTCAACACACAGCAAGTAGTATTTTGGTAAGTCCAAAGCACTGTGACCCATGCGTAGCCCATCATGTGGAACGCGGTAGTCCGACGTTTTGTTGAACGATGGTATCTCAAAGTTGCTGAGGTCTAATTCCATCAACACCGCAGCCATCTGACGGTTGCGAATGAATGCTGAGACTAATCCGCGTGAACAAAATGGACAAGCCTTGCGATCGGTCAAATTATAAGCCACGGTTTCTACACCATCCTCATTCTTAATCAGCACATCCTTGAAATGGGAGATCAAACACGCACAACAGCCACTATAGCCACAATTAGATGAACATCGAACCAACACAGGGTCGTTCATCGGTTTACAACACAATTTACAAATGAGGGAAATCGGTAACGGCCTCAGATTTTGTTTTTCTTCTGGAACTATCCCTTCAAATTCTGTTCTTGCATCGTGATAAATAGGGGTAGCGGGGACCCATGCTACACGATTTAGCACCACCCGGCTACCAGCGTGTACTACTATATTATCATCAAGTGGTTTAGCTGCCTCGGAAGAGTTTTCATCATAGAGAGATACTGTCAGGTTGGTCTTTCTAGTGAAATCTTTTGATAGGCTTGTTTCTTGTGCGATTAAAATCTTCAAGTCAGATACCAAGACACCTCCTATACTGTCCAGCTGAAGTTCACGCCAGATACCCCGCTCGCTTCCGAAACGGTAGAAAATAACACCGCCACCGCTCACCATCGACCTTCGATACTGGATGAAGTCAATATCTATCACGAATACACCGACACAGAGACATCAGATCATTTCACTAGTCGTTGTAACAGTCTCTAGTGGCCTATAATTTAGGAATCCAGAGAAATGTGGCTTGCAATGTGACGCCGAAAGCCACTAGTAGACTTGCCAACGGCTAAAACTCAATACAAATACTGCGATAGAGAATTAAGTGACACATTATTTTGTGTATCACATTCCAGTGTATTTCGCCGGGGAATGTGTGTGACCTCTAGCCTTATCTGTGCCGCCCTTGTAAGATAACCTAGGCACACAACACCTTTATGCCGCCTATACCGGCTAGATTATGCACCTATCTCTTAGTTATATTCACCAGCCTAGCCATTCATTGTGTAGCATTCAGAAAATTGTCAGATGGCGCCGCAAAGATAATGACAGTTAGACGCAGAGCGGCGGAAACGCACCCTGAAGTTATTGACGCTAATAAGAAGCAGAAATTTGCAGAAAATGATGAATGCAACAGAGATAACACCAAATGGTACGAATTTCATGGCGACAGCTCAAAGGATGACGGTGAACCAACATCTGCTCTACAGCATCCCGAACCTGTATACCATTTTAAGGACGGTTTCAGAATAGTGTTGCCGTATAATTTTGTCTACAAGAGTTTTTCCAAAGGTAGATGGTTCGGACGCAGCTTGCGCGATGTACTATCCTCGGAATTTGCAGCATTCACAGATGACTATGTCAGACATGCCTGTGTCAAGGGGCACATCAAGGTATTAGATCTGCAAGGGAACGATCTCTACCCAGAACCGGGTGAACATATATTGGAACATATATGTCGTCCTAACGAGCGTATATGGCATCTTGCTGTGGTCCACGAGCAACTGGCTCTTGATGCAAAAGTACGTGTATTGCAGGAAGATGACGATTATATCGCAGTATCCAAACCATGCAGTATACCTGTATACCACACAGGTACATACCACTTCAACACTTTAGTTGAAGTGCTTAAACACGAAGTGTTAAAGGATAAGGCCATGCAACTCTACCCTGTACATAGGTTGGACAAGCTCACCTCAGGTGTCATCATATTGGCTAAGAACAGCAAGGCTGCTTCTGAATTCTCTGAAGGCATTAGAAACAAGCGAGTCCGTAAAGTTTATCTTGCACGAGTAACGGGCGATTTTAGTCGTGTTTTTAACGATCACGAGTGCATAAACATGAACGATGGCGTAGGATTTGGCAACGGCCTTGTGGCGTGCTGCCACGGGTTCATGAGGGTTGTATCTCACAAGCTAAGTATCCACGAGTTCCTTACAGATGGAACTAAGAAGGATGTCAAAACTGCAGAAACGCGCTTCCGTATGATAGCATATAACAAAGAGCTAAACGAGTCCCTATTAATGTGTTATCCCGTTACAGGGCGGACTCACCAGATTCGAGCTCACCTCAAGTTCTTGGGATTTCCAATATCTAATGATAAATGTTATAATAATGGCGCACTGTCTAGTAGTGTGGAGTATTTCAAGAAACTGCCGGCAGTCCACTGGGAACTGGACGACCGTGGACACTGGCGGTTGCCCGAGCTCAACTTCGTATCACCTAAACCAGCTTTGCTAATCCACGGTAGTCACGATTATCATGTAGGATTAAATAGACCAGTTGAGGGGTTGCACGTCAGTCCAACTGGTATTTTCCTACACGCGTTGCGCTATATATGGGACGATAAACTATCCGTGTCTGATACCACTCCAAATTGGGTTAAAGATTTTAACCTAGGTACGTCCAGCGTTAACTTTGGTGATTTGGACCTCTGGACAGAACACATCGACGTCCAAAATGGCGCGTCATAATCTGTGGTCGAGAAAATCGGGCAGCCCGTTGTTGGCTCATGTGGGAACATCCCACGCGTTCTTTAACTCAGACTATATTTTAGTTGCCACAAAAAAAAGTTATTTAGCACATTCACCATACTTATAGCGTTCGTTATAAACCATGTCTAGCCGTCAAATACGTAAGTTACTGCGCGAGCGGGAGCGGGAACGGGAGAGGAATACGGAGGAGGAGCCTACCTTGGTTACAACTACGATTGTATCTACAACTAGACCGAGGTTTAGCTTCGCTGCTTTTAGGCACGTAATTGACTCATCCGATGATTCTGATGTTGAATATCAGAACGAACCAAGCAGTGACTCGGAGTCCGTTGCTCCCTCCAGCGGAAGTGAAGAAACAGGGCCACCTACACCGCCGGATTCTGAGAATCAACAAAAAGAATGTAACAAGAAGGATGTGAAAACGCCTAAGGATAAAAAGGAGGAAGGAAAGGAATCGGATTTGGTGTGTCAATAATTTACAAAAATCATCTCTTAAAGGATAGCGACTTTGCACTGTTGGATTCATTTGCGGCTGAACACGCTCAGGAGATAAAAACTACGGAAATTGATACGAAGATTCCTTTGGAATGTCTCAAAATAGATCCTCGAGCATTCCGCGTCGCGGGTAAGTGACTTCCTTACGGCTGTGGACGGATATAATACCGGCACATTGCTTTCATATATTAAATACATGTACACCTATGCAAGATAGTTAAAATGTGTCCTTGCTAAGGTGGTATTGTGTGCCATTAATGTGGCTGTGATATTGCTTGATTTCAAGCCTATCATCTTCGCTTAGCACGCTGATCTACTGTTTTTTTCTATTTTTGTGTTGTTTTTAATATGGCAAAATTTGCGCGATATATGGCTCTAGTGATGTGTAACCACTAAGATATCGTCTCAAGTGTGTTGTACCCGTAATGAGGACTTTGCAGGTATCGATACGCGACGTTTTGGCAAATCTAGGCTATACAAAAATTTTGCGGGATCTTTACAGGGGCGTAATTGGTTGACGCCGGGCATTCCGCCCAAAGTGGCTGATCAGTTGCGCTCCGCTGTCTTCCAACATCTGAGAATTAAGGGAACTATGGACAGCAAAAACAAACGAGAGCGATTCATGGTGGAACTCAGTGATCGGTAAGTTCAAAAAAATTATATACGAACTTGTTACAGGTACAAAAATGTGCAGAGTGTCTGCCTCGCGGCAATTGATTCACAGGACCCAGCACTTTTTAGACAGGTATTAGACGCTAATCCGCATCATGTGGAAGTGCTCCTTCGGGCAAGTTCCATACACACCATGCAGGTATGTTTTTTACTCATACTGCCCTCCAAGGCTGTCTTGTTTTGTGGGTCGCAGCACAAGCTAGACCAACACCTTACATGCAGTACTGCAAAAGGCTGCACAACTGCATACTACGTCGTTAAATTGTACATATTTGCGAACAATGGCGAAATAACACTATATTGTTGTTTAGGGGCAACATGAGGAGGCATTCAAGCTTCTACATCTTGCCCTGCAGATATTGCAGGCGGCATTGCCACCAAGGTTCTCGCCCTGGCGTTTAAACGAAAAGGGGCTTTATAACGTGAGCTTATCACAACTAAATTGTGTCATTGCTAATAGGTATGGCTTCCAAGTTCAATCGAAAGCAATCTTATGGTCTACCGACTCTTCGTATTGTATATGATTGCTTTGGAGAGACAGGGACAATGGCAAGTAGCTCTAGCAGTTTGCAAGCTACTGCTTCTCATGGACTTTCCGAGAGATACAGCACATGCACTGCTACATATCGACATGTACCTGCTCAACAATACAAAGATGGGCATGTACGACTTCTCGGTCGAATATGCCAAGGCTTTGGAGTATCAAGTGCCATTGCACTGGATGCTACCAAACTTCGCATTCTCCTTGGCAATGGACTATGCCACTAAAGAGAAATCGGACCATCTGGAGCTGCCACTTTCCAAAAGCGACTTCGATATGGTTCAAGAGTTCCTTATGTTGGGTGAGAATGAACTTGGGTTCAGCTTTACGCCAGGCGAGCAAGAAACTGAAAACTATGGTGCTAAACGTGCACAACTTTATCTTTTGAGAGCTTTGTTGCAATACCCCGAAACCATAGCGCTGTTAAGCCGTGAAGAGTTTGCATCAGCCTTGGTTACATACTCGCAGGCCGAACCCTTCAATTCATGGGTGCGAGGACGTGACACTACAGATGCCATACTAATAAAGTGCTACATCAAGAAGACATGCGACATTTGGCGGAACGACAACCTAAGCCTGCTGCGCAAGACTGCCGGACTTATTGTCGAGATGTATAAAACGGAGCGTGGCGCGCTAATATTAGACTCGTTCCGTGACTTGTGGTTGGCTTTCAAGTTAGAGCTAAATGCACCGAATGTCTCTGATGAGGTTATAGTTGCGGAATTTGATCTAGCGTCGCACAGCCTGCCGATGGCTCTGGAATGATCTTATTCCACAGCTTCGGAAAATACATTGTCAATCTGCTGCAATCTTGATTCTCCGTTGTATATTTCGCAGTGACTTTTGACGGCGAATCGCTGTCTGCAGAAAGTCAAACCTCTCCTGCAGTCAGCTGCGGCGTACCTCCTCAGCTGGAACAGAATGCATTCGTGAGTTTGTTGTAGGGGGATCTATTCGGCAAACATTTTCGTTATTCACGATTATTGGGTTGTTGCAACTACATTTATTCGTCAATTCGACGGTTAGTTGCCCCTGTTTATCTAATTTTCATACGCAATACGCTGGCGGGACTGTGGCCCTTCCATGGTAGGTGCTAATCATCATTTGATGTCTAATTTATCTTTCGTTCGAAAGCAACGTTGTAGACCTTCTACAATGCAGTGGTATGGTGACGTACACTTGCCATACGCTTCACGTCGAAGACTTTTGAGTTGTTCAAGTACGAAGCCGTCTTGTGAACTCCAAAAGAGATGAGGAAGGATTTCTTCTTCGAATTATCATCTCCCCACAAGGGTGAGGAACAATTTCCTTTGCTTATAAAGTTGCCTAGGAGAAGCTTCGAACCGTTTTAAGGGCTGTGCGACCATCGGTAATGAGTTCTCGTCGTGCCGCCCTTTTATCGGTCGCCGAGTCCCCAGGGCAGAAGTCGGACATGGTAAATTCTGTCCATAGAGCGTTGAATCTGCCATTGTTGATTCGCTTTAGCAAGAAATCACAATGTAACACCTTTTAAATGAAGTTATGGTCGCTCTATCAGATTTAAATCGACAATCCAGAAGATGGCTGCATCGCCATCACCAGCGGAAGGTGGCACCAAGAAAAACAGTCTAACTCAATCTCCACAAAATCTTAAAGAAGCAATAGATTGGATTCTAAGAGTGACAGGCAAGGACGTTAGGTTTCCTGCTTTAGCACATGTCACGGTATTCAATAGGTCAGAATGGAGGAAAGACCGATGATAGTAAGTCCTTTAAGTCGATTCTTTCATTCCTACCAGGTGGGCTAAGGGGATTGGCCGAGAAAGTAAAGGATATACGAACAAATGTTCAGAAGGAACAACAGGACGCTAAGAACAATCTGAATGTAGAAGCAGGTAAGAAACTTCAGGAAGAACTGCAAGTTCTTAGTTCAGTGATAAAGGATATAGCTGGTAATAATGGATTTATAGATACGTTCTCTACTGCGTTGGCTGGTTTCTTTGGGTATGATGTGAACAACGGCGGGGTTTTGGATGGAAAGGGCATTGGGTGTAAGGGAAAGGGCGACTGTAATGCGACGGCTGCTACGTCGCGTCGCCGTACGAAACAAACTGCTGTGGAAGCGCCGGAAAAGCGGCAATACACCTCTGCATACGACACTGCTGCTAAATGGCAAGATATCCGCATTACTGTAGATAAGGATCTTTGCGCCCGCATCTTCGTGGGTTGCATCCCATTGATATTCAGTGGTTTATGTTATTTGTATTGGCAATGTAATAGGGGTAATGGCGAAGCTGGCGATGAAAGATGGACTGAAAAGGCATTGAATAAGAAGCAGCATACGATTGACAACCCTACCACCGCCCTCGGTATTTATATGGTGTCAATGGGATATAACAGCCCGCAATTGAACTGTAAGGACGGTAAGGGGGTTGCCAGCTTGCTCAAAACTGTGATAAACGGTAATAATCTTAGCATTGATGATGCTTCCGTCAAAGGACCTTATTCTACGTTTATCCACAAGCTTATGGATAACGCCAAAGAGAACGCGAAGCAACACCGTTCTACCCATCACCGATTTTCTTCCCTTTACCTAGCAAGCAGCACTTATTTTCAAGCTTTACAACAGCATTTGAAGGCGCCTGTTGAAGATAGAGCTTTACCGCGGACAATTCGTGAAATGCTGTACTGTCTAATGGGTGTACCATATACACCACTTTGTAACAATATATATGCTAGATGTTTTGCTGAGGTATGCAGCCAATCGAATACTGTTGTGCTTTACTTCGTCTTAGGAAGAAAGAAAAACATTACATTTGTTGTGAGCGCTGCCACATATTACCTTCTATCATCCTGCTTCTATTCAGGTTTTGTCCTGATGTCCACAGAAGGCAACTTGCACGGTAATAGCACAAAATCGCATCTAAAGACACCACTCTTCCACGATATTTATAGCAATGAGGAGTATAAATTTTATTACCCAGATAAGCTACATGAATGGTTTGCTCTGTTATGGGACGTAGCATACGCTCTCAATCTCCAACTCCGATTCTTGACGGAACAATGCAACTCTTGTGTCGCTATTGGTTGCGTGTGGAAATGGTGTACATATGGAAAGAATGTGAAGTTTAAAGTGAAGTCGTGGTTATGTGAATCCGTTGTTAAATCAGATGACCATTCTGGCGTACCATGTACTGCGAAGAATATTAAGTGCAATGATAGTCACAGAGAATGCGTTACAACCACCAAGCCTTCGCCTCTACAAGCCTTTTTGTGTGATAAACTAGATTGTCTCAAATGTAACAAAACGAATGGTCACGATGAACCTTACACCACACATCGATCACATCGACCACGTTCTCAATGGTGCCCAGTACCAATGGGTTTCAATGAGCACCTCAAGTTGTCTGAATCTCGTACTGGTTACCACCTCTATTGGATACTGGAATATTACGTAGCTGACAAGATCAGCCATGCCAGCATATACAATGACTGGACTTGCGTACACCGTCTAGTCTAGGTGATTTATTCGCCTTTTTCTATGGAATAGTAGCGGCGTATGATAACGGCGGTGGTACTAGTGGTGCTAGTATTAAGGATTCTTTAGAAGAGGCAATCAATGATCATCCTGGTGTGCGTACATACAGTAGTGGCGGTACCGAACTCGCAAAAACAATTGAGAGGCTGCGAGGCAACTATCAATTTACACAGCAGTGAGATAAACATGAGCATCTCTATTGCATCCGAGAATGCTACAATGGTCTACATTGCGGTAGCTACGTCCTATCCCTTTCTTGGACCATATATGTAGTGTTTTCTGTGTTAAGTTTATTGATGTATACCTGTCATGGGTGTTATATTTCGCAGATGAATTTAAACGTTACATGGAATTGCTTGAGGGCGCATTCAAGAAAATTGATTGTGCCAAGGCAGGTTGTGAGAAATGTCAAGGTGGTGGCAAATGCGGCCCTGGTAAGCATGGTACAGTCGACTGTGGTTGCGTCAACGTAGTTCACTGCGCCGGTGTATTGCATGTCTATTCTGAATTCGGCTTCACGTATGATAACATAGTTGCGCTGAATGGCACATTGTGGTCTAAGGAGACAAAAAAGATAAGCCATCAGTATGAGAGGAAATGTAACCATTTCATTAAGCAACTCCAAAAGGTCATTAAAGGTGACCCATTCAACAAGTTCCTAGAAGCGGTTAGTAGCTCTTTCTTTATAATCCGCTATTACTTTATCATATACCTCTTAGCATTTTGGCTGATAGTAATTGCCTATCTCACCTATGGCCTATTAGTACCACTCGACGTACTGCACATTCTGTCGCATTGGAGGTTGGCCATAAGCCACAAAATGCTCCCAAAAAGTCTGTTCGCAGAGAAGATGTCAATTGGTGACATATTCTATTTTAAACCGTAAGAGGTAAGGCACTGCTATCAGTGATGTTTTTATATAATGCGTTCAACGGCACATTAATGTTAATTATTAAAACTTGATGTGACTCCATCAAATTACATCGCACGTTTGTTAGTCCTGAGACGCGTGTACACGACGCTGGATTCTACACACAGCAATGGTAGCGGATTATGCGACTAGAGAATACATTAGGAGCGTATTTACACGGCCCACTGCCACGTTAATGTATATGAGGCTCCTCAAGTTCTTAGGGGGGCAACCACGCCCTATTAATGCATGCGCCCAAGCATGGTGTGGCAAATGGATGCTAACCATATAAAAACATATAATCCGTTTACATAATTTCTTGGCTCGTTTACCCATACTTAGCTGTTAGTCTCAATGTGCTGGTATTTTTCAGCAGTTGCCTGGAAGTACTACGTTCCGCTTACCACGTGTTGCCAGTGTCACCCATAAATCAATTCAGGCATTGTTTGCTGAGGACCCACAAGTTACCTCAATGGTAACATGCGCACTTTGTTCATCAACACACAAATGATGTAGTCATACTACACCGTCGTGCAATCACGGCTCAACGTAAAAAAGGGTGTGTGCGGAGAAAGGCCTCCTTGTTACAGCCATACAAGAGTTAAGGCACATCTACTGTGGTAAACGGAACATCGCATTGTGTGAAGGACATTATGGCAGACATAACACAGCAAAGTGGAGTTCATTGTCGCCTTTTAAATATAGAGGTGTTGACACAGTAGACAAGTGCAGTGGATGAATGTAATGGTACATCCTAGGACTTACCAAGGCATAGAAACTCTAATTGGTTATGTTATGCAACCAAACTGGCGTTGTTTTGTGTGGTTACGCTAGAAAACATCTACAAGTACTACGCCAATGTAGTCATGTCACCTCTACGGGGACAATGGTACAAGCCGAGGCTCACAGCCTTTTGAAAGACTTAGCTCACAGCAATACGAAATAAAACATTGATAGTAGTACGATATGATGGAGGGGCAGCTGTGGAAGGCGAGAAGAATCCTCCTGCTGGTGATGCCCATGTAGCACTCAAGGCCGGAAGTTCCGGCTTCGCCTCTACTGTATCGTCGCTGAAGAAAAGCGAATAGAGTCGAGATATGTGGGGAATTAAGACAACTTAATTATAAAATGAGCGAATGGGGGTGCCCCTGGATGGATTTGAAACAACCTAGTAATGGGCGTGGTAATGAAGAGTTGGGGAGGTGGTCCATTTTTCGATGCCCAAACCATCGGCACCGTTATAGGCATTGTATATTAGTAGAAGGACTTCTTAATCGCTGATATTGAACTAGTAACACGTATTATTTTGACGACCGATATTTTCTACTAGGACGAGAAGCTACGCTAGCATTTTATAGATCACCATCAAATCCCTTCAAGCATCTACATTTTCATCGATACGCGCAGATTGGGCAATAATATCAACAATTGTTGGCGATGAGAAGATGAAAGAAAGACCCAAGATGAGGGAGGGTGTTTTGGGGAGACCCATTGCCCAGCTTGCCATGTTGTTCATTTCGTTGAAGGCGGTTGAAGCAAAGGACGTTGCGGGTCCAGAAAGAGTGACTCTAGGACAGAAGCTCGGGAAATTGTCGGCTGGAGAGAAAATGTTTGCTCTACTTGGGGTATTGGCGGTGCTCTGCCTTTTCATAGCGACTGTGATATCCTCGGTGAATAGTTCCATGTATGATATGGCTGCCAGGGCCTTTGTCTATATCTGCTCAGTTTTCGGTTGCGTTTTCTTGATTGCGTTCTTTGTTTGCGGGTGCTACCTATATCACTCGGATGGGAGCGTGACACAGTGCCAGAAGGGCTGTCTGTTACTGGGAATCCTCTTGTTCACCGGATCGTTGATATTGATTCTCTTGGAAATATCTACCACCATGTCCAGCGGTGTGGCTGACATTAGTAATGTTTCTGATAAGGTAAAATATGCAATGTGCGCCTTTATTGGCCTCTGTTTCATTTTCTTCGTCACGTTCATTTTCACCGCCTGCCGTCAATGCCATTTCAAGCGACGATTCGGCTTGTGCCACATAATGTTTATCGCACTGGCATTGTTGATCGTGTTGTGTTTGTTCGCGACACTTGGATGCATTGCCGGTGGATTACTTAAATTTTCTTCGGTTCAGGGTAGTGGGTCCTTAAATCCATTACCTGCGGTCATAACCCTATACTTTATTTTCATCATTGCACTGCTGTCACTATCTTGTTACATGGGTTTCTATGGAGATCACTTCACTTTCACTGAAATCGCATTTGGAACCCTCGGGATCGTAATTGTCATATGCTTCGTTGCCCTAGTTGTCTTCAGATTGATGGATCCAACTGAATATTCGCCAACCGCGCAGGTGACAAGTCTTCTCATCCTAGAATTCCTTCTCCTCATCCCATTCTTGTACTGCGCCTATCGCTTATGTCTTCTCGACCCTGTCATCGCATTCTTCAAACGTAGTCCCCAAACTGACAAGGCCCACGCCCACAATTTAATTGGTGACGTCACTGACTCATCTGGAAATGCGGTCGAAACGGACAACTAATGGAGATTACAGTCTCGCTAATATATCTTTCATATCGCTTTCTAGCTGTGCAGAAACAAAGGCCATATATAAGATGGTAGATCTGTATCGTCATCCACATACCTTTAGTTGTATTAAACACAAGACGGATACCTTTTGTTGTGTCGTACTTTAAATTATAAAACCTCTTCCATGACCATCCGTGTTGTGGTTTATTATACTGTTGAAATAGGACATTTTAATGTTCGCTTGATTGCTTATTATACTAAAGTGGCGTTAAATCAACTTAATTGTACTATTTTGGCAGCCGTCTATAGGCTTTGTTTGGTTAATACCTTAAACACTAATACCAATGGTGGGTGACAGCGTTGGCGTTGGTATGGATCTGGTATGGGTGTGCGTTTACAATTTGGCCACCAAACGTTAAACCCTCTTATAATGATTTCGTACGTCTGTAGAAGTCCAATTACGCCTCTTTTGTGAGTTATTGCAGCCGTCACCTACAACTTATCAGACACCGCAACGATTAATTTAGAAATTATGGTCGGTGTAGACTATATTATTGGCGAAACTAGTTACTTATCACATTACTAATAATATATTAAAATTTTGTGTTATCATATCTAGTTTATCCACTTCCCCCTAGGATGGAAGATGAGAGAACCCGGGTGGTAGTTACGTTGAATAATCAAATGGGAGAAGTAGCCTTTATGTTGAATTGCACATGCTCTTTAAGCGGATTTATCTTATCGCCTTTTATAGCAATAATTACTTTGAACAGTTTTTTGGTAGTAATAGTGTAAAAGTAACAAGGCCCATCACGGCAAGAAGATTCGAACAGGAGTGCAGCAGTGCTCATGGAATTCTACAAATACAAACCGTACGTTCCACCAATTAGTCATCTAAGCAGTAAAATTTGTGAGTTCAGTGAATTATTGGTGTTACATATCGAGTATTAGACTAGGGTTTGAAATTGATAACCGAGTTCCTTTGGTACAGTATTATCTTAGTGTTTCATTTCTTCAAATGTCCCCTAGACATTAAGGCTAGTTTTGGTCGACCCATGGAGAGGTAAATCTACGTTTCCAAGCACTGTGACGTCCTGACTTGTTCGTCCATGTGGAACTTTCATCTTGGTCTTCATTATAATAATTGAGCGACGTTGAGTGGTAGGGAGCCGTAGGGTAAGCATGGCTGACATACGGATAACTACCCATGACCAAATAGTTAGGCTGTAGATAAGGATTGTGCACAGTGTGTACCATCTGAGGCCCAGAAGAGTATTCACCGTTCTGCAACAAATCTGCTCCGTTTGGAGGTTCCCTGTTTCTGGAAAACCATCTGCCGAACCATCCGGAGGTGTTTGGCCTCGTTGTAGCGGACATAGACAGCGCACAATTGCTCCCAAGGAAAAGTGCCAGAAAAGTGACCAAAACAATTCCTACAGTACGCGCATCAAGTTGCGATACGAACTTGTTGATGACTCCTCCCAGTACTTCAGCGGAGAGGAAAGACGCGTCGTCGTATAGAATGGCATCCTTATACATGCAAGCTTCCCATTCGCGGCATTGCTGCTCCAGAGCTGGGACACTGACAGTTCTGCACTTGTTTTTCCTGTATAGTTCTTGACACAACATTGCTTCTGCCTTCACCATCTGCCTCCTCTTTTCCAGTCCGTTTCCGATATCGCGTCCAATTGCGATTATAAATATCAGTCCGAGGTAGAGCAGTACCGATGTCACCGCTACGTTGAAGAATGCCCGGACCCAGCCGTTAAACACTTCTGGTGTCATGATCCGTCTCTCCGCACTGTTAATATTTTGAGCATTCGCAGCATTGTAAAAATCGAATGGATTCATTTGGGCAGGGTCGATCCTGCCTAGACCTATTATGCTGTGTTCCGGGTAATACCTGCGTAGATGGTGGTCATGTCTATGACGGTACTCATTGCACTGGTCTTTTCGTCTCCTGTTAGATGAAGACGAGAGATTGGACATTGATCCGCTTACTGAGTCTGGTTTGGAAGCTGCCGTTCTTGCGCTTACGATATGTTGCAGTGCATCATTAACATCTTCAAATTCACAGGGAGTTGAACAATCCGCATCTAGATCGATAACCTTGTTATAAACAGGTTTTCCCTTTACGATAGATTTTAATGTAGCCTTCGCCCCTTTTCCTCTAAAGAAATTAAGTAAAAATCCTGTTTGAGGTTTTTCTGGACTGTCGTGTGTAATCTTTTTTACATTGGTGATCTCCTCGGCAGAATCTTGTATCGGGTTACTATTGTCTCCATTACTTCCGTTGGTATTAGACAGATTTTCATGGCCTTCCGTCCCGTCGCGTCCTCCCGAGTTCCTTGATATATCAAAATCTTCGTATGTTGCCATATTTCCAACACTTCCATTATCTTGGTTATTTCCACCCATATTTGCTGTTGTGCTGTGTGCAGAATCCGTTGGTTGCCCGGTCATATTGTAATTAGCAAACATTGCCTCTTCACGGTCACCCTTCACACGTATATTCGTGCCCATAAATAGTATGTCATCATCTGTGACATCCACTTCGTTATCTATACCGGAATGATTGCGATACTTGTTGTTGCAGTCATCACCATTTGGCGATTTGGCTGAACGCTTGGAAGCTAGAGTTAGCGCGCTAATATCTGGTAAAGTATCGCCCATATCGGCGTTCCATTCCTCTCTCTGGTTGTAACCCATCCGTATGAGAAGTATTTATTGTGTTTTAGCGCTGCTGCTGCATTATAGGGTGATACTACGCGTGCCTGTGCCCTTTCTGTGAGGCCGTGGAAATTGACGCGCTGCTGCTGAGACACCACAAGCAGCAAGAAGAATTGCAAAAATTGGAAGACACATGATATCTGTCTGAATATCTCATTTTAACCTATTTAGGTGTAAGCAGCTTGCGCTGTATTGGTATCGCGTGGATGTCGTCGTACTACGATAAATGCGATATACACATCCTTCGCAGATTTGGACATCAGAATCTATACATATTTGTACCGCAGTTTCCACTTAGCAGTATGGAATAAATCTTTAGTGACGGCCCAAACCGTTAGAATACTCGGCGACAGAGTGAGTGCGAATCTTAGCGTTAACGACGTAAAACACCTTTACAATTATAGTAACGATTGAGACATGCGTTCGACCACAAATAATATTGAAAATACGTAATATACGCCAGATCGTGTGTACCCAGAAATCTCGAGTCAGGAGGTGTGGCCACCCACGTATGAAGCACACGTACTGCGAGTTTTACTTTCCATACACTCCCACCATTTGAGTGGCATAAATAGGGCCATTACGGTGTTTCCGATGGTACAGTAATAATTAGTCCGTTGTAGGTGTTTCTTCACCTTGGAATCGAGTGTTCCTGCAATTGTATTTCGCCTTTTTTGTTAAACCTATTTATTTAAGGCAAAATGGATGACAACGCTACGGAATTATTGTCAATCGATACGACCTTCAGGGATGAGCCCATTCTGGAGAATTTGTCGGATGTTGCCGACAAGACGCTGGATAACGCGGAATCTATGTTGAAAGTAGGTCTAACGAAATGAACCTCTACCCACTACTATTCTATTGTATATATCTGTGATTGTTTATCGTGTTTGCCTTTTGTCTTTAAGTATTGTATCGCTATTTGAGAGTTTGGGTTCGACACCAGGCATTCTAATCCACTTTATACATTGCTACAGAGCACAACATGCCGTGACGTGGAGTTCCTGAAGACTGTGCTCCTTGAGCTTATGCTCGCGGAGAAGCGTTGTCGTATGGCCCGTGACGGTGAGTCTACCGGCCGAATCTGCAAGTTTGTCATCCAATTACTGTATGACATTCGCGACTTTCCAAACCTTATTTACTACCTGGTACTTCTGACTCGGAAACGTGGTCAGCTGAAGGCGGCTATAACGGCTGTGGTGAACCACGCTATGGGTTGGATCCCGGAGATCGCTGACATGGACATTAAGATGAATCTCATTAATACTTTGAGCCATATCACATTGGGGAAGGTAAGTGACCTACACGTTGTATTAAGTTGTATCATAGATGTTCCTGGAAGTTCAACGGGCGGAACTTGCGTATACACTTGCCAAGATCAGAGAGGATGCCGGCGAAATTGACGAGGCTGCTAACATTATGCACAACGTTGAGGTGCGTAGTTTACTACATTTTTACCATACTATTATCAGATTGAAACCTTTGGCGTGCTTCCTAAGACTGAGAAAGTACGCTATTTGTTGGAGCAGATGCGTTTACACTTGCTGAACAAGGACTACCTGCGTTTCTACATAACGAGCAAGAAGATAGACGAAAGGTTACTTGATGCGAATGCCCATGTTGACCACCTGATGAAATTCTACGAGTATATGGTATACTACTATTTAAATTCGAAGGATTACTTCGAAGTCGCAAAAGCTTATCGTCACAGGTTGGATTGCGCCCTTAAGTCGGGAAGCGACGGATGGCTTATGGTAAGCAATACCCGTACTTTTAACGTATAGTTGTATTCTGAAGTATAATCTATTTGTCTCCTTATATTGATGTGTGTTATCAGTTATTACCGATTGTACCACTTTTTACGGCGGTTTTGTTCTAACATTTTTGTATAGGATTTGGAATGCTTAATGCTATTTCTCATGATTGCACCGCTCTCTGATGAGACTATAAAATACCGCAAAGACATGTTGGAATCTGAGGAGAAGCGTATTAAGGATGCACCTGTGCTAATGTGGTTGTACAAGGAGCTTCTCTCTGACAACCTTATTGCTTTTCCGCTTACGGATGAAGTTGCTCATGTGGTGAAATCCCACGCTGTGTTCTCCAATCAGAAAGTGAGCGGCGGTGAGGAACGTTTGGCTACTCTGGACGACCGAGTGATCCAGCATAACATAATGGTTGTTAGCAAGTTCTACACGAATCTGAAGCTCTCTCGTCTGTCGGAATTGACCAATATCGGTTGTGACGTGGGTTTATAACGTGCCTGTGTAACGTTGTGTAGAAATTGGAAGAAGAAATATCAGCGATGGTTCACGCCAACATTGTCCATGCCAAGATCGACCGCCCATCGGCTTTAATTCGGTTTGGTGAACGTAAGGATTCCGACACACTTCTGAACGCATGGTCCAAGGATATCGCAACGTATGTTTATATTTGTTTTGCTTAACCGTGTCTAGGTTGATGGGCTTGGTGGACCAATGCTCGCGTCTGGTGCAGAAGGAGAAGATGATCCACGAGGCTCGCATTAAGCAGGTTGAGCTAGAAAATAGCTTTCAAGAGTAGCTGGCCATTTTTTCGTACTATATACCGTCTTTGATGGAGATAAGCTGAAAGGCATCCCCATCATGTCGCGTTTGAACGTGGCGAACACATTTTATATTTTATTTGGGTAGTTCCTGCACTTATAATATTATTCTATAACCTCTAATCTTCAGTATGCCGAAGAATAAGGGTAAGTTTTTGCTATTGTATACACCGTGTCTCGGTGGTTTCTGTTTATTGCCCTAACACCTATCAGGGAAGGGAGGCAAAAACCGCCGTCGCGGTAAGAACGATAATGAGGGAGAGAAACGTGAGTTGGTGTTTAAGATGGAAGACCAAGGTGGGTACTATACGCTTGATATATGTCATGAGTTTATAGAGTACGCTCAAGTGCTGCGTATGCTTGGAAACGGTCGGCTTGAGGCATACTGCTTTGATGGCAACAAGCGTCTGTGTCATATCCGGTGTGTTTCACTTTATCCTATTTTTATCTGTGTTAGGGGTAAGATGCGTAAGAGGGTGTGGGTGAACGCTGGTGACATTATCCTCGTGTCTCTACGTGACTACCAGGACAGCAAAGCCGATGTAATCGCAAAATACACACCTGACGAAGCTCGTTCGCTTAAGGCGTATGGTGAGCTTCCAGAGTCTACTAAGATCAATGAGACTGATCTTTATGACGAGGAAGGTGATGGTGGTATCGAATTCCAGGATGATTCCTCGGAGTCAGGGAGCGAAGACGGCAAGGATGACGCTAAGTTTGATATCGACGATTTGTGAGCCGTGGACGGTGATCTTTGCCTCTCATGCAGATATTGTCGAACTTTGGCAGGCTGTAAGCTCCGCTGCGCCGCGTCAACGGATGCTGGCGCAACCCCTAGGCGTTATATCCTGGACCAAACGGTAAACAACGGATGTTAATGTATCTACGTGAGATACGCATGTAAGCGAACATTAGATCGATGTTTTTGATGGTTACCTTAGTAGGCTCAAGGAGTGTAGCTGATACTATCCGCCATTCGTCGCTTGAGTCTCAGCGTTTTCTCCTTGAGAACTTCTATGGCCTTTAGGAATAGCTGTCCGCTGGGGATGGCACCGGTTGACTCCACCGAAACTGCTCTGGTTAGTATCTCACGCGATCCGACTTACATATGAAATGGTTACACAGCTTAGTTATGATGATCCTACGCGGAAACCGTTCTACACATGCACGGCATGATGTGCAGTTGTAAGGCCTGATCTCTGTGATGCGTCCTGTGTATATCTTTAGTCACATCAGGTATTGTTACCAACCGTTTTCCGATGCAAAAACACCCATTGGGCATATATTGACGAGTTCTTCCACTTCTTCACTAGTAAGTGGTTCCTCTTTTGAGAATGTGATTTCCGGCTTGAATCGATAGACAGCCGTACATACTGGTGACCACTTAGTGTGGGTCTTTCCGATTCCCTTTTCCAAGTATGCCTTGAGGTCGATTTCCTACATTAGCGGTTAGTCGGTAACATGACTGCCATTTCCACAGGCGCAACGGTGGTAACACTCAACTGACCTGCCCTGCTGAGAGTTTGGTGAGTAGTATATCGCCGTAAATTGGCATGGGAGGATTATCTCGGAATGCCTCAGCCTGCTCACTTGAGAGAGGTACCCACTTAAGGTCACGGGCATATACTACAACATATTATAAACAATCCCCAAAGCTGACACATATATAGGGGTCACTATCGCAAATACGCAGCTGTCATCAGAACAGATTGGTTATTTTAACCTACTGGGCATATTCGTTCTGTCGCCTAGTTCCTCTCTGGTACACTTGACCTTAAGTTGGAAGCATACGCTGTTTTTGTCACTCAGATCGTCATTATCTGCACTTAGTTGTGGCTCCTAAGCTGCTGTAACTCACTTCTAAATGGTATCATATCCGGGTCGCAGTTAAAGGGCACTAGTCCTATCCTATGTGCGAGCACTTCATCCTGTAATACACCGGTGTTTTGATATATCTGCACTAGTTGAAAGAGCTATGTTTGGCAACTGACATGGACGGTTTCTATGGCCAGTGTTGGTACTTCTGCTATTAGAATCCTGCGAATGGCATTTGCGATAGCTACATTGAGTCCTTCAATTTCTGCGATAGCATGGTTCCTTGTGTTCTTTAGGAACTTTATTTTTATTCCTTTGATTTCTTCAAGCACAGTACGTCCAGATGAGTCGCCTTCGGCGGTGAAGGTTGGCTTGACCCCTGCGGCCTCGAGTCTGACATTGCCCGGCATTATCTTCGGGTCGATTCGAAGACTCAGCGCAGCTGCGCGATTAAAATATCGTATAACCTATTAATATATGCGATAATTCCTTTTAAAACTGATAGTGTTATTTCACAATCCCTCTATCTGCGTTGGGCCTATGGTCCGTATTTTGTGATCGAAAAAAAGACCTGTTTTACAACCTCAACTGAATGTGTATGTTTAGATGGTTACTATTATATATTGAGATGATGTTTGAGTTCGAGGGTAATGTACATCGCCGGTATATCTTTCGTAACGCGGCGCCAATATAACGCTAACGGTAATAACGCCGACCATACATCTAGCTGTGACGCATCGATCATGTGTTGGTGTATATATGAATCATTGCGTTGGTTTGCTGAACTTCAGGTGAATATACCATATTACGTTCCATTCGCGTGTTCGGAAGTTAACATCTTCTACGAAATAACACTGTTACTGGGCCATTCACGCAGTTTTATGCACATAAGAATATATGATGCGTCTCTACAACACTTTTAAAGGTGTATAGTTACGGTTTAACGTGTGTTATATTTCATTTGTCTTGATCCTTTGTACGTTGCAAAAGTGCCTCCCAGTTTCCAACTATCGCCTTCCGTCTTCCCATTTTCTTGCACTAAGTGTGCTGTCATTTGCAATCGACGATTTGGTGTCTTCGTCTGTATGACACTTGTTCCGTTCAATTCCCCATTTGTCGTCTAGGCTTTTATGGCATGGACGGATTTTTAAAACCGAACATCTATGCTGCCGCTGTTAGATTGTTCAACGTCTTCACCGCTTTACCCAGAGCATCCGGTAAACTATCTCTTGACAGATCAGCATATACCAGGGCTCCACCAAGGAGACAAAGGAGGACGACCAAGGGCCATATTAATCCGTGACAACATATCCCTGGTGGCCTAGTCGCGGTGAATTGAACAACGATATAGAGTGTTAATATTGTACCCGCAAGGGCAAAAACAGCAATCCAAATGAATGTTATGAGATCCATTGTCATTGTTTGCGTTTATACTGTAGTCCTATGTCAAAGACAAAAAAAGGTGATTTAGGGTTATTTTTGTATGGGCAAATATCAACACTAAGTATTTGGTTGGCAAAGTGGCACCCAAATAACAATGTTTTAGCACCGTATCTGTTTATTGCTCTGTTAATCTCACGTGGCTGGTCATCTGTGTACGTAAGATGGCCAAAGAGCAGTGCTTAGATTGATGCAATATGTTGCGGCTTTGTGGGATACAGACCACATGGCTAGACTATGAGACATAGTGTCTTGGTCCTCATCGCCCTAGAAAACGATTAGAACAGCCAGGTTAGCCGGAGAACTGTTTCGGGTTGTCCCAGTATTTTGGGACGGAAGATCTGCAACAGTACACGACACATTTGTCTTATTGGTTACTTTTAACACAATTTTGGTTTTTCTCATTTTTTTCGTGACTCACCGCTTCTTCTGTTCACTGTATTACACCGCCGCAACTGGCGAGCGTTAGCGTCGCTATGGTTGAACTGCATTCTTAAACATCTAGCTTACATTATTTGAAACGGCCAAAAGTCAGCCGTAACACATTCATTTGTTGATTATTATTGTTATTTGACTTTTATTTACCACATATCACCTCGGGTGTTTGAGGGGGCGCGCGCTGTGTTGAGATTTTCATGGCGCATTGAATTCTGATAAAGTTTATCGCATAGTCGTAAAGGCTAAACAAGCCGTACATATCGCAACTATTGGTGGCGTAGAGGCCGCGGGCGCTCTGGAAGGTCACTCGTTCCATTCTGTTTGACTTCTGGAGTTATATACATCTTGAGATGTCTGCAGGTGAGCATATTCTATCTAAGTATCATTCGATTCATTTTCACTTTCCACCGGCGGGTTATAATGTAGATTTAGTTACGGAAGATAAGTCCTCTGGGTCATCTCCCAGCAACGGTCATGCTGAGAAAGTTTCAGCCAGACCTGTCTGGGATGATGAAGATGAAGATGAAGAGTCTACACGTGGCCCTGACCTAGCTTCATCCGAGCCGGAATGGGTATTGAAACGTCGTCGTCTATTAGCGTCAACAGGGGATCGCAGTGTTGATGATGACGCTGTGACTGACACTTCTACCCTTACCGGCCGGTTGACAAAGGTCAAACCTGGTCGTCGTACATCAGGTGTACGTTTTCTTATTGAGCGCCAAACCGATTCGCGACACAAAATCACAGTCTCGTAAGTAGAATTGTATCACATATAAACTAGTTTCAGTGGTGGTGTGTCGCAGTTAGGTTTTGATGAGAGTCATTCGTTGTTTGCGGTGCTCGGTCGTCGTGAGAAGTCGATACACCTTTTTGAGGTAGATCGTCATAGTGGTGAGGATCATAACTTTGGTTTCAAAGGGGAGTTGAGGTCAGCTTCATCGTGTGGTCGCGCAATTTCAAGCTTTACGTTCGCGGAGGGTGGAAAGAGCCTGCTACTCGTCGACGGTCGCAAATCGGTTCTGCGTTATGATTGTGAGCATGGGTGAGCCTTCGTTCATCAAGTTTCGACGCGCTCTCAGATCTGCGACGCGGATCTCTAGCATTACCAACCCTCGCACAGCTTACGGGTACCGGCGTATACACAGCCCACCCTTCTTGGATGGGAAGAGTGCCAACGTGTTTGCGTTGAGCTGCACAGATAACGGAGGTGTGCTATTGTGTGATACACGATCGAATGCTATCATGCACCACTTCCAGATGAACGCGACAGCGGTTGTAAGTGTTATACGTGGCTAAGTTGGTGACGTGGCTACAGGGCGTTGCCTTCCACCTAAAGGCCGGGATCGTTATAACTGCCGATGGGGATGCCAATGTACGTCCTTTACATGGATTTCAGATCAAGTTACAGGTATACGAGTGGGACTTGGTTTCGGGCCGTTGTCTAAACAAGTTCAAAGACGAGCATTCGCTTCATCTAACTACTTTCGAGATGTCTCCTAGTGTGAATTATGACTTTGCTAGACATGCCTTCGTCTCCGCTGGGTCCCGTATGGGTTTTTTGAACCTGTATCCTGTGGTGTCTGATTACGACCGTGATACCGGGGTTCCATCCAGTTCGTGCATTCAGCACGAATTAGTGAAGAGTTACGGCAACCTTTCCACAGCGGTTACCAGTATAGCCCATGAGGACAGCGGGACGTTCATAGCTTATGCGTCTGAGCACAAGCGCAATGCGTTACGTATTATCCACAACCCTAGCGGTCGAGTGATTAGCAACTGGCCAACGGAAAGCATCAATCTAGGTCGTGTAACCTCCTTAGCGTTTGCACCACGTTTAAGTACGCTAGCAGTAGGAAATCGTTCCGGTAAAGTACAGTTATTCCGAATTATTACGACCTAGTACCAGTTCCATTGACGTAAACATCTGTTATTCGATGTTCTGTCCTTATCTGAGAACCTCTACAATGTGGTCTCAAGTCCTAATATGTTTGTGATATGACGGCAACGAATTCCACGTTCCTGGACTCGGAGCCATAAGTGACTACCGGTCATCGCCGAGGGACATACCCCTTTAAGAAGCCTTAGGCTAAAATCAAATATACATTGACATTCAGATTTACTGCCATATAGGCATTAAGACAGATGACAATTTTATTCAGAACGTGGATATGTATACATAAGTGACGTAATAACTTTATCCATTACACCGAGAATATGGGGTTCTTATATCGTCACCCGGTTTGCGTGTCCTTTCTTAATGGGGGACCGGCGGATGCACAGGCTTTAAACTTACCTGGCTGGCGCTCGGGGTGGCTCACGTATCACCCTGTCGTGGCTCGGAGCGGGGCATTGCACTCAGCTGACCGTAATGAGCCATGGGCTCTCCATTGTGAGAGTGCCAACAGCACAATTTTTGTCTGCGGTGACCTTTTTGGGCGCCAACAATTTGTCAAAATCAACATTTTTTACTCATAACGTCACGAATAGGGGCAGCTGGTGTTGCTTATTTTAGTTTTTAAGGTTTAGTCTTTTATCTTCGCTGCCCTTAGGGGCCTGCCCGGATGCCGCGCGACGCGCACAACAGATATCGGCGCTCAATGGGAGACGGCGGTCTTAGGCGCGTGACACAGACCTGGGGCCATTATATTAACCGTGTTCCTAAATATATTTCCAATTTTCGCACGAAAATGGGCAAGCATACACCTACTGACCTGGTACGTTGCATGGCACTGGTGCCACTTAGGTTACCGCGACACAGACACCCGAGGAGCTCAATGGCCTAGTTTCGGCGTTGACTGAGGAGCAGCGTGTACGTCTGGAGGAAATACGTAGCCTGTATTCGATGCACATCAGCGGTAACCAGGAGTTGTTCGACGACCTTTTCTTCGTGAGGTGGGCCACGCACGGATCGTCGTCAATGACTTTAGGTTTTTACGCGCTCGCAAGTTCGACATTAATAAGACCAGTGCAATGTTGAATAAATATTTCAGTTGGCGCTTAGAAATCAAGGTTGACGAGATTTTACGCGTAAGCTACAATCGACTCCTTTTACATTTCATCTTCAGAGCGATTTTTCTTACATACGGGACACGGTTAGGCAGTATTTCCCACACGGTTTCCATGGAGTTGACCGTCTTGGCCGACCCATATATATCGAACGTATGGGCCAGGGAAGCTGTACTAAGCTGCTTCAAAATTTGTCAACCGAGCAGTTGACTCGATACTACGTCCAACGTTACGAGTACCTGACTCATGTGATGATGCCAGCTGCTTCTATGAAGCATGGTAAGCCTGTAGAGCAGCTGCTGACTCTTGTGGATCTTCGCGGATTCTCCATATCGCAAATTAACACTAAGCTCCGCGCCTTCCTTACGGCAATGTCCGCTGTCACTCAAAACTACTATCCAGAAATGCTTGGAAAACTGTTATTTATTAACGCATCCACGTTTTTTTCGGCACTATGGCAGATCCTCTCCCCGCTGCTAGACGCCAAGACGCTTTCAAAAATCAGTGTCATATCGTCGAAAACCGAGTCTAAGGCCATAGTCAACGAACTTGTTGACGCCGACCAACTCCCTATGTTTTTGGGAGGTATCAGACCAGACGATGACTGGATGGGATCGGACTTTGGGCCTTGGGGCGACCCAGAGATCATAGAGGAGCTAAAGCGCAAGCGACCACATGTACCGACTGAACTTTATGACGTCAAAGGACTGTGAAGCGACGTATATAATTAAAGAAACACACGCATACGGTTGACAGCTAACACACATGAATGTATAATAAGAAAGTTTTATGATGTTGATGACCATGGTCCACATAGTATTTCTTAGACCCTGTGTCCTACACTTCATGTGTTCAACAAATTATGAGATTGCGATTAATGCGATGATGTTCAAGTGCGCCTTAGGCATTCTTCGAATGCTTCGCGTAGAGGTGGATCCCATTGAATATCTTCCGATTCTAGGTCAGCCTGATCCACCTGCACGGGCGCTTCTTCTGCGTAGAAACCTGCACGGTGTAACGCACGTTCCAGTTCTGCTTCCACTGCCGATAGAGAACCATCTTCGTCGTCACGGAATCCATAATAGTCTGGGTTGATTTTCCGATAAAGTTCAGCTCGCGTCACATATGTGTCCACACGACGCTGGTCGCTTTCTTGTTTCTCGAAAAGCTCACGAACACCAGGGAGATTTTTAGCAGCACCGAAGTACTTGTATCCACCACCTCCTACTTTAAGTTCAGCTCCATGAGCGTTCTCTATAGATGATGATAATGCACGGTAGTCCGGTCCACCAAGTTCGATAACACGTTCATCCCAGCGTTTTCGTAATCCGATAAGACGGTTGATTTCGTCATTTAAATCACGTATAGCAAACTCTCCCAGGCTTGCGTTTTGTATACGTGAAATAGAGATCATAATATCCTTTACTAGGAGATTCCGCCAATGTTCTGCTGTCCTAACATCCTCAACTTCAGAGGTGTGCCTTGGCTTGCGAGATAACTGAGTATCGTGAGCTGATAGTCCACTTTTGATACGCAGCCACTTGTTAAGCATAGCATTAGCCTTTTCCGAGTTACGCGCCATGGTGAGTTGGTCTTAAATGAAAAAAATCCTGGCTGCTAGCGACTTATTAATGATATATCCGTTATATAAAGCGAACTAAAGTTGAAAGTGATATGGCTGTAGTGGACTTATTATGTCGTATCACACTATAAGGTAGCAGCGACAGCTTAATTCAGCGTTCCGGCCTCTCGAGACAGTACGCAGCTTTCAAAGCAATATAGAGTCTGTAGAAGTTATAAAATCGTACAATAGTCGGTTGAGCTCGGCGAAATACAGGCGTTTTAGCCGGACTTCCTTAAACGGTCACCTATAAGGCTGTCTGTCGCCGCTTTAATAAGCTATATTTTCGACTATGTATGTACAAATTTCATTTAAATTGAATACATAAAAATGATTCTTGGAAGGTTATACATGGAGAAGGTTGATAATCAGGCCTCCACGCCACGCGGGTTACTATTGCCTTTCTAATAATACACATCGACGTATCATTTTGATAATCACGTAATGGATCGGCAAGGGGCCTGCCAGCGACCTACTGCGGAGTCTTCGCATGGTCACTGGTGCCCCGTTGATGTAGATGAAGCTAACATGATGCCGGAGTTGCCTAATACCGCATTGAGTGACGCTGCACACGGCCTTGATACTTCTAGGCAGCTTTCTTCGATCCCTCGTACGGAGCAAGGAGAGAGTAAGTGGCATCCATTTGATTATAGCCTTGTACAGAGTGGACATACCCTTCTGCTATGCAGTTCTACAACGCCCTGATGCTAAAGCGTAAGACCACTCCTGATGAGGCTGCGTATATGCGTGACGCGGTTATGGCGCACAACGCAGTGAATGAGCGCACATGGGATAAGGTGCTAGAATGGGAACGTATGCATGCCAGGTATGCCACGATACCACCAATGTCAAACTCACTGTGCAGCACCTGTGCCAACCCACAATTGCGCCGTTTCGTCGGCCGGTATGGAAAAGAGTCACCTAGATCATTTCTACATCGTTTTATTTGGGGGTAAGGTTATAAGTGTGGCTCTGTGAACATCTCGATACAGTATGGGTAAGCCATTCGATCGTCACGATTGGTTCGTGAACCGTTGCGGGCATGATGTGCGTTACATCATCGACTATTACGACGACCCCAAAGCAGGTGACGACGTACAAGTGTACATCGACGCTCGGCCTGCGTTAGATAGCTTGGGTGCCTTATACGATCGCATCAGGCGGTCATTTAAGCGCCAACAACCTTAGCAGTTATATATACACACTGTGAACAACAATAATGTATACGAATTACATTAAAACAACTCATATCGCCAAGTTGGCGTAGTATTTGTTCCTAATAGTTTCTCTGCTACTATAGCTGGGAGGGCACTAGCCCGTGTCGACACCCCCAAAGGGCTCGGGGTGTCTCATCTCGCACTGCGTTGAAGTGTAGAATGGCACATGTAATGCCATTCGAAAGTAGATTATGCGCTAGGTAGTTAACCTGTCGTAGACGCATAGATGTAGCAACCGGGGTTCGTGGCTAGGTTTTGTTCTTGTGGTATTTCAAACATCGGATATTGACGTGATCGTTGATAAGGTAGCAATCCCGGGTGTCCTCTGAACCTTTTTGTCATCAGACGATTCGCTTTTTTCTAATTCTTGTAAGTTGCGTTTCATTGACCTGCGTTCAACAGGTTCTATAACGTCTGACAGCGCTGGTGTTGGTGAATCGTAATCGTAGTCGACGCACTCGAGAATATTTTCGAAAGAATAGTCTCTATAAGGTCCGACAGCTGGAACTCCAGATTCATTCCGTGACTCTAACCTGACTCCCACATCCTTTCTATCATCAACGTCACTGTTCTTTTCTTCATCCTCCTGAGTTTTCTTCTCTTCCTCCTCCACCTCTTCTTCTATTTCTCCATCTTCCTTTTCTTCCTCGTCTTCTTTATCGTCAATGACCGTACTAATGGTTTCAGTTTCCTTATTGACAGTCAAATCTGAGTCCCATTTGATTGGGAACCTCGTTACCCTTGGTTGGTCTATTATGCATCGTACCATTTCTTCGACCATCGGTGTGTCTGGTGGTGACTCCCTTAATGCTGGATCATCGTAACAGTTGTTGGTGTAGTATCCGATGCGTATGAATTCCTGCTCACAGTAGTTTCCAGTGACCAGTACAGCTTGCATTCCTAGTATACCTTCTGGGTTGAGCTGCATATAATTAGTTTACAGATCCTTTCTGCTTACCCTTGTAAAGTCTGGTGCTGGTACTCTGAACTCGAACTCTAGTACCCCTTTGTAGATGGGTCCCAAGCATACGGCATCTAATACAATTTCACCTTCACCTGAGTATGTTGAATTTGGTGAATCTTGACTTCCATCGAGATACCCCTGTCCATCTGATGTGACGTATACAATCTTCCATTCGATATCATGTTTCAAATCTTCAAGGCATTCAAACTCGATCTGGAACACCAGTGGAGCAGTTACTGGGCATACGTTGTTTCCCACGGTGATGTTAGTAACGTTAACTAACGACATTGTGCCCCTGTGTTACTTCGCGAACTCGTACGATACTATTAGGAAAAAATGGTGCGCCAGTATTGTAATTTCTCCGAAAATTATCAACACAATCTTGGTGTTTGATAGTGTGTCGTACACACTACTACACACCAAAATTTGTACTGATGGTAATGACTTCTTTTTATTTTTATGTACTTCATAAATACATTAATTGATACTGAATATTTTTATATAGTGTTTCTAATACTGAGTGGGTTCCCCGCGTCATTGCCGGCGTTGTCTAGTGTGGGGAGCAGCAGCAGCGTAGAAAAAGTGAGCGGAACTTTAGAAATGTGCCATACTGTCGTTTCCACTGCACGTATACTGTCTAGCTACTGTACTATTCACATAACGTAATTTTTGCGTGCACACTGTGCTATTCGATATCGAGATTCCATTACTTTTGCCCATAATTTTCATTATCGTTCTGCCACTTAATTTTTTCTAGCCTGCAATACGCTATTTTTGCGATTTCTGTTCATAAAGACGCTCAAAAAAATTCCAAGGCACAAATTAGACTAATTTGTAGCAATCCTTCCACTATTACCGACCATGGTCATTAATACCAAAATTTAGCCATAATAAAGCCCATATGCTATGATTTTCCTATTTATATAACGATTCAGCTGCCTCTGTAACCATATCTTACATAGTTGTGCTACGGTGTGTCGTGTAAACTGATGTTGTTATGACAAGGCTTCCTAGGCCACCCTGCCCAGGTCACTTAATAATAAAATAGTTACACTAAAGGGTGTTATAGTATATATTAGTTTTAGTCGTCGCTACGAGGGCGTAGCGGACGCTTGTGTAGAGATCGTCTTAAAAAATAACTGACCGGCCCATCCCAAAGGAAGTTAATAGGGGCTGAAACGATCTAAATCCCGGAATGGCACCTTATGTGATATATGGTTAATATATATTACAATCGCCACCTTCTTCATATGCATATGCTATGATAGAAGGAAGAGCCAGAAAAGGATATTGTCTATGTCTATCATGAAGTTTAAAGATCACATGCTAACGTAATACTCAATAAAAATCATACAAGTGGCTATATTCGACCTTCTAAAGGCAGTGTGTTGTCATACGGATGTAACAGAAAATATGTTGTTCACGGTTATTCGACCTTCCTGAAACGGGACTCCAACTTGACGATGCCATGGAAGAAGATGTAATCGAAGACATACATCTGCTACAGCAGATTCTGCAGAGGTGGGGAGTCCAACAACTCAGCCAAAGGATCGCCGAACTCAGCTCGGATCCTAATTACTCACACGAACACGTACTGAAGCTATGCTGGGAACGTTGTAAACACGAACCATTACGCAACAAGAGCAATGGAAACCCAAATTACGTAACTTATGCTATTATTCGTTCGTGGGATGCACAATGGGCAGGGACACGGACAGGTCAGGATGATAACAAGGCATCCGTTTTAACACCTAAGCAAGGGCCACTGTCTATCATATTCACAGCGGTATTCATGAACTTATTAATGAAGATTAAGCTGCTAATGGTCAGTGGATCCCCGAGGACATTTCATCTCGCGGTGCGACGTTTTTCAACGATCGTCTCTTGTATCTTCACAGGCGCTTACGGCGACGAGTTCTATCATGATGTCACAAATGAAAACATCAAACGCGTGGTATACCTTCTGAGGATATCGATATCACTTATATTGGATACACAGGTCGATAGAATATACGTAGGTGGTGCTTTGCCGGTACGTACTATCTTCACCTGGGCCCGTTGTGTTGTACACCTAGTCAACGTGATAAATGGGCTATGCCCACAACTAGTCGAAGGCATCGAAGAAGATATTTTTAGGGATTTCCTAGGTGAGTTGATCAGGTCAACGCAATTGACATCGGTACAGAATTGGTGAGACAGCGCTATGGTACTACTATACAACTTTTCCATAGAGCAATGAAAAGCATGCAACTGGTTGGAGGAAACATCGAGATGAAAAGACCCACGGTTACGGTCAACGATAATAGCTTGAGAGTGGTTGCCATATTGATATCTGAATTCGTATATAACTGCCAACTGGCAAAGACCGTTACATTCGATGGTTGGGGTTGGAACCCAGTATATGACGATGCTACATTAAGCACCTCAAAACTGCATCAAAGCGGCTACCCAATCATAGAGTTACGGGATAAAGTAGCTGGATACTTGCTAGATCATTCACTAAGACCACTGGCTGCTGTGGTAGCAAGTCCAAGTTGCATCTTACACAACCTTGCTCTATGGCAAGCATACGTCTATCTGGTTGTAGGTTACTGTGATTTCGGATATAAAGGCAACTTCTTGAGTCGCGTGCTTGGATGCGGAGGTGATGGCGGATACAACAGCAACGCTTTGCTCGATATCTTGGAATCACCTGTAGGACTTAGAGTGGACACTTGCGCACCCATTCAGGATTCCTCTGTTACGGTATTGCGCGCAATTAGACTGATGCAAGAGGTTGTTACGTACCTGATATACGATTTAAACGATAACCCAGCTAAGAAATCGTTTACTGAACGTAGGGAACAAGGAGATGGAACAGATACAAACGATGGCAGGACACAATGCTTACGTCTAATCGCCAGAACAATGTTTGTATGGCATTTGCACTACTATAAATCGAATATCCAGCGAGACGGAGTACAACCACATGACTGCGACTACTACGCTGCCTTCTTCAAAATGGCCGTAGTCACTCTGCACAGACATAGGTTCCACCTACCTGACGATATCGCTGATATCTTGATATCTGTAGTAGTTATCAGTTTGAACGTGTTGAATCGGTATAAAGATAGATCAAGGTTACTCCAGGCTGTGTTGCACGCATTCTTTCGTCCAACTGCGCTGTCGGTCACGTGGCAAATCCGCAGGGCACAAACTTTTGCAGAGACTGGAGTTAACATTTATGAAACCTCTGCAGCGAATAGCTCCGATACGATTTTGCAGGAATCGCAGCCAAGGGATGTACTTTTGAGATTGGATGCCTTTACGTATACAAACATGAAAGCGATAGTTCAGAATTATATCTATTCTACGAACCGTCCAATCGATGTCATGAAGGCCATATATTCACATCTACAGGCACGAGGTTACAAAATAGAGTCAATAACGGAAGTTGGCCGACAACCACTGGACTCGTTACTTAGGCGTTTCGCCAAGTATGAACATCTCCGCAAGGAAACTGGGTCAATAGGTGTAGCTACACCACAATCAGATGAATCAAATGTCGCATCATGTGCATCTTCGGATACCACTAACAGCTCTAAATCCGCGGGATATGCATTTTCCAAATGCTTTGCTGTTAGCTGCATAGACGAAACTGCAGTTGTCATGGTCTGTCTTGCATCCGAAGCCGCTATACGGTTTTTGCATCGGCATGATTCTATGGATACTGTTGATATAGCATGCTCTTTTGTGTTCCTAAACTCATTGGCACTACTGCTCACGGTGGTACATGAAAGGTTGTCATCTTGCAACAGTGGTGGCGAGGTTGGATCTTGGAAACGTGGTTCAACAATCGCTCTTCTTTTGGAAACCTACTTGCATATGCAAACAATAGAAATAAGTGCTACTATGAGGTCGGCACTCAGAGCACCTCTATTGTCTGCACTTTACCTCTCTGATGCCGTGGTGGAAGTTTTGCTCTACACTCTCTTGCGCTCGCAGTTTTACTCGCCAAAGGCACATGTTAAACGTGTTACAGATCTCAATTTGGGATTCTCACGCCATGATACACTTATACTGATGAATTGCCTTAGGTGTGTCATTGCATCACCCATCAAGGATGTGTTACATGTTATCAAGACACTGACGTTCCTACTGCAACAGAACACTGCTGGATATGGTAAAATGACACCTGTAAATATAACTAACATGAAGGAAAAGGGTTTGAAATCTGGAGTTGCTTTACATGATTCACCGCTAACATATGAGTCACACCAATGTTGTGGTAAAGGTGATACTTCGGTTTCTAGTAGCCCAATGGGCACTGTATCCAGAAGTGAAAGGGCTGCTATAGTAGAGAAGCTGTTAATCCATGCAATGACACGGTACCTCGCTAGCGTAGCTGTAAATATTAGTAGGCTTCGACTAAACCCGCCAACGGTGGCACCATTGAAGGCTGGATTTTTTGACGGTATATTGAAAGCTGTATGCAAGTTCATTGGAGCCACTGGGATATCAGATCTGACCTATAACGTAGTACATGTTCTACCCTTTCTACTGAACCTGTGGAACCTTATCAGATTAGACCCAAATAACGAGTCATCGGATTTGGTGACATTTTGTATGGAATTAGAGTCATTGAACCGCAGAAGGCATTCTGTAGCCCACGGTATACCGCTACTGTCTGACATCAGCACCCTATTGAGTCTACGGGCATCCATGCTGCCGAAACTGATGTCATCATATTCTGTCGGCGGCGGTACAAGAGACCCGGATGACAAAGCGTCTACACCCATCAACTCTAGAAAGGACAAATCAAACGAATGTGTAACTACAAGTAGACTGTCTAACACCCTATCTTCAGTGTTATCGGAAAAAGCTATGGACTTGCATCAATCGTTTTCAGGGTACCCAGGAACAACCACAGCAAAGAAGTATGACTCCACCACGCCAGCAAAAGAGCCTATTGATGAAGCTGATGCTATACCATATGCGAGATATCTGAGAGTATACACAGCTAAGATACCGCGGTTCTGTTTTCACTGCAACGGTCCGTTACAGGCCAGACTACCTCTGAGAGGGTTGTACCACATCACCTGTAAGCGATGCAAACTACCATCGCCGTTACTATGTGAAGGGCAGATTGACTTGAATAACAGAACTATTGGGATTTACGTGGTCACTCAGGTTCCCATAACCGCTAGAGGCGTGTTATCTTCTGGGATGGTCCCCTTGGCATCACAGTACACCCCTGACGTTACTCTAAATTGGGATTTTATAAAATCACTACTGGAGGCTAGCGCTAATCTACTGTCAAGGGTTGTATTGCCCATAGATGTTAAACACGCAGTTTCTAGGGACCTGTCAAACATTTTGGCACAATGGATGCAATGCGCCCCGGAAGTGTGCCATCGAACTTTGCAGATGGTTTCGAGGTTAAGTACCCTTGGTACAGGCTGTATACATTGGCTGATGCACAAGAATGAGGTATATCGTAAACTTGGTTCTATGTGTCAAATTGGTGTGAACGTGGAATTTTTCAATTCCCGTTTTAATGATAATATGGTCATCATGTCGGATTCTTCGACTGAAGTGGGCCAACTACGGCTGCACTACTTCTGTGATTGGTTGGTTATGTCTCTAGCTTCTCCTATACCAGTTACGTATAAGGAGGAGGATTGCACGGACTTTTGGAGATGCTCACCGGTGTTAGCTGCCAATTTGAGTACGACGACCTTATCACAGATATTCACATGTTTGTTACAAGCGGTTGTAGATGCCGATGTTGTTACACCAGTTGCCCCCGTACGTGCTATTGACCCAACGGACCAGATTCGCTTTGCATCAGCATGGCTGGGTTTGTCACAATTGGCCAATATATTGTCCATACCGCTTGGAAAATTGTTGGTATCAGGTCTATCTTTAGTTCCTGTACGTCTATCGCTATCCTTGCGCGCTATGTTGACCCCTATGCCGCCTTTGACCAACTTCATGCTAGCTCTAGTGTTGCCATCGTCTGTCCTAGAGAGATTAGAGGATTTGCATGAGGGGACTATAAAGAATGTTCTGTGTACAGATTCAATGCTCCAGTTCAGTCTAGAGGATTGTGATTATCGATTATTTCAGGTCATGCAAACGTTCCATCAGACAGGTAATTTACCTGATAATATCGACCAATTGCAACATCTGGACAAGTACCGTTTCTACGCATTGGTACGGCTATTATGGTATGCCACTAATCCACATGTGATGCTCCGTATGGATGCTTTGCGTGGAGCTAAACCGCTACTAGAAGTACAGGCTGACTATGTATCAGCGCCCTTCCGATCGTATCTAGAGGCAATTTCTAGGTACAAACGACAGAATAGTCTACAGCAGAATAACAAGAGCGGTGAAAGTGGAACTAAATCTACTAGCATCAATTCTGCTGTACTAAGTAGTGGTAGACCCTCTGTTTCTGTTACCCAGCGTAGCGAGTTAGCATTTGCTGGACAGCAAACTGGGACACAACATATGGACACTATGCAAAACGATTCCAGTTCAGCTCCTGAATCTACACCTCAATCTAGCGACCAGTGTTCCGGTAGTAGTGCCATGATCGAATATTTGCAGGAAAACTTTGTACGTGTCCTGGAGTATTTCGTAGCTGTATGGCTTAACCGTGGGAAGCAGACCCTGAACTTTGCATTGAAGAACAAGCGTGTATTTTACCCCGAAATATATGGATACAGTGATAAACAGCCTATCGCCGATGCACATATCGCGCGGACATACAACTGTATAGCTATCCTTATATGTATCTATCATGGTGATATCGATGTCTTTTGCGACAGGTTGATCGAGGTGCTCACCATTCGCCCTGTGGACGCGCATAATGCCCAAGTTCTGTTCCACTGTTGGGTATTCTTAGCACGAAAAGTATCCTGCGAAGTACTCGGATTGTGCGCGCCCGGTATAGCATACTACGTGGCACGGATAGAGAAGCTTGGTATCGATATACAAACCACTGATAGTCTGATTGATGAGATTAAAGTTAGGTTAGAACCTACAGATCAGGATAAACGATTTTCTTCATATATAGATTGTATGGTATCTTGCGTGAGGTCTCCGGAGGCAGTGGATAACATCGAGGTCAAGTTGGAAATGCTAGCGTCGATGCTACACAATGGCGAGTCTCTCAAGATACCTTATATTACTCGTGAAGCAGCGGCTATAACGGCTAACCAGTTACTCGAGCTTAACCCTTTTGTATCTAACATGGAACATGCTAGGGCATCAGCGTTAAGACTTGCAGAAGCGGCACTTCGTACTATAGCTGAACATTCAGACGACTTCTCCAAGACCCCTATTGCACTAGCCACAGCCTGTTGCTCAATCTTAGGTTACGTACCATGTGACCTTGGCGCATTCCGTTCGCTACGTAAACAGCGTGCAAGTTATGTACAATGTTTGCACTCAGACCCAACTGAGCTTGCTAACAATGTGCTGAGGGATTACCTCATACCTAACATGCATCTGCAAGTGGCTCTTTATTGTATCCAAGAGATTCTAAAGCTATTGGGTCTCTACAAAGGTGGAGTTCGTTCTAGAAAAGAACTTAACACAATGTCTGAACGGTGGCAAAATAGCTTCGACCCTGTTATAAGACGTGCGATAGAACCATACCGTGCTACAAGTTTTCTACGTAACCGTTCTATCGAGGATATAATCGAGACATGTCTGGACGTTAACACAGTTTTTGACATTAAATCGTTCGTTTGGTGGCTTCTGAAGATGTTACCGGATACCTGCCCCTCTCTACCACTATTCAGAGCGTGTGACCTCGCGATGGTCAAAATACCATCGGTACTGACATTCCTTCTCCCTTATATTGTGGAATCGTGTGTCAATTTCCTCACCGACGAACAGTGCGCCATCATCGGGAAACGTGTCGCCTCTTTACTCTGTAATATCCTGAAACGTGATAGTGCTACTTTCGGTATCAATTGGCAACCACCTTACGAGGTACTCTCCAAATCGCGGCCTACTCTTGATAGTACAGACCAATATACTTCATGCCAAGCTATATTCAACCTTTTGGATGGGATCAAGGTACTCACTGACCGATGTCGTCATGAGCTGGCTGGTATACATAGCGGTTCTGATTCTAGTTTCTCAAAGAGACGCAAATTGTCTATTCCAAGCGACAACCCTTTCAAAGATGTTCCAATCACCACACCAATAGAACAGGATTCTGCTGCTGGAAGCCCAGGCAGTACCGTGAAGCTTCTCCGAACTAAGATGAGGAGGTTAGATTCGATTTTATATGCTGTTCCGGAACTATTGGTTGCCCATGCGGCAATATCCTGTGGTTCATACGCTCGAGGGGTTATGATCATTGAGAAAAAGATCGCTTTGGAACCTATGACTTACAATTTCGGAGACCCGACACGGGCTCTTAGTAACCGATCATTACGTCGCAAGGTAATCGACAAGGGTGGGTTGGACCCACAAGCGATCATCTCCTTGCTATGTCGTGGCTACCTTGGTCTGGGTGACTTCGACTCCCTAGTTTGCATATCAAGTATAGTACTGAACGACGACTCCCATAGGTCTAAAAAACAAAATACAGACATGCCAGTGGATGCTACTACGCAGGATATCGAAGAACACTATGTTGCCAAGGCATCTGGTTCTACACCCAACACATCTATTCAGCTACCGCCACGTACCTCGTTTATTGACAAGCGTCAAAGGGAAGCGTGTCGTGCGTTTTCATACGAGTGCCGTGGTAAGTACCGCGAAGCTTGTGATGTCTACAATCGCCTGCTAAAAACATCACAAGATGCTAGGCTATGGACAAGCTGGTATAGGATCATACAGATGACCGGGCCCACTGTATTTATACACCTGCCTCAGCCACCTGATATGGAAGATGCTACAGAGTCGCTGATAGCTGAATCTCTTACGGCATGTTGGAAACTTGCTCTATGGGACGAACTGGATGTGCTCTTAGCCAAAAAACGAACCCGAGACACAGCTTTACTGGAGATACAGTTAGATGACCTGTCATCTAAAAATGTGCTCTTGGTAGAACGTAATGATGCTAGAGCTGATGTTGCGTGTTCCCAGGTTACCCAGTGCACGGCTGACAGTGGCGAATCTGATGTATTCTGGGAATCACTATTAATGCGTGATCCAATCGATGTCTGGTTTATGGAGCAGACGGCAAATGCTATAAGTCATTTGCAAAAACGGGATTATGCGGCTAGTGATCGAACGGTTCAGGAGGGATTTAAACACCTAATACGTCCACTAGGTCTGGCTATACGTGAGTCGACATTGGTTGCTGTGAAGTATCTTGAAAAAATCGTTATATTCAATTCTCTGAGACTCACAAGTAGGTTTAACAATGGCCATTACAATATTGATGAGCGTGGATTTGCACGAGAACTTACATCGCTAGTCCAATCATCCACAGGTGAGAGTATGCGCAGTTCACTGAACATTCTTGGTACGGCTAAGGTGGCACTGGAGCTTGGGTCTAAGTTTGATGCGGCGTCTGAGCTTATGTTAACGCTTAATCGCATGTGCCGTATCCACAAAGTAGATGTACACATCCCCGGTAGCATCTCTTTAGATGACGAGGCGTTCTCCGATCGCAGCGATGTAGTCCTTGAGCACGCGTTGACATTGCAATATAAAGGCCAGGTGGATGATGCGATAGCCGCTTTGAAAGAACTTGGTCGACATGATTTTGAGGGATTCTACAATCTTGTCAAGATGTATACAGATTCGAATATGTTGATCCCCAAACGTGCTATTTCATATATGAGCGAAATATTGAAAGCAGCTCCACAATCGTTCAAGGCTAACTTGCTCTATGCAGAGTATCTAGACCGGCTACTCGACCATCGGCTGCGTAACGCTCGTAATTTCCGTGTGGTACTCAATGACAAGACAATATGTGCGCGCAGGAGCGTACTCAGCTCACCTATAGAGCGCACGTATATGATAACAGGTATAGAAGGTGTCCCGGGGATATATACTTTCGTGGAACTGGTATCAGCAACTGTAAATGCTTATCTCAGGGCACTTGCCTTTATCACACCTAGCCGGCATTGTGGTCCCTTTAGGAAACCTGAGGATATCAAGCCTACAGTTACCCCTGTTGATACAGATAAAGATACCTCGGCTAACGAATATTCTGACGCCCAAAGGACACAAGACGATGGAACTGTAGGACCATTTGTAGGGGAAAACTCACCTCACCCAGGTCGTGCTGCTACAAAATCATTCAAAGATTCTGGTGGTAATATGGATATTGTTGATATCCTTACAAAGGTTATAGCCATAATCTGTTTCTACTGCACACCGAACACCAGCCAGTTCCTGAGCAACGTAACTTTTGAAAACGAGGCATGTCAGATATTCGCGAATGCAATCATGGACAAGTTCTTCGAGCACAACGATGCCATACCGCAGTATTATTGGTATACAGTCATATCTCAGCTCATGAGTAGATGTCAGCACAAATTACTGGGTGCATCGCTGTTCCAGACACTGGTTGCACGGCTAGTAGCAAGGTACCCTAAACAGGCTCTCTGGTCAACGCTTTATTTCGCCCATTCTGTGAACTCCCATATGCGCCAGGTACATATCAACATTGAGCGTAAAGCACGTGAGATAGCGCCATCCTCGGCTTTGATTGTGGAATATCACCATACAATTTTCAAGGAGTTGACACAAGTGGCTATGGACACCTCGGTATCCACTAGTGACAAATCTGTATTACGGTTCCAAGGTTTGTGTAACGTGTTGAATAGCACAGGATGTAAGGATAACGTTATTATCCCTACTATCCGTAACCTCAGTTTCGAACAGATCATCCATTACGACCTGACGGTTGAAAAATCCAAGTTATGTGGAATCGATGAGAACATGCAAGTGCTACGCTCGAAACAGAAACCTAAGAGGATCGGGTTCCTAACTGTCACTGGTGAGATTGTCAATTTCTTGGTTAAGAACGAAGTAAAGGGCGATTTGCGTAAGGACAAGCGTATGATGGAAGTGACCCAATACGTGGCTAAGATGTTGAACAAACAGTATAAGGGCATGGAAATCCAGTGTTACAGTGTAGTATCACTTACCGAAGTCGCCGGCATTATCGAATGGGTGCCTAACATGGCCACTATGCGTGCGGTGGTTACTGACGAACTTCGGCTTTTGGTTAAAGGTCAAGATCGTGAATCTAGAAAGGCCATTACGGAATATGCGACAAGTGTATCAGAAAAGAGATATGTGGATTCACTCAAGCTTTTCCGTCAATTATGTGAACGACGTCCAGCGGTACTTCACCGAGTATATTACAAGTTTTTCAAGCGGGATCCAACTACTTGGTTCTGCGCTCGTAAAGAGTACATCCATACATGTGCTGTGTGGAGCATTTTGGGTTACATCGTTGGTCTGGGTGACCGTCACGCCGAAAATGTTTTGCTAAACCTCATCACTGGCCAGATGATGCATGTCGACTTCGATTGTCTATTCGGTAAGGGATGTCAGTTATCTGTACCCGAGCTTGTGCCGTTTCGCATGACCCAGAACGTTGTGTGCAACCTTGGTGTTTGTGGTACTGCGACTGACGGCCCATTTTACTCGGAGGCGCTCAAGTTCCTACAAATGCTGCATAAGGATCGACATAAGATAACATCGATTCTCATGAGTTTTGTATTCGACCCTCTTATCGAATGGCATCGTGGAGAATCTACAGCTAATGGCGAAGGTGATTCGCATAAAGTGTTACAATGTATCGAGAGCAAGCTAAGGGGTGCATTAAACATATTCATCCCATCAGTTGAGATTAATTCAAGTCATTCTGCGTTTAACGAGTATGACGATGCTAGCGATGTTCAAGCTATGCAGAGCTTCGAGAGTGTTACCGAGATAATGGAGCCTCGTGAACAATTACAGAAGCTTATACAGGTTGCGACGTCACACGCACATCTGTCTAAAATGTTCGTAGGCTGGGCACCGTGGCTATAGCCTACACCGATTGATCATTAAGTACAACATATTCCCTGGATGATAATCCAAACTTGAGCACATCGTTTTCACTGCAAGGGTTCGAACGTGTTACTAAACAGCCTACCGTATCTCGTAGTAGCGGCTCGGCATTATACGTTCTCCGTTGAGGAAAGTACCGTTTGTGCTCTCCAGGTCGATTATATACGGCCTGTGACGTATATTAGCTAAATGCGAAAAGCATTATGTATACCAACACACAAATGGTATTAAGCCACCTAATTATTTTTGGCACTACTTAGACCTATTGTAATATATTTAATGTAATATTGGTATTGAGCGATCGTTGTGGAGCTAAATCCAAAGTGATCCTCACGTATCCAACAACATACGGAAAGAAACTTACACTATACGCTTGCCATCAACTAATCTGTGTTGTATCACTGCGTGTTGTTTCGAAATTGTAGGATGAAAGAGTTCGACATCGGCCACTCGTCGATCACATCCTATGAGGTAGTATTCGTTGGCATCCAGATGTATGGTCTTGATTACCTTCATCTTCGAACCTTCAGCCTCATCAGGCTTGAAAACATAGAGCCTCCATGAGATACGTGGCATACGTGACTCTGGTGGTGGAGTATACTGCTCATAATATAGCCGTTGCTACTAGGGGCCTACCTTAAGTGCTACTCCATTGCGTTTATTTGTTTCCGCTGCCAATAACCCAGAAGGCTCAAAATTAGGCTTCTCCGGTTCTAAATAGACGTCAATATCGAACCAAATAGGAATACTTACCCAGAACGGTTGAAGAGTCACTTGGTGAGGATGGGCGACCGCTACGAGCGTCCCTCCTGTGTGGTCTGCCCTTTGAATCAAGATATATAGGTTCTATTGCTACATCTTCTTGTTTTATTCGGACCATCTGCTTCCTTTCTATAGAAGATTCCCGTCGACGGTTCGCGGAAGATGAGCTAACAGACTCGCGCTTAATACGTACCGGCGACCGGTCACGTGAACGGCTCCTATTTCCCATTATGTGTTGTATATATGTGCTATGTGTAATTTCTTAGTGAACAGTGTAGCGATGTGTGACGCGACGGAGGGGGCATAACATTTTACCATCCCACTCACATATATTTCAAAGCGCCACACTTGAATCGCCATGACGAAACATCATTGCTGCAGTTTAAAGCGTCATTAATCACTTCTCGATATCGTTATTCAGAAATAATCCAATCTGTGTGTCAGACGGTATAAGCACTTTTTTGAAACCAACTTTAAAGCTCAAAATCTAGCACTTTTGAAGCCAAAGGCACCGCTTGTTGGTCCACGAGGTCTCTTTAAATTCGGTTTTACTACTCACCTACGCGCTCATCCATACACTCTACGCTGCAATCCAGGTTTGATATTACTCCTTCCGAATAGTTAGGAACCAGAGACAGTAGCCTTTACCTATGTTTTCCCTAGTGACCTCATGTGTCATGATGATTTTGCACTTTTAGGGATCACGGGGGCACTAATTTCAGACGTTGGAATACTAACTTAGTTTATATTCTGGCACTTAACGCTTTCCAGGGTATAACAAATATATCCACAGCCGTTGAAAACGACACTTGTGTACCTTTTGGTATATAATTTCGCTAATTATCAACGCGAACTCCCATTTAGGAACTCCTGTAGGCTCTTACAGGTACTTAGCAGGGTCTTGCCTGTACCATTACGAAGAAAAGAGTAAGCACACCCATATTCGGGGTTGTGACAGTATATATGTAGAAATGTACCTATCGGCAATTTTTTTCTCTGTCTTGAGCTGTGCCAATGCTCAAGTGGCCAAGCAGATAGGTACAGACTCTGGAATAACCACCGGGATAATACCGATCATAGTATACGGTAAGATTGTATTCTGAGCTCCATATGATGCAGATCGCCACTATGAAGATTTTTGTGGTCGTCCTGTAAATGTTAAGCCTAAGAAAGTCAAAAGGCGAAAATGCGTTCACAGGTATGAGCCCGAGATATACGATCCAAATGATGTATATAATGTTGAAGACCCTGACAAGCGCAGAAGACCACATTATTACCAAAGTGACATTCTGGCCGCTAGATATACACGCCGTATGAGGTCGGCTACTAAGGCCGTAGTAATAGTTGGCTTCATTCTTCTCGGAATCGCAGTGATTTCGGCAGCAATGGCATGCTGCCGGGCACACGAGAAGGTCTTAATACCTCTTTAAAAGGAACTACCAAAAATTAACTATTAGATTATGACCAACAACACAATGGTACAAATAACGCAGAATTTTAGCTCGACGTGATGGTTACTAACTATCATGTGTCTAGTAATGATGCTAATCAATTTGGTGCGTGATGTTGGACTTGAATATATCAGACATTTGCCAAGACATCACATATAGATTGGGTATCTCAGTGTTATGAAATATATAAAAATTAAACTCGTGTTTTAGCTGCTGGAGATGGTAGTTCAGAGCGTTTTATTTCGCCAGTACACTATTCACCTCCTGCCTGTCGTATCTTGCGTTCCAATTGCAATATCGCTTTTTCATAATCGACACAGATGGCATTGATATTGTCCAAACGCGTACCAAGATGTCGTACAGCTTGGCGTATAACACGTTCTGAGTCACGTGGTGTTGTTCCAAGCAGCATCTGCTTCAGCTTCGCATGGTTCTCGTGATAAAATAATAACATGCGTGCTGCTGGCAAGCGTCTCTGCTGTCTTAGCATCTCTGCATTGCTAGCATAGCTTTCTAGCGTGCGTTCAACATGTTCGCATACCTTCTCATTTTCTTGAGCAAATGTCTTGTGGCTTTGAGTAACCCAACGCATTAAGGAGTTTTCAAGCTCACGAAGGGTCGTTGTGATATCTTCACATGTTTTGAGCAATGAACCTTGCACTTCCTGTAGCTTCATAGTCCATTCCTCTCTCTTGTCTATAAGTTGCTGGGTAAACGTAACCTCAAGTCCATCGGCACGTGAGCTGAACTGGCTCGCCCATTTGCGTATGACATTGTTGACTACTACAGTGAACGCTTCATCTAGAGTACGTACATCACATGTTGCATGTCGTGTGAGTGCGCATTCGCTACAGAAACAACCTTCGCCATATTTACAGTCGAGGCAAAAGTACTGTATGGGTAGCGCGAAGTGGTGAGGACATCTAACATTCTCTACGCTTGCAAAGGAAACACCCGATTGTACCCATTCTTGAGCATCGATACTCCTCCGAGGGATTGTTGGTCCATGTGCCCTTTTCACACCGGAGTCCACTGCCGTGGTCGATTTTAGCGGTATTGCGTTCTCTAATAGTTCATACATGGCAGGTCTATTTCCAATAATGCTTCCCACTACTGGTTATGAATAGAGCGATATAGGTTTCGTGTGTTTCCTGAACTTAAGATAGGATTATGCACCAAGAACCTCTGCTGAATACGCGGTGAAGGGCTGTTTGGCTCCAGTGCCACTGGAGAATCGCAGTGGCTTCCCTTTAATCTCGGGTCATGAGACGATTTCGCTGAGGCGTGGGTGTAATGTGTAGGCGATATTATCTCCGTAGACACACGACGAGTTGTGCACGGTTAGACAGCGTGCATAACCCAGGTAAAGTCAGTCACACAATTCAGTCGATTAAGACTCGAAAGGTGTCCAAGTGAATATATAAAAGAGTTTGTAATAATAAATTAAGTATATATAAGTGATACGTACATTGGTGCTCACGCTTCCTCCGTTGGTGCTACACACTGCAGGAAACTCAGACACAACGGGGCACTTGTGTCGCGTGGATTATTCGGGAGGCCACGAGACACACATTGGAAATATACATATCCGCTTATTTCGAGGGGTTCAGTTGGCGTAAAACAAGTCCCAGAGCTGATGCCCGGTTGGCCACATGAGGGGCTTCCGGATGGGAATGTGCGCGAAGCGCCAACCTCTTGGTCGCCATGAGGTGGTGTTTGAAGAAGATTCAGGGGAACCTATCGCAACTGAAGAGGAGTCGGATCGGTTTGTCATACCAGGAGTTGAGGTTGAGGCCGTTGCGGAGGCCGTTGCGGAGACCGAGGTGAACTCAGAACCCTCAAGCCATATCGTCTATATGCAGGATGAAAATTCGAATAGTGACTATCAACCGCTATTAGATCCCGTGTCAGATGAGGAGTCTGATGAGATGTTTGACACCATCCAGGGAATCTACAATCTAGGCGTTACCGAGAGCCATGATAAAGCAGCGATATATGGACGAATGATGCACTACTATACCGACCCCTCTACAGGTTTATTGCATCCTTACCATGCCAGGAGCAAGTCAGTGTTATGGTACATGTTAGCAATCTTGATATCTAACCCTATCATTGGTCTCTACACAATGAGTCACTTTAAGGATTGGGATACTTGGGTAACCCGTGATGTTGTGGTTCGTGACCTTGTGTCAAATGTCCCTGAAGCTATCCCCTATGCGAATGATAATGGATTTCGGGAGCCGGTACTTGGAGATGTGGACCCGCCTGTTAGAGGTTTAACTGTTACTAAGGAAGAGTTTGCTACTCTTTCAGGAGTTGCCAAACAATTTTCCCAGAAGGTGACATGGTATGCTTATTATGAAGTTTTTGGCGAATTGATATTTGCCTTCTTCAGCCTAGCTCTGCTCTGCACTAGTGGTATGTGTTGTACTAATGGTAGGCACCGTGCCCAGTCTATGATCCCTGTAATCGGATTGTTGTACACTATCATATACAAGGCACTTGCTCTATACGTGCTTATTATAAGTTTCAAGATACTCTTCTTCTACTTCATAGCGGCATATAGTGATTATGCGTATTACCTATCGCCGGTACTGTTGCGTTTACTTTCCCTTGCAGGCATGGACGCAACGGACCCTGGAAAACGTATTGCCATGTCTCAGCTTCTTGATTTGGATGCATCAGCGCATAAGTGGGTATTCTTCTACTGTGTTGAGAATGTCTACATCACCATCACGGAATCTGTGGAGACTATCCACGCGTTATTCAGGATCCTAAGTCGATGTGCCGTGCGTATGTTACGCCGTATCAGGCGCCAACACGACCTTGTGTACTTCACTATGAATACTCTTAGTGAAGCTGAGTCTATTGGTTTGCAACAAGAGGGTTATTCATGTTCTTACATGCTATTGGATAGCCTGCTGAACAGGACTGCCGGCCCCCAAGAGGCCTACATCCATCAAATGTACAATAATGCAAAAACTGATGTAGGTACTTATCTGGACAATGTAGATGTAGAGTTATACCAGCATGGTATAGAAGAAGTTGGTGCTAAGCTTATGAACCAGCTGCGTAGCAAAGAGATTACACGACCAAATTAATACAAATTGTAGTTTCCGCGTTTAGAACACAATTAACCCTACTCCAAAACCTATACCCGTACCTATCATTGCTGATATAATACGGTTTCGTGGTATTTTGCCTTTAAGAACATTCTCAGAGAGTAGCTGTACCTGCCCTCCGTAGTTCTGGAAAAATAGTTCCAGTTTCTCACGCACAGCTTGAGCTCCATTTTGTAATGTTGTAGACATGGCCTCACGGTTGATCGATATAAGGCCGTAGTGGCTTAGCAGCTGCATATCGATGTATACTCGCAGTACACACACACACAACGTACCATTGTCGTTACTAGACCGCCGGTAGCTACCAAGAATATCCCTCTCAGAGCTCTTGTGAGTATTATACTGATTCCTGTGCCAAAACAGACGCCACCAACAAACGACCAGTGGTCGAAATTCTCACGGTTTATTCCTTCCATAATTTGGGTCCAGAGTGACCTTAATGGACATCGTCCATCACGTATACAATCTTCAGGGCTTATAGATGTATAGGCGGTATCGTGTGCGTTCTCCATCTTGACATTGCCACTGCATTAGTGCCGTTGAACGTGTCTGTCTATGTATCATGGGGGTCTGACATAGCTGCGATTACTGTTATTTTTGGGGAAAAAATGATATTCAAAAAGTGTTATTAACTTTTCCGTACATGACATCAGAACCTTGTAACGGACATATGTCTGAAGTCCGTGTCGATGTTATCCAATTCGTTGACCATTTCATTCAAATTCTTCTTGCCTTCCTCACCTAATGAGCTATATAATGTATAATGGGTAAAATCAACCTTCCTTGGAGGATGAATAGGCTTGTGGCTGAGCACCCGATGGGTTGTTTTGCCTTGACACCGAAGCATCCACTGCACTACCAGTAGATCTCTTGAAGCAGTCTATCGAGCTACTTGACGTTGCATCAGATAATGTCTGATGTGTGTTACTGCGTTCTGAGGATAGAGCGGCGGCACTAATGCTGATGTTTGAGCTCGGTGTGGCGATAGGGTTATCGAAGTTAAGTGACTCCAGGTCTGAAACATAGTCATTCCCACGGTCACTGCGTGAAGACTCAACGCGTTCTGTTTTTGCCGGCGCGGAGGACGATGTTGAGTTTGTGAAAACGCCGAAATCTGCAAAAAACTTGTCGTAATCATCATCAGTCTTTTTGGTATTTCCAGACTTATCGTTGCCGAAAAAATCGTTAAAATCGTCGTTATCCGATTCTGATGATGAATCGAGATCCAGAAGGTTGGCCTTTGCAGGCTCACCTGGAGCAGCCGTGTTTGAAGAGCTTGACCTGCGTGAGGTCTCCATGCGCACATGTTCCAGGACATTCCTCAGTTTCGCATTGGCAACTGCCGCATCGCCACCTACTTGTAGATGTGCACCTATACAATCATTTAGCATGAGTAGTTTACGCATGACATCCTCGTAGTTGTGCATATCGGCAACTTGTGCTCGGCTCTCTGCCAATATGTTGATACTTGCTACGATCCTCTTTTTGCTATCATTAAGACGTTTCAAAGCTGCGACATGTTCGGCCCCTGAGGGCATATCGGTAAGACTTTGTACAGTTGACAATATTGAGTCAAATTCCTCTGGTGATAGTGGGAGTGTGACCCCTCCTGCCACAGTGAACTTAGTTTTTGGTACAACGGGTGATAAATTGATTTTCTTATGTTCCGCTGGATCTATCTGTGGGAATTTGATACCACATTCACGAAGGTCCCTGTACCCTTGGAAGAAAACAGGGAAAAGCCCTTGATCCAGAAGGAAAACATCATGCCATAGTTGTACCATGTACCTAATTTTTGCTTTGATAACATGTATACGTACATCACTAGGTACTCCTGGATGTACATTCGAGGATCCAACCAGTAGTTTGGTGAGTTGTTTCTTAACCCCTCCTGCTATCGATGTCGTTATTTTTGACATTTTCAAAAGCCGTTTGAACCGTCGCATACATGATTTTGTCATGAGGGATAAGAAGAACCCGCCAAAGCATTCCATACAATGTTCTAGAAGCTCTAATGATAGTATAATTTCTTCTGGTTGGTGTGTAGTTCGCATCCTCCAAGTAGCGAACTTGACTATGAATAGGCAGCAGTCTCTTCTTCCCTGTACATAGCTTATAACCTTTTCCAGAAGATAATCGTTTATAAGCCTGATTTTACTCATACTCTCATTAGTTGGTTGTCCAAACCTATCCCGTTCTAATATCATTTGTGCAGGTTGCCCAGACCATGTGAGTATATGTTCAATGACAGCGACCAGTTCCCTATGCGATGCTATAGGGTCTCCTGAATTTGATATACGTTCTGATATGCGTAAGAACGAATTTGGGTTTGCCATGGCTGCTTTTCGTGCATTGGCTGCAGCATTTTCCTTATATGTGTTGATGGCAGATGACGCTGCTTGTATACCGCTGTTTGACATGGATATGATTTTATTTGTGAGTGACTTTGCACAGCTCAACGAAGTATTCTTGATAGCCTTGAGACTGATCGATTGGGAGTGGTGGCTTCTGCCGCTTTGTGATCCATGGTATTGATAACCTTGTGAATTGTCGCCGACGTATTCGTCCCTGGGGGATGATTCCGAGCGGTTGATATTTCGTCTGTAAATATCGTTTGTCATTTTGTATTGGTATACAATAACTCGTTAGGATCAGCGTACGATGCACATTCGGTCCTTAAACTCTTGGCAACAACTGCGTCAAGATCCGATGGTTCAACCCAACCTTATAGTAACTACGTATATATAGTTCCTTACAGTTTTATAGTTAATAAATCTGAAAAAATGTGCGCTGAATGGCATCTGCAAGTTCCGCGAGTACGCCACATGCTCATCCTGACGTGTTGCTGATTCTACCATTGAGTCGGCTGTATGTGATCTGTATTATACGTTAAAAGTACAGCGTGCTATATTTTATCTATTGCAGTAAATGAATATCTACCGAGGGTTCAGTCGCCATACACGACGTCGGACGCTATTGGCCGTATCCTTCAATGGGCCAATCATAATAAACGTGGCCCACTGATTCACTCCAACCAACTTGTACTCTCATTATATAGCACAACCGTATAGATTAGGAGCCGTATGTTGCTCTCTGAGTTGGCATCTCAATCATAGCATTGCCAGCATAAACCAAATCCACAGGACCATAATTGACGAACTGAGCACCAAGTTCACATAAGTGTCCATGACTTAAGATACGAAATGCGATAGATATGCTAAAGCAATATAATCTCCATCATTGGAACGACATATTAATCACACATTAAGATAGACCTGTTGATTCCAGATATGGAGTGGCTATTTCCTCTCATATTCCGTGATACTTCGCATGAAAGCTGCAACCCAACTATAATATATGTGGTTAACTCAAATGTTCGGTAACATGAGTATTGAGTATCATTCCTATGCAGCACATGTGCTGCGCGTATTTGTGGTATGCTTTCGCGGGTTTTGAGTATATTAACCCGATGTTTGTGCAACCCAGCTGAAGTTATTGTTTATTAGACCTTCTATATTATGTATGCGGTATTATAGCGCCGAACTTGTTGTCATATAGAGACATGGTGGCCGGACGCATACTGAGGCCGCGTAGCTCAACTACTCGTCCCCGTACCAACAAAGACGCTAAGGCGACTGACGGCGATTCTGAAAGCCCGTATGATGACTTAGACGATGACTACAGTGGTGACAACAGCGATTACGAAGATGAAGGGGCAGGAGATGCGAGTGATGAGGATGAGTCCTACCGTAAACGTGAACCACGTACAGACGGGGCATCTCGTAGCCCTCCTGTCGTCGATACGGAACCTGGTACATTAAATTCTACGACTATATCAGATCGCACTACTGAAGTTTACCAAACAAATGTCGATAGCAGTGCTACCACGGATCATTTGTTACAAGATGCACGTAATCTGTGTTTTAGCCACATGCCCAGGATCCCAGGTACTAGTTATAGGTTCCAAATTGGTGAGCTTGCATATGTAAAATGGAAAGGTGAACTTAATGTGGTAGTGATCCACTATGCTTCCCAGAAGTTGGTAACCTCTAAAGGTAAGTGAATAAACGTTTGTTATGACACTATTGCAGCACGACCTAAGGATAAGACGAGTAGTGAAGCGGGCAATGGCGCTACGGACGAAAAGGAAACACAGTCAAGTCAACAACGAACATCCTCTATTGGGAATGACAAGGGTGACGATGGAGATAGCTCATCAGATAGCTCTGATAGCTCGGAGGAAGCGACGGATGAGCGCAGTGATGAGGAGGTTGAACCTGAACCTGTTAAAAAGCGTGGTACCAGAGCGGACCGCCCACCACGTGGTGGGCGTAGGTTGGTGATAAATATGAGTTACAGCGGAGAGGATGTTAATCGTAAAATCTTCAGAGATGTATCTTCGCAGAGACTATATGAAAAGATCAACGAGTTGCAACCTTTAACCGTCAGAATAGATAAAGACGTGCCTCCCGACATCTTGGCGTACGATGAGAGTGCGACTAAGAGTGATGAAGATCATGTGGTGAAGCGTTATTTCGTACCCATCTACTTTGTTACTTTTCCTGGTTACAAAAAACGTTGCGCCAAATCATTCAGGTTCTGGGTAAAGGAAAAGGATTTGATTAAATTTAATTCTGTCACCCTTCCGACTAAGAAAACACAAAAGCCGATCATTGTGGATAAACCGATCGAAGGTGATTGTAATACAGAGGCTTGGGCAACACGACAAGTACAGGGTATCAACGAATATGTGTATGACGTAGCATATAACGTTTATAGGTACAAATCAATCCACTCCGATGTTCACAGAGGTGAGTCCACATGAATGGTGACAACATATCTGTATGCAGCGGCTGGAATGTCTCCGTGGTGTGTGCCTAAAGTACTCAAGGAGCTCGTGCAAAAACAGCATTCGCATATTACCAAGTCATGCACCGAAGAGATAAACTACTACTCCACGGCAGTGTCGGAGATGTTCTCCCTGGCCCCTCTTACGGAACGTCTTTCTGCGTATGCTTTAGTCCAAAATTTCAAATATGTTGTGATTTTGCTGGCTAACCTGATCGCCAAGAAAGGTGGTTCGGGACAACCGTCTAAGAATAAAGGCGAGTGTTCAGCACGCGAAGTTGAAACTTCACCTCGAAATTGTCATGTAGACGAAGTATCTGTACCTTCATTACGCTTTCTAGATCACCTGCAGTCCGCCTTGAGTTCACATGTTACTGCACGGCAGTTCCAGGAGATATATGTGAACAACATTTACTGGTTGGACATTTACTTGGCTTACGTGGACAAGATGTTCATACATACCCATTGTTACAACGAGCAAGAGCACGAGTTTTTGTATATGATGAAGTATTCTCATAAAAAGCCGTTGTCACACATATTAGGGTTGGAACACTTTGCGCGTGTGTTCTGCTATCCTGTGTTACACGATAGTCTGCTGAAACGAGTTAACCGCGGTGGACAGCCGTTCCCGGTATATCTGCCGATAACACAGCTGTTGCTTCAGTACATGGCTTTCGTTTCTATAGATTACGCGCATAACCAGAAATACTTCCCATCGCACGTAGAGGGCGGTCTTTTCAAAATCAGCCATCTGAAGTTAACTTGACTTGAATATTATTCAACTACACCAGAGTAATATACATATTAGATTCATAAACACTTTTTTTTTATACATAAGGCAACTCATTTGAGCACATATATAGACATTATAAAGTGGTTTCTTTTACCTATACAGCTGTTCATTATTCGATTGGGAACTCTAGCAGGTTTTCGTCCTTGTCGTACTCGAAGACGGGCCCCTGGCTCAAGGTACCTGAACCTAAAGGGTCTTGGAATACCCATAAAGGTGCTTTAAAGTCAGCCATTTCTTCAAGTTCACCCAGAGTCAAATGTCGTTCCTTCGCAGCATCACTATCATCAGTGAGTTGTGGCTTTATGAGCTCTTCATATTTCATTTGATTCTCCAGAACCTGCTTCCATTCGCTAAGCTGTTCTGCTTTTGCCATCTTGGATTCTGGGTCTATTGGGTATTGTCTTTTAACGTCTTTACGGTAGAACCACCGGTATCTTGATGACATTCTCTCATCTGGAGTTCTGTATGGGTTCCAAGGTACGTTGCGATATAGTTCGCGATGCATCATTTCCTCTGCAGTTACAGAGCGTTTTGCTTCATACAGAGCGTCCAGATCTCGGTTACAATCGTTATGTAGTGCCTTAAGCGTGCGGTCGAACCACGTCTCTAGAAAAGTTGCGCTATTCAATAGCGCCAGTCTTGGGGTGGTGGAACCATCAGTATGTATCTCCAAGGTGACAATTTCGCTAGTGCTCTCTTCGTCCATGCCACGTCTATCACCATCGAATGCAAATATTTCCACGGGTTCACAACTTGATGGGAAATGTATAAATCCATCCGGGGTGATATCTCTGTTAATAGATTCAGGCCCTCGTTCTCGTATTACATGATTTGCTATATACTCTATTTTAACTTCCATATTTAGATATGCATCATCCGCCAATGCACATATGTAATGGTTTTTGTTTACAATTTCTATTTTCGTGTCCTCAGTTGAACCTGAACTTGAACCTCTACCTTCCGTCTGTTCTATTTGGTCCAACTCGATATGTCCAGCCACAGCGATGATTGGTCCCTTTAGTCTCAGTCTTCCAATAAGTGGTTTATCGAAAGTGGCTGTAAGAGGTACATTTCTGAATATGACATTGGTAAGGTTTTTTGCAAGGTCAAAGAAATCCTCCCTCAAGCCAACTACAGAATAGAATTCGTTTTTCATGCCTGGTATACGTAGTGCTGTGATCCTTCCAGCGCCTAGGTGACGTTTTGCTACTCTTCTTAGGCTATTTAGCAAGACTGGTATAACATCTGTATGTAGTGAATGTGCATAGTAGAATGTGAATGCCCTTCCATTATGATGTCTTACAGGTTGTATCTGTTTAAATTTGAACCCGTAGCTTTTAATCGGTGCCCCTTTCGACTCTTCTAATCTCTTCGTAACGGATCTACTGCGTGTTTCTTCATTAACTTTTTTGAAGTGTTGTGCAATTTCCGCCTCACTGTAATGTCGTGGCGTATATGGTTCCTTCGGCACACCATTACCGGTTACAAATTCGAGTGCCCATGGTGGCATTGGTTGGTTTTCCAGCGGTACTGCATCGTCACCCGGTAATTTTTTCTGCGGCAGTTTCGATTCTGGTACTCCAATAGAATATGTATGTGAGTCGTCTTTGAGATAAGCTTTAGGTGCAAAAGAGTTATCTTTAGGTCCTGATCCAATACATTCCGGTTTTTTAGCGATAAAGGCTGTATAATATCGCGGGAAAGGTCCCTCCAATGAACGTATGTAGTTGCTGGAGCGGTCCCCTATGACCGAGCATCTACTTGATAGCGACAGAGTTCTTACAACCGAGATTGTAGCTCCAATATACAACGTCAATATGAGTATCCGTTTGCAAATAGGATGCATCTGTTCGGCAGTAGCGTCATTGGGTGTACCCAGCGTACGCTACTGACCTGCGGTATTACGTTGAGGGGTATCCATATGAATTCCGAGAATGCTATGTTTCACGTCGATTAGCGGGAAAGCTCTGGCAAGTGGCTTCCTGTAACCAACTGTGTTATAGGTTATCATAACCTATGTATGTTAGGTGTCTATATAAAACTCTGAGTAATATATTTGTTAAGTATTAATTTTAATTATGATTTTTAATGTTGAGATGGATTTGAGGTGATATATTTCTGTAACATCCGGTTACTAGGATACTTAAGGTTCCACGTTACCACATTCTGGCGATTCCACGTTCCCCAGTCTTACTGCTTGCCTTAAATTGACTATAAAAGAATAAATTGGGGTGCGCCATAATGATGCATAGTATTTCAGATATAATATTGGTTTTACTTATGTATCAGCATCACGATAATGTGTATATATTTTTGTAAAGGTTTATTATAACACGCCAACATTGTATGAAATATATATAGTTAGTCTATTGGTGTGCATTATTGTGTTGCGCAATGTGTTTTTAACGTACGATCCCACTTGAAGGTACCGCGTAGGGTCACTCCTCACATGTGACTGCGATATGTAGACATTTATTAAGGCCTTTCATGATTAAGTGTTACGATTTGTCGTATCCTCTGAACAATTGCTATAATAATTTCAGGTTTATTACTCCTTTGTGTTGCATCAAGATTGCTTTTTGGTTCCTAGACACCATTGAGGTGTGTCGACAGTTCGGGTGGACGTTTACTACCGAACTGCTTTTTATGTATGCTCCCAATTATGTAAACTATGTGGTCGTAATTATATGCAAATGTGTGAAGCGTTAGTTTTAAATTCGACCGTGTCATTATGCCGCGAAGCGTCGTGGATCGGTTGATAATTTAACGTCAAATGGTTTAACTATAGAATTGTTATAGATATTATACTACCAATAAAGTTATTTAATAACATAATTGATTAGGAATCCCGTAATATTCGTCCCTGTGCGACACCTAGGTACGGTGCGGTGTACGCGGTACTAGGCAGACCAGCATTATCGTCCACGTATAGCGCATGATAACGCGTCATCATTCTATTAAAGAGAAATATATTGTTACAAACTACTGTACGTCCTTGTAAAGCTGCCAGTGTAGTAGTATAGGTGTAAGGTGTTATATCGAGACACCCCAACACACGTACAGAAACGTTGGATTCATATAAAAAAATACAGTCGCATCAAGGTAAGTTCCATTCAATGGTTATAAGTTTATATATTCATGCGTAGCACATTGGCGACTCCGCGTTGGCACAGCAGACACATGTTGCGTCGTAATATATGCTGAAATTACACGAATAAGGTGCCAAGTGCAATACACAAGTGCACAGTAATGCAACACATGTCGATGATTTATGTGAAAGTAGCATACAGATCGCTACTGGCGTCTGAGCGTTGAATTGTAAGGGGGAAGATCGCCACAGGTTCAGTAGAATCTGCATCAATAAAATGGTAGTTCCTTAAACGCCAGTGTAGAAGTCAAAATCACGACGCGTGAGAAAATATCCGCTGGCAAACGTCATTGCCCAAAGGCTGACAAGAAAATATATTCAATATTACTGTATGATACAGCACGAGGAGTGGAAAAATCAATCTACGTGACTGTAAAAAATTAAGGTTGAGGGATAAATCGACACCTAAGAAGGATTCTGAATCAATAGAATTCATATTCGACGATGACGAGGACAGCTCGAAGCAATGTGGCGCCCGAAGAGGTACTAGCTAATGAAACACCTATTCAATCGACAGTTGATGTACCACCAATGAAGCACGTATGTCTAAATGCGAAGGAGCTTGAAGAGTTCCGTACGAATCAGTGCCCTAACTATGTGAAAGGTTTATGTCGAGATAGCAATAAATGTGACATGTCCCATAGTGAAACATGGCCAAGGAGGAACCCATCACTGTTCAAGTATGACTACAAGTTGTGTCCCAACATCCAGTTCTTCAGGGTGTACAATAAGATGCAGCTACAGGGCAAGTGCCACTATGGGCGGAGGTGTAGATTCTCCCACTCGAAGGAAGAACAACTGTATCACCCCGACCTGTACAAGACTCGTATGTGTTTGAATTACCCGGATTGCAAGGGTTACTTTTGCCCATTTGCACATTCCAAAGCAGAGCTTAGAGAAAGAAAGGATTCTACTGCGTTATTTCACAGGGATAGGGCGCCAAGGGGACACCGCCAACCTGCATCAGGCCCACGACGACAACCAAGACAAGAGGAGTCAATACAACTTGACCAAACTTATTATGCCTCTGAAGAACCAGCTATGAAGCAATACCAATCTCAGATGATCACTGATGCTATGCAGTACCTTTACAGTGATGACTACAACAAGGGTGTTTTCAGACATGAAATCAATTCGCTAAACACTACAGCGGGGTCACCAGGTACATTGTCAACAACCGGTGTGTCATCTGTTATGGATTTCGATCTTCATGCTAACCTTGGTGAAACTCTGCGGTTGAATGGCCCAGAATACACGAATATGGAAATAGTAAATAACTATTACGCCCAAATGGCGTACAATGTAGACAACATCAAGGCGGGTGGAAATGCACCGTCTGAAAATGAAGATTATACTATTAAGGCCGATAGCAATCGGTTAACTATTAGCCAGTCACACGCTACGGAAGATGATGAAGGTGATGGCTGGCTTGATGTGGTATTGCAAAGGGGACTTAGATTGCTGAGTGAAGAGGACCCTTCTGCTGATACTGTTTCAAAATCAATGTCAAGTGCAAGATGTGTCCATTGCGGTAAACCGCAAGAAATGTGCAATGACAACGACCATCTAGCAAATCATTGGTGGATATGAACGCTGTGGAGCACTATAGGGTTATAGTTGACTTACTGGGCGTTTTATGCCTATCTCTATGTACACATGAGCAACATAATAATCATTCAATGTAAAACTTCAATGTCTATATCTCGGAAGGTTGCGTGACGTGTGTAGAGTGTGCCGCTTATGTGCACATGAGCTTGTCTCAAGGTTCCGCAGTAACTCCGTCATACACCTCATTGTACTTTTATCGCAGAAATGTTACACAGGCTCCTAGATCACGTCGTTAAAGCCTTTGGTCGGGAGGTAATCGAACAGTGGATACCGCTCGAACGACTGAACATCACGTCTGTCACTGACCCAGAAATAACGTTGACAAATGTGCCACTACCAGATAAATTGTTCGAGGACCCTTCGATACCTATAACAGTGGTCAAATCCAATGTAGGAAGGGTAGTGATTCGTTGCCCCTGGAAAACTGTGTTTATGAACGATGGCAGTGTCAGTCTCCAGGTGGAGGTACACGATGTGGATGCCATTGTTCGCTTTAAGCGCATCAACGAATGGAATGTTTCTAGTGTGAAGGATGCTTTGGTAAAGGTACGCGAGAAGCTGTTGCGCAAGTGGAATTCCGTAGTATCATCCCTAGGTCTGCTATCCACGAATAGTGGTAAAAAGGGGTCAAAAGCTGCGGGTGTTTTAAATTCATTGGACATTACGATCCACAATGTCAAAGTATTGCTGGCGGATAACCTATTATACGATGAACCGTTCTCCATTACTATCGAAGCAGAATGTGTTCGCGGTGTTGGCATGCGACCAGATGATCCTACACTTTCAGAGTACGAACAACAGGGCGTCGAAGATTCTATGCTCAATGCACTCTGGTTTACCAGCAGTGGTGTACAAATGTGGCTTGCGATATATCATCAGGACCAGGATGAAATGTATGCACAACAATCGGATGATGGGCAAGAAAATCTATTCGATCATTCAGATTGGAAAGCACAGACGAAAACGGAACCGAGTACAGTTGGAAAAGATTCTATGTCACGTTATAGAAGCAACAGCATCGATATCGATGATGAATTTCCTAGTAGATCTTCATCCCATTCGAGCGATGATCTGTTTGCAGTCCTGTCGGCTAGGGCTGAGCGTGTATCCCGTCAGAGTACTAGGCAAACCAACTTCTGGAATTTTTGCAGTGCTCCTTGCAACGACGATTCCGATGATTATCACAGTGAATTTAGGGCACAAAAGGTCAAGCCCGAGGATGCAACGCTCATGCGTTTCCTTCAAGGGCCATATAAGAACTACAATATAACACCACCGCAGGGGCTAACCTTCGACATGGTATTGAAAATGTGGAATATAGTATCGATAGTAGGTATGCCGAATATAGCGCAGCAAAAGCGTAGAGTTGTACAAGTATCGTTAAGAACCACCGAAAAAGGTGACACTGATGATGCTTCTCCACCTACTTTTGATGGGAAAATGCAGTTTGAACCCCTCGACCTTATTGTTACAAGCTCTGCTGCGAAGATTGTATACAACATTGTCAGATACATGCAGCTGACCTCGGTATACCGTACCATGGCCATGGATAACATCAATGCAGTGCCGGATCCTAGCGATTGTCAAAAGTTTGTAGATATCATACGCACTTCCCAATGGACGCACCGTGAAGAGGATGAGAAGTTTGTTAAGGAATTTGAATTGACTACCCCTTTCCATTTGTTACTGAAGCTGAAAGAGATGGCCAATGCTACTAAAAAGAGGCTCACACGTGTAAATGCTTGTTTCATAAGTGCTCCGTGTCTACCTGATTCACATCAGGAAGAAGGGGAACAGCAGTTTGTTCCTGAGAATATAGTACAGTCGTACACGTGGTACCAAAGAGACATGTCGCTGATGTTTGTGCTCCCCAATGTCAATGTTTACGTGGTGCCCATTGACAGGGGTATGCCTGATGATACATTACCTTCAACGGTTTTCCAATTCAGTACATTTGCCTTCGAATACGAGACCCTTTACCTCCGTGCAACGTGCAGGGTACTGGCTTGCAAACCCATATTACGATGTGGACATGTCATGGCGGTGGTGAAGAGGCGCAGCTTTAGTGCGAAGATAATGTTAAGGCCTTTGAAAGATTCAGAGAGGTTGCTATGTTATCCCGAACATATGATTACAAATTTGTGTCCTTTTTTTGCAGAATACGGTTCGGATAATATGGAGAGTTGTATTAACGGGTCAACTGGAAAGGTTGGAGATGTTGTGCGTGTAACCTTGGAGAAATATGCCAATGATGTTAAACATATCCACATTGTGATACCTAAGGTTGTGGTAATACTCAACTCTCTGTTGAATCTGAATGCTATTATTGGTGAAGAGTTTTGGAGAATGCAATTTCTCACGTTCGAAAGGTTTCTACAGTCTAGTGAAAAGCATGGTTGTGGTAACCCTGAACTTAGCAGCATGCTATTTGATTTCCTAAAAGTTACACATTCCAAAACCGTTAGTAAAGTAGAATTTGATGGAGTCATTGTTCGAACGGCCCTTAAGAAAACGACCCATGTCAGACAAACGAGCGGCGGTGATGAAGAACGAGCGGATAACCAGCAGTATCCACTTGATCTCCAAAACGTATGTGATCGATTCATTATGAACGACAAAACGTTGAACACTTGGGAATACTGTGATGATATGGACGACCCTTTCGCGTTCAAACACACCTCTTCATCAATGACCGACAGTTCTCTAGGCTGGGCAGATGGAGGCAATAAAACTGTCTACGGCAAGGCCGAGTTTGTGTCAGAAATGGACGCTGTCTCTACAGATAACGCGAACACACCAATATACATGTTTGCGCAGGACTGGGATCCCAAATTGTCGGTAAAGTCGAGGCTTGTGTTACACCTTGGGAAACTGCGCAAGTGGTACCGTAACACATCTGCTTTGGAGACGCCATTGAATGTATTAAACGAGCTGCAAGTGGTACAATCGTTGCATCTTGAAGTTAATGACATATTAGTGAGCAACGTATCAACATGTACGCTTACATACTGCTCTATAGGCAGTGTTGCGCTAAGTGGTACGGACCACCGAGGTGCTGCTATCCAACTTCTAAGTCTTGAGGCTGTTACTTTGGCTAAGAAAATGAGCGCCACATGTGTCGATGTGGAAAAGTTATCGGTGATGTTCGACGCTAAGCTGCCGCTGTTCACGTTATTGTTGCGCCATGTCAATACCTTCAAGTTATACGGCACCTACATGGACCAAATGCGTTTAAAGCTGAAAGCCATATGTGATATGCAGCAGCAACATGTTACCCTAGATATTACCCTATCGGGAAACCCAGAGATTTGCCATATCCTACGCACTGACCTCTATGATGGGTCGCCAGATGTACTAGAGGAATGTAACGCCAACCTAGTCCACGCACTCGAAAGGAAACTACAGAATGTTGGCAAATCTGAAAAGGTTCTGTTTTTTTCAGCAGGCGCCATTGCAGTGAACCTCGCAGCGGAAAGTATATTATATGAACTTTGGGTACATAAAACGCAATTGGAGTTGTGTGGAAGAGAACGTATCAAGCTGTATGTCGGTAATACTTATCTCTCAATGAGAGAGGACGGAACAAGGACTGTCATGTTATCGTCCAAACAGTCTGAATTGGGAAAAGATGTAGATGTGACTATAGATGAAGTAGATTACGGTCAGGTTATGTTGGACTTCCGGGGTAAAGATGCAAAGTACGTCAACCTGGAGGTTCGAAATGTTCATCACATTATCGATTTGCATTTTATTAAATCTGTGACCGACTTAGTAAAACAATTCAAAGAGTATGCCCATTCATCAACTCCAAAGCATGTTGGAAACATTTCGGGCCACATTATGATCCATCATTCATCGGTTCATCATGGCGGTGTTGGTGCTATAGTGGATCTCTTTGCAACGGTCAAACTATCGGAACCCGAAAACAATCTACGTCTGTTTATTGAAATACCACGTTTCCATGTGACATTCACAACTGGCTTGTCTAAACGTGTATTTGCACTTTCGCTACTAGATGTTGTGCTAGAGATGTGCCAATACAGACAACGTTTCAACTTGAGATCGTCGAGCTCGATTGGCAGTGATATGTCACACGAAGTCAAATTGATGAACGTGATCGTAGAAATTGCACATTGTGCTGTCTGGGGGTTCCATCTAGTGGCAGAAGGCTCTGTACTCAAACATAAGTTTAAGGATATAAACGATGCTGCTGAAAATCTACAGATGGTACTTCATGAAAGTTGGTTCAACCACATGACCGCCGCTACACTACCATCTTACTATGACGATGTGCCTGTTGTGGTTGTACCTCTGATATCTACACGGTATGCGGATGCTTCCAGGTTGACACCACTGCTCAATGCAAATTGGATCAAGGATTGGTTAATGAAAGCTGCACAAGATGTCGATCCGAACCAATGCGATACTGCGGCAGATTCCGTAATAGAAGCGTTTACCATCAATGCATCGCAGCAACGTAAACGAAGTTTGACTAAAATTACTGTATCGCTATTAACTCTGGACGACATCTTAATGGCTATTGGCAGTGTCGACCTTATCTCATTGACGGCAGTTTTCCATAGGGAGTCGATAAACAACCTGCTAGAGCTTTTTTCTCAGTGCAAACTACTTCGTAGCGGCCCTCGGCACAATATCCGCGAGGTTAAGGCAGCTAAAATCGTAAAGGTCGATTTCAATATTGATGAAATAGATCTCATATGCCCGCACAATGTGGATATCGATTATCACAGCGCAATACCGTCTGCATTGCTGCCAAATGTACTTGTTAATGCGCCAATGCATAAAAGGAGGCCGAAAAACCGAACCTCATCGTTCCATATACTACGTATATACAGTTCACCGAGTGTATTGCTACAGGCTGCAGCGACAACTACCGTAATGGCACAAAGCAACCTTACTTTGCAACTTGTTAGGATGATATACAACAATATGAAGTACCTCCAGGGGCTTACTCGCTATGCTTTATTCGATTATGTTGATGCGATGGAGGACGCAAGGTACCAGGCTTCACTACATCTGTTCGACGCACATAACGATGAAAGGAAAGGGGAGATTTTCGTCATTGCGTGTCATAAGTTAAACACCTCGATGTACAGTCCGAGTGCCAGGGTGGAATACTGGATGGATGTAGTGAAGCACGTTGCCGAGGGCACAGTGGTCACAGCTCAGGACTTGTACAAGGACTTTAAGTCGGTGCTAACTCTCGAGATGTCTAATTTGAATGTAGATGTGCGGATGGTATCAAACACACTAGATGCGGTGAAAGCCACGATACAACATATACAAATAACAGATGCATGTGGAAAAAACCTGGTGGAAGACCTTTGTGCTAGTAGAACTACATTGGGTGAGCTGGGATATCTGGAAGATACTACATTCTGTTACCCAGCCGATCAAGTTAATGTTAGCCTAACTCGTGGAGATGGTATATTCAATATCAAAGTGATATTGGAGCATACAAGATCTGAGATTCAAATCGATGGCATCAGTGTAATCCTCGGTGTAGTTCAGGACCTCGGTCTATTTAATTTGAAACGAGATAAAACTAAGGAAAAGAGGGGCCATAAACTACGTATGAATCTAGAAATTGGTTTAAATCTACATGAAATATGGCTATACCACAGCATACCCAAGGATGTAGTTGCAGCGGACCCTGATGGTGAAAATGTGGTTCCATTGGAGTCCATAAAAACAGAACCATCGGATACGTTTCGTAAGAGCACTCTACCTCGTGTACTCAAACGTGCAAGAGAAGTTGAATACAAAATCCACAAGGCATCCTCCATAGTAACAAATGAACCGGGAAACCAGTTGCTTCATGATGGCAATGTTATAGGATGTTTAGTAAGCATATCTATATCATATTCCAAATCTGGGAATTCTAATCTCAAACTGAAATATATGGGTGTAGCGCTTGCAAAGTTGAACCTCATGCAAGGTATCAAGGTCTTGGTGGATGAACATAACGATTGTATTTTTAGCTCATTGGACTCGGATGATCGTAACCTATTTGAGGTACGAGAAAGCTGTGTCAAGTCGAAAGTGTTGGAAAATGGGCATGTAGTAGTCGCCTTTGAAGCATCGAAACCGAAATTCTCAATAAACGTCGACCAGCTGTTTCAACTATGTCTACTGAAACCTTATATTGTGGGAACAGCAATCGACACTTTGAAGGCGCACAGGATTCTCGGACAAGTATCTAAAAGTCTGGATGTCCAGGAAGAGGCACCAACGGTGGAGTCGTATGACCTCCTGGAAGCTATACGTTACATTGCGACGAAATACAAACTACCAATGTCTAATCCGACCGATATGCAAGGCAGCATATACAATGTAAAATCTGATGTGGATGAAAGCAGCATATATGCTCTACAGGTGAGGGAGCGTGGCCATGCAGTGATTACCAAAATCTTCAACTTCATTAACAAGCTTATATGGCACGATGATGACCCGCAGTTGACCGTATCTCTTCTTATGAACGACTGCAAGTGCGCACTCTTTTCCGTTAAAAACGAACTGGTGCTAACTTTCAACCTCCAACAGCTGATGTTCGACCTCACACATACCGCGCCCGTGTCTAAAAGAAGAACAGTAATTTCATCTTCTATGATATTCAACGTCACAACCTACAATTCAAGCATCGATAATCATGAGACCGTGCTGCAAACCACTGTGGCCACCTTAAAGGTGACATACGAAGACGTCGCCTTCACGATGCCGGCACTGGATATAAATATGCAACTGAGTGGAGTATCAGTTGAGGTAAATCCATGTTTGCTTCAATTGTTCAAACAACTGAAACATGTCTCATTGATGTTATCTTCAGAACAGCTGGGTGGCAAGGTCAATCGCAGGAACCTTATCAAGCTGTACAATGAGTTGGAGGTTGGGGTATCTCTCCTAGGTAATCGAGGTGGACAAAGGAAAAAGATAGAACTCATGCATCTTCCAACACAAAGGTTCACCAATGTTACTGACAAGGAGATATACATATTTCTTACATCAAAATCTGTGAAAGGTGCGAAACAACCGCCTCGTAACACACTTTCTGGACAATTTGAAGCTTTAAATGGCGGGTCTACGCAATCAGGGACAGAAACGTTGTCACGAGAGCGTGAAAATTTGCTATTAGGTAACAGCGTTAACGTCAAGCGTGTTCTTACTGTGCTCCACGGCCATGATAATGCTTCAGAACGTGAAATTGATATTAACGCTATAACACAGGCATACCCCAACCTTTCTATGACATTTGTCGGAAAGTACCAACTGGAACAAACTGGCTCTAGGTTATTCAAGTTACCAGATAGTTTAGCTTTGGTGTTGATGGAACAGTTTACGGAAGAGGGAAATGATCCGTATGTCATACTTTCGTCGTCTATCCGCATACAAAACTCTACAGACATCCCGCTATGTCTACGTATGGATAACAAGATTGGCTATTTCACAAATGTGGCGTATAAACTGACCCAACATAGTAAACCATCAGGGAATTTAGAAGAGATGTATTTGGAGCCCTACTCGAGCTCATGCGTACCATTGAGCTGGTTCGGTACAGCCATGATGCCGACCATTGCACCGATATTGTCAAAGGATTATACCGCATCGGACGCAATACCGTTCCAATATCTATATGACCTGCTAAATAGGAACCCAGTTTCAGAGAGTGATGTTGAACCTATCAAAGAGGTGACTCTGAGATTAAAGGGAGTTCTCGCATTGAAGTGCACTATTATAACAAAGGAGGCAGCCAGCACCGATGACTGTGGAGCGTGTCTAAACCATTTTACACTCAAAATAGAGCCCATGGTGAAACTGGTCAATATGTTGCCATGTGACGTTGACGTGTCGATAGCACTTAACAGGATAAAACATAGAGATGATATCAAAGGGGAATATGATGAATACGATCTCAATTCCGGCTATAAATCAAAAGTTAGACGCAGATTGAAACGTGGTGAAACTTTTGGTATACCGTTTTCGGATCAGAAAATATTTATACGTTTATATGTGGTTGGTACCCAGTTGAAGAATTGGAATGGCGATCAGAACTCAGTGGCCGGGACATTCGAATATTTCTCACCAACGTTCCAGGTACACCTACCAAGCACGGGTTCTGTCAGTATCAACAAGACTTTAAGAATGGTCAAAGGGACCTTGGATGATCTAATGCAAAAAGACAATGTAGAATCCGGGGGACCGGTGCCGTCGTATGCCGACCAATACAAATCTATGACGATAACAATCGACCTTTCAAGACACTATATACGATTATGGTGGCCGTTCATATTCGAGAACATGTCAAGCAGTTCACTCATAATTAATGGGAGATTGCTTTCGCCAAGGACACGCTATTATGGAAACCTCTACGAAGCTTCCAACTGCAGGATTAGGGCAATAATGTCTAGCAACCAACCTCCTGAATCTGGAAACTATGGAACAAATGCATTAAGTCAATGTGTGAAATTGGATGTCACCTCGACCACTGACTTCAGGCCACCAATCAAGTTTGTCATACCACTCAATAAAAGAGCGGCAACGCAGATGCTGCCTTCACAGAGTATAGCGAATAATGACGAGGTTCTGGCGCCTGTGGTCAATGCGATAAATGTCCATGTGCCAAGGCGCTATGTTAACCATCCCACTACCCCCGAATTTCGGGAGTCTCTTTCAAACTGCGCTACTGAGGAATTTATCAAATCTGCAGAAGGGGACGCAACCGTATGCAACGAATTCCTATGCCTGGGATCAACGGTACGTTATGCGGAGTACCCGTACGACATGTGCAAAATCGTCAGTATAACGAACATGTACACTTTCGTAAATAGACTGCCGTTCACGGTATGTGTCAGGGGCGCCCCTATAAACTACCCGAACGTAGATACAGGAGCTTCGGATGGCAATAGAGACGTTATAATACCTCCAGGTGAATCGGATTCTTTGAATGCTCCATTCCAAGGCGCTTATGTCGTCAATGTAGAAAGCGATATCAGCAGTGGGATATTCTCACTTCAGTACCCCAGGGTACCGCATGTCTTCCAATTAGAACTAAATTCGAAAAACGTGACATATTCTACAGTCGCTACACGTGGGCTGTTAGTACAGGTTAACGTGATATCTGGTATGTTCAAAGGTTCCAGCCTCCCGTACAGCTACAATGGATACTACTTCGTCCTCTCATTGCCGAAGAAACCACAGTACCAGATACTCAATCTGACGAACTACACACTGGCTTACAGTGTACCGGGAAACATGAAGTCTCCTGAATCTCAGAACGTAGACAGTTATGATACTGCAGAACAAACCTGGTATGAGACACCAATGAACAAAATCGGGATACTGCCGCCAACGTGTATCACCCATTATGTACCTGTTGCAAATGGCAAGCCAAATGAAGCTATGCAAGTTTGTATAAAGGTAATACAGGTGGACAAATGCGACTGGAGTGTACAGCAGCTGGATACAGGCAGGGAAGGGTACCGTTCTATCAAGTTCACTGATCAGGGCAAGTCTGTATCTTTGTACGCTACAATCATCATAAGAGCTAATGGTACGCGTATAGTAGTTATGGTAGGGTCTAAACTGGCTGCTATCGAGTTGAACCGAATAGGTGGATCTGCCATGTCAAACGGACCAATACTTCAATGGTCGAGCATTAATTTCAATTTTCTAACTCCAAGGATTACTATAACGTTGTCAACGAAAAGAAAGGTCATATTGGCATTCCACCTCACTAACACCTCAATCGCCATATCTATAGCACCAACAAAGCCTGAGCGAATCTCCTTGGACGCTAGGGACTCTCTAGACAGTGAGGCATACCGAAGCAACATGATCGAATTTATTGGTATCATACAAAGTATCCACATCGACCATTTCCTGCAAGGACATATACCCGTAATACTTAAAAGCTCGGCTAAGCGGTCTTCTTCTCAGGAATCTTTCCTCCATTTCCGCTTATTGCTATCTAATTTCATGGCACTGGGTCTACCGGTCTATGAGCTCATACAGGCTAAACTTTCGCCGTTATCTATCAACATCGAGACGGCGGTGATCGAACAACTCCTGGATTCCGTGGAGCATATGTTCAAAATGCCAGGGGCCAATAGCACTGTCGAGTCAAAACGAAACGTCGACAACAATCTGGTAGTGATGCCCGAACCTAAGTGGGTGGAGATGCAGCCGACCTTGCCGGTATATATTCGCAAGCTCACAGTGGAACCCATAACACTAAGCTTGGCTATTCGAACGTCGTCAGTAAGGTTAACCCATCACACTATGAGGATCCTTGATGCTTTGCCACTGGACACACCTTGTGTATGTGTCCATTTCGCCAGGGAAGCGCGGTCTTCCCTTATCGTTGGATGGAGTGAGCTTATGCATTCCCTTCGTAACTCGTACCTGCGGCAACTCATAAGACAATCACTGCCAAGCGCATGGCTGTCTAATACTTTCGCGATACTACATGGCTTCATCAAGGGGGTCCTACTGCTGGTGGTACAGCCAGTGCAAACTGCAGTAAGGTTCAAGAGCATATTGGAAGGGTCGTTGGTTGGCATGGGTAACGGGATTATGTTGTTCCTGTTGTACATCGCCGGTGGGACAACCCAGAGCCTCGGTCACATCCTCAACGTTTTCCACAAAATTTTCGGGGGACAACGATCAAAGCCTCAGGGTATACTGGATGCCCTCTGGTTAGGTTTGAATGCACTATTCATACACGTCTTTTATTTACCATGGAAAAGGCTCATTACTGATTTTTCAGAGTCTAATTCCACCGGAGATGGATTCTTGAAGACATCAGGGGGACTGGCGATTAACATCATACGTTGCGCCGTTTCACCCCTCATAGGTGTTGTAAATATGCTAATCACTATCGTTGAAGGGTTCTCCAACGTACTTCTCGGCGACTTCGAGCAATTCACACACGTCTATGAAAGTGATCAGTTGGTAACAACTGGTAATACTACCGCTGGCCAGCAACCGAAGCAAACTGAAAGCAGGGAGAACTCGTCGTCGGAAAACTACTTCCTCAACCGCATGAAGACCTCTATGGTACTCAAAAGAAAAGCTCATTCAAAATTATAGTGAACGATATCACATAAATGTTAATTATTAAAGCATTTTAATACACAATTTGTGTAACGTACTGAACGGGATTATAGAATCCCAAATCCAATGTTTTCAATGGATTCACACCATAATTGCCATTGCATTTGTATAGTTGTGTTAAATATTTTTTTGTGAGATAACTAGTTTTCAGGTTAACAATAGGCGGAAATGAGCCCGTTAAATTTGACAAAATAATTCAAATCGCCCATTATAAAGCAGCAAATAACAACCAAATGTCTCACATCCGGTTGATTGGCCATGAGATCTGTATCAACGTTGGTCGCAACGAATGTTCCAATGCAGGCTTGCCTGATGATTTAGAGAAACCTAAAATCTAATCTCATTTGTTACTGTTGTTTTTGTTGCGTATCTCCACCTCACGAATGTGATGTCTGTTGTGTAGCACTGCTACTTGCTACAGCTACTGCTACTGCTACTGCTACCACCAGCAGCACCACCATTCTTATTGTTTTCATAAGTGATCATGCATAAACCGTATAAGATTGCGTTGACTATAGTGCCAACGACCATGATATACATCATTGTTTTACGCAATGCTTCTGCATTTGTGTTCTTTACAACGTCGCTCATTTCAGCAAAGGACTGAGTAGATGTGGTATAACCGAATATTTTTTCAGACAGATAACCAGCTAACGGGTAGAAAAACAAGCTGCTTGAAACACCGGCGATACAACGAGTTGTGGCCCAAGCAAGTGCCTGAATTTCGTCCTCCACCGTATTAGTCATAATAGTTCGATCTACACTACCTATGGTCACCAAAGAAGCACCCATTACGGCCAATTCCAAGTAGTGTTGCCAACGCAAAAAACCTCGGGGTTGCGACCCTAAGAAGAAACAAAGACACGCGATGAGCCTTATAATAACGCAAACAATACCCGATCCCAACAGACCATGATTATGTGCTGAAACAAGTGAGATCAATTTACCACCAGCTGCACTACCAACCGCTCCTCCTACGAGAGTCATTGCAACGGCAACACCGGCCATCAAATCTGATACTCCAAGATATTGAAGATACATAATCATATACGTGAATGCAGAAAATGGAGCATCCGAGATAAATACGAGAAATATCAAAACGATGGTGGTTGGCTTTTTGAGTGCTTCCCACAGACACTGGTTAGCACTTCCATTGGTGCTTGTACTACCGTTGCCACCACCGTTATTTCCCGCAACCATGCCGAACAAAACTGCAACGCCCATAAGAACCCATATATACCCGAATACAACGTAACACGTCCTCCAACCATGGTAACCAATCAATAATTGCCCAGCTGAAAATGTTGTTAGAACGGCGCTCAACAAACGCCCCAAACACATCATTGCATTTATTATACCGAATTTTGCGGAATGGTTGTCCTTACAGACGGACGTAGATATTATTTTTTGCTGGACGGGGCTTCCACATGCTAAACCAAACCCGTGAAAGAATCGCAGTACGAGAATCTACGAATAATTTTAATTTTTACATTAAACATACCACTTTGAAGTGAGACGCTATGCCCAAAAGTATGTTGGTTACACCTGTTAGTAATGCCCCCGCAGCAAGTACGTATTGGTTCTGACATTTGTCTGCCAAAAAACCCCAAAAAACGGCTCCACCCAGTAGTGTCATCGTTTCCATCGTAACCATTGTTGACAAAGAAGAAGGGGACAATTTCAATGACATCTCAAAGGCCCTCAGACATACAGATATAACTTGCAAATCATACCCTTCCATGAAAGCCAGGATATGATACAGCATTTGGGCAAAAACACCGTATGTCACGGTAGGCGTTCCATTACTACTTTTAGTTTCTGTCATCTTCTTAAGGTTATATCATTGTTAAAACAAAGGGTCGTGTTATAATACCTCACGTCACAATAAATCGATTGACCACTAGACAACTATGTCTATTGTATACAAACTTCAATTTAAAAATTTACAATACACCAGTCTTAAAACGTCAAAACTCCTGGTATCATTGTTCTTCCACACTAAATGCTATGTGTAAGGTGCACATAGTACATAAACGGAAAGAATGACCCCTCATAGAACAAAATTAATTGTAAAACAAATTTTAAACGATAGCTGAATATTACTATTAGGAGTAAGTGGCTGGTTGAGGAAGGCAGCGTGCTATCTCGGGGATATCGCGGACATCTGGTGTTCTACACTCGATTCTACGAAGGAATCGCCACCATATAACAATCTAGGACAAATGTGCGCGTTTTCATCAGACAGGCAGTGAATATAATATAAATGGTTCATAATTGTTTAGAACGTATCGAGATAAGGTGACTTAAACTCTAATATGCCGACTACTAATAGACACCCTGGTGTGTCGCAAGGAACCGCCGGTATCACGACAGAAACCAAGTTAAAAACGGCTCTTCTCGGTGGCAAACTTCAATCGTGAATTTGTGCCCGGAACAATGACGAGGCTAGAATGGTAGGAGTGGGTTTCCTCTTAGTGATGATTCTACTTAAGTGTTTGCCCCTGAGTCAATCAAAGCACCTGGGTATAACGAATTTCGTCGTATTATGTACTACTTAGTTCTCAGACCTTGTGAATGAGATCCTTTTCTGACTTGTATAATGACACCTAGTTGAGCCATTGGCTGGGTGCTGGCTTATGTATTTCAATCCATTCAAAACGATATCCGTTAGATATGTATTCAGATATGTATGACCTCGGTAAACCGATTCGGCGGTACCGCCTTTTAATGACTTTTGAACCGATGAACCACTATGAAATTTAGCTGAAGGAACACCCCCATTGGGAAAGAATGTTATATAAAACATATATATCGATGTGAACTATTTTCTCCGCAAAATACTTTTTGTATAAGAGATGGAATATTGTTTGGAATACATGATTACCTCAGTTTTTGCAGTGAGTTGAACATAAAATGAACAAATAAATTAAATATTATTCTGATATTGTTGTATGCCAAAGAGCAGATGGTTTGGTGTTTCAGAAGTCGGCCTTTCCGACGTAACGTGGGAATGGAATAGCATCCCTAATGTTTGTAATACCAGTCACAAGCATGACCAGTCTCTCAAAACCGAGTCCGAAACCAGAGTGTGGTATCGAACCGTATGTACGGAGGTCCATGTACCAGTTATAGTCGTCGATACACAAACCGTTTTCCTTAATTGATGCTTCTAGCACATCGCGACGCTCTTCACGCTGCGATCCACCAACAAGTTCTCCGAAGCGTGGCACAATGACGTCCATGGCAGCACAGGTCTTGCCGTCATCGTTTCTGCGCATGTAGAAGGCCTTAATCTTAGAAGGATAGTTGTAGATTATAGTTGGTCTTTTGAAAACAGCCTCAGCAATGAACCTTTCGTGCTCGCTAGACAGGTCTATTCCCCATTCTACATGGTTCTCGAACGCCGTTTTACGTGGTTCCGCGCCATCTTCAGGCTTACCCTGCTTCTCATCTACTGATACAAGACCCGCCTTGAAGTCAGCTTCGTGTTGCATCAATATGTCGATAACATCAGTGTAGGTGATCCTTATGAACTTTTCAGTTGCAAAAGAACGAAGGTTTGCAACTAGACCAGCTTCTCCGATACTCTCAAGGTACATGAGATCGTCAAGACAGTGATCTAGAGCGTATTGTATTGAGAATTGTACATATTCTTCAGCAATATCCATGTTCTTGGGTAGGTCACAGAAATCAATCTCGGGCTCGACCATCCAGAACTCTGCAAGGTGACGTGACGTGTGGCTGTGTTCAGCACGGAACGCAGGGCCAAAGGTGTAAACCTTTCCCATTGAGCATGTGTAGTTCTCCGCAGATAGTTGTCCACTGCAAGTGAGGAACGCTTTACGTTTGAAGAAATCCTTTTTGTAGTCCAACTCCATATCTTCCAATGCTTTGGCCTTTTTGGCATCGCTTGACGCCATTTTCTTCGACAAATCGCCAAGTGTGAGACAGTTCTCCAGCATGGTGGTTACCTGGAACAGTTCACCAGCTCCTTCACAGTCTGTTGTTGTGATAAGAGGGGTGTGGAGGTATATGCACCCAAGTCTCTGGAAGTAAATATGCGTGGCCATTGCCAAAGCGCTCCTGACCCTCATTACAGCACTGATAAAATAGCTCCTGGGCCTGAGGTGCGCCACCTCACGCAAGAACTCTTGTGTAATAAACTTCTTAGCAATAGGATATTTCGCAGCATCGAAGTTCTCCCCGACAACCTCGAATAAATGCCCATCGAAGGCAGAAACATGCACTTCGTATTTGCTAGCTACTTGTTCCAAAGTTTCATCCTCACTTCGCTCAATTGATTGATCCTTTGGAGGTCTTTCCACCAAGGTACCGAATACTCTAATGGTGGTACCAGCGGTACACTTCGCTACTGCCTGGTGGCCTGCGGCATCATCATGAACGACTATTTGAAGATCAGCCTTGCAGCTTCCATCGTTTACAATGACGAAACCTAATTTTCCAGCATTCTGCATCCTAACGGTCTTACACCATCCAGCGATTGATATTACAGGTAGTTTGCTTTTGGACTCTTCTCCAGATTTCCTCATCTGATCGAAGTCGGCATATGCGATGGGTTTCATACCACTGTGGATGTCACCGACATCACCAAGTCTGGTTTTACCATATAGCTGTGCCAAATGGGCAGAGATGAGCTCACGCTTCTTAGCGCCGTCACCCTTACGCAGAGTCGATAATAAAAATCCTATACGCTCATAGCGGGGTTGTTTGGTTTCGAGAATTGTCGATTTTTTCAACGCGGCCTTCAATAAGGCCGGTGTCGGCGCTCCGGTAGTAAGAGCGGCCATTTTCAAAGGAATGTAACGTTTAAGGAGGTTGATTCGTGTAAAAGTCTTAATTATGCCAGTTTTAAATAACATGGATTTGTTTCGTGGCATAAACACCCCAGTGTAGTACACCGCAATGTGTGGGCCACGTGCGCCATAGATACACCGTTATATCCGCCAATAAGGACTGTATGCTACAATATATGGCATTTACATGACTAATGTTGGCGATAGCAACACATAGAATGAGCAGTTGAGGGCAGATAATCTGTTTTTGCCATAATGGTTAAGACATACGTTGATTCGTTGCGCCAAACAAGGCAACGTCTGTCCGCTTTATTGTCTGAAGCAGGTTAGTACGCGGCTAGTATTATGTTTGCCAGCCTATCCTTATTCTTCTATTCTATTCAGGCGATGGAGATGACCCTAATGGTTTCGTAGCTACCTATCGGTGAGTCACTTTGAATTGGAAATTCAAAATTATTCAGAACCTTGGTCAGTGAATTGGATGATATAGTGACCTTTCTTGAGCCCTGCGATCATGAAAGCGAGCCGCGATTTATCAAGGTACGTTCGCGATACGCATCGAGATAGTATCACATTGACATTATTACATGTGTTTATTGTGAATTTATTCATATCGTCAAAATATCATTGAAGGTATATTCTGGTGATACAATAACGCTATTTATACTGTAGAATCTCGGTTTGACAATATTCTTTCATTTAGTTACAGGCATATGAGTCTGCGTTGGAGGATACGGGTGACCCTAATTTTGACGCAGATATCGCAGAAGCAATTGCTGACTTGCAACGGGAAGCTTGCGAGGCTATAACATTCTTAGAAGGAGTGGGCCATATTGCAAGAAATACGGACATCTTCCTTAAAGGGCAGCGGGAAAACCAAAACGCCCTCCTCGTTTCGCACAATTCATTACGTGATAACTTATTGCAGCATAAAGTCGAAGCAGAAGCCGCATTAATCGATAATGCATCGATTCTGGACATGTTGAATCACGATATCGCAATTTCAGAGGATCGCATAAAACGACTCAATGAGGTAAGTCATGCTTCCCGTCATCATTCAGAGCCATTGCCTTCTGATCATGGTGACGAGCTCCCATCGCATAGGTTAGTATTTAAATATTAAATATAAGTTTTGTTCAGATCGAACGTTGCTTCGCGTCTAATATCGGCCCTCCAAGCCAGCCCGCTGACTGTCATAGACGAGGGTACGGACTATATTGTATATGAGTACACACTAGGTGATACTCGAAGCCGATTACACGTGAGTGACAGCGGTTCTGGTGCAATGAGCTTTATGTTGGACCCTATGGACCCCAAGGCCCATGCGTATCTAGAGGAGCACCTAAAAGGCTGCAAGTCCAGAGTTCAAATCGCAGCGGTGTTACAAGAGGCGTTAACTCTGCCTTAGAATTCAACATACTTGGCCGTAGTTAACATATGCATTTCCTCCGCAACTAGGTTCTCCAAACGTGTCAACAGTGACTCCTCAACAGACGCCTGGGTGTCAATATAACTGTGTTCTAATATACTTACTAGGTTGTCCGTGTGTTTATCCTTTTCATTCTTGCACGACCGTAAAGCACCGAGCTTAGTCTGGTGCAATACCGTGGGCCCAGGCATACTGTATTTCTTAGGTTTGATTGCCTCCGGGAATGTATTGTACGACGGTTGTAGACCCTTTGTATTCATGCGCCGCCAATGTTCCAGTGCTCCTATAACCGGGAGTAATAACATCTTTTTCATGTGCCTTGCGATAACCATTGATGCCAACCTGCGTTTTTGCTTGAGGATTTCCGACTGTGCATCAATGGTAGATTGAAGCGCCTTGTACTGCTTGCGCCGCATTTTCCTGAAGAATGTGCGTGAAACCTTAATAGTTAGACGAAAAATCAGCTCTGAGAGCGCCGTACAACCACTACCAAGTGCTACAGCCTTTCCTAAGGCCATTTCAAATTTGATAAAATCTGTACTTTGTTTTTTTAGCAGTTCTTCGATTTGTTCATCACGCTTCTTAACATCACCCTTCAAACTTTTCGTCTCCTTCATTAGTTGCGCCTCTCTTCTCTTAAGAGTGAGTACCTCAATACTTACTCCTAGTGGTGATCCTCCGAAATATACATGCCTGTTGTGTGCCTCGGTCTTGTGCAGTTGTTCCCATGACGTGACCTTCTGGCTACGAGTCGTTTCTCCGTCTATACGCTGGAACCTCCCACTGGAATGATCCTGTTGCATACGTTCTAAGTAGCGTGAGACTCTTTCTTCTGTTTTCGCTACATGTAACATGTCATTGATTTTATTTTCAATTTCCTCGTTTAATTTCGATTCGCCTGGACTCTTAGCGCGAGATGCATCGCGTTTACTCTGTCTGGATTGACTGTTGGATCTCTGTGGCACATCTGGAACAGCTGCGTCATCGGTGGCCGTAGTTCCGGCCACCATGTTGACGAGGTTCTGAAACATCTTCAGAACTTATCTAGTACTCTATATTATGGTAACTATATTTAAAGGGTTACACATTTTTGTTTTCATGCGATAGATATTGTCATTCTCCTATATCTGCGGGGAATGACCCGGTGTGTAGGATAGGTTACGTCGTGCGTGTAGTATGGTGTAGTCCTCTGCCATCAAATCCGGAAAGAATGCTTCAAGTACCTTTTGATTTACACCCACCAATGGATTAATTTGAAATTCTTTGGGTGCCGGCTGCATATCCACGACGAAACCCAGCCGGTTGAGCCTGCACGGGAGTAACTACAGAATAGAACAAGTTAGCATCGGCCATTTACATACACACACTTTGATGAATGTGAGAGCATAGTCCTCAATAAGATGCTCTTACGATTCAATCACACATTTTTGTGCTATTTGACCAACTATATTTAGTTCAACTTACGCTTCAGGGAAGAGGTCCGATCCTTGCCTAGCTTGTCTAAAGGCATAGAACAGTTCTCCATATTGTTTGTCTAACAGTGCCTGTACCACCACCGTGAGTGGTGAAACGAGTTTGGCATCATACACAAGGTCACTTCCTATTACGATATCGAATGTCTGTATAGCGCCGTTCATATCCCTTGGCCATGTGTGTTGTTTTGTCCAGTCCAACGAGCGTATGTCGACCCCGTCTATTGCATTGAGGTTATTTAGTTCTACATTGAACCTTAGGTTAGCGATAGTCCATTCGCATACATCGGTGAACATCAGCGATTTCGGGGTCTTTCCACAAACCGAGGCATTGATGTACATTGCTATTGCAGATAAGCCACAACCAGATCCCAACTGTATAACACTTTTACCTTGGAATTTACCATGACGGGCTAAGGAACTTAACCACTGGGCAGCTACGAGGTCAGTTTCCCAGATAACTTCACCTGTGTGATCCATTTCAGCAGTATTAGCATTTAAAATCTGATCATTCTTGATCTCTAACTCCCTTGCTTTAACAACTGGTTGCCCATTTCCCTCGGCTTCAGCTCCGAATTGGAACGAGTGAACAACACCATTTACACCGTTGACCACTACACGTTCTACAGGCACTTCTGGCTCCGTTGTGTCTGGTGGCTGGTCGAGCACTGATGCCGCGGGATGTTCCAATAATGCGTGTAGTATATTCTGATCCTTTGCATTAAACGCATCGGCAAGTATAGTTTTTCCGAACTTATTTGGTGTCACAATGCTGATTCTGCTATTTTCAGGGTATGTTACTGCGTATTCCAAAATATTGTAATAACGCTTGGTATCTTCATCCAATTTGAATTCGTCCCTAACCTCCACTGGTTCCAAAGTGCTGTAATATTCCGACCCCTCCTGCATTTCATATTCCTCTTTGTGAACGTTGTAGTCATGTAGCAGTAACTGCTTCACAGCGTCGGTACTATTGGTCTGGACGGCCCACTGTAACGGTGTGTTACCACTTCTGTTCGGTGAGCAATAGTCTAGTTTGCATTCTTTTAGCAAGAACGCCATCGCTTCCGTAAGATTATTAGCACAACAGTAATGGAGTGCTCCATTTCCATTGATGTCTAATACGTTAAGGTTTGTGACTAGCCTTTGTTTGAGCAAATCCACCGCTTCACCAAGTTCGTTTGCTCGAAGGCAGTCAAGCCACTCTTCGTTGAAGTCGATATGCTCGTCCGATGCTTGACCTTCCATTGTATAATGTGTGTCTATCTCACGTTGAAGGTCGAATTCCCCATGTGCGGCCCATACCTTTGTAACTGGTATATACATCAGAATACCATTACCTCGTCCAAATGGCGAATCTCTGCTAATATAAATTATTTCAAATGATCTTGCTATGTTAATAGCCAGTTATTTTATGGATGTCAACCTTATCGACACTGTTGGACTACCAGGTTGCCTCGGTCATCCAGCGTCGCTTCGGCACAGATGTTTTGCAGTCAGTGACACATTTTCACATATCGATTATTTATGATTTTTTATTATTAAATTATTGATATTGATTATTGCTGTTCGAAACTGCTAACGTCATCCATTTATGTTGACTGATGCCGCAGTTAAGGGTTTCGACTCACACAGTCACTAAAATCGGGCAGCAATGTCCAATATACCATACCTACTGCGTCGTGGCACGTTGAACCATGCGTGGTGACGCTGCGCCATTTAGCCTCAGCTGTGTACCGTGATTGAACCATCGACGCATGTGACCTTTACGGTGCATGTACTGCATTTGTGAAAGTACGAATATGTGTGTAAGAATATATGGATTATAAATATGTTATAAATTTCAAATATACAACGGTGTTACGTAGTGACTAGACAGGATATTTTGTCGGTGTTTTCACTGTCGATCTTCCAATACGTTACCATGAATAAAGCATCTATGGTTGCTTTATATATTACTATAACCTTCTTTATTGTGTGTTCGAGTCATCCGGCCGGGTTAATGTAAAGGTGTGGATCCGCACCCACCATCGTCATGGAACTGGGTAGGGCGTTGTGAAGTTACTAGTAGATATCTCGCTTATATTATTGTGATAATCACAATAATAAGCTTATATTAAGCGTTTGTAACGCTTAACATATTACACATTAGTCTTCTTCAGATTAGTACTAACTGGGTCTCACACATTTATATGACCCTAATGTTTTGACCTATTGATACCAACTTTTAACCATAAGTTCTCTTAATTTCAAATTAATATTTAAGCTTTAATCGAACATATGTCACGTTCTCCATTTGAGGATAAATTACGTCGCATATTTCTGAGATCAGGGTCACTGAGTGAGTTTGATATACCGGTAGTTACATATCAGGTTGACCTGTTTTTTTCATTTTCATTACCGAGTTCATGCCTTATGATATCGCGCTGTGCAGATAATATATAACGTAAGTGTGATGTTATTAAAATATGTCGATTGTTTCATGCTGTTCTCCTTGGTATCTAAATTTTGTTTAAAAAATTTCGGTTTTTGGTAAATGTGTAAAACGCAATATACTTAGCTGATAAAAGTGGATCGTTTGATAATTTTTTCAACTATATCAACATGGTCATGTCATCGGTTTACGCGCCCACCGGTGTAGTCAACACCAACGATGGTCTAGGAAAAATTTTGGATAATGTAAATTTAATATCAAAACATGTAAAACAGTGTGAATGCAACGATACGCTGATGGATTCAGGTTGTACATCCACAGGCGCAGAAAATGGCATGCACGCCAAGTGTACTGTCGAGCCAGAGCTGGTGTGTGGTGATTCTATGAACCGCTCCAGATTAATTTATTACCATCACCATCTATCAGATTCTTTAAAAGGATATGTTTCTCCAGATTACTTAACTTCTATTAATGCAGGTTACCAATCTGAGATACAATTTAATACGGAAGCTGCAAGGGAAATAAATATTGCGGGCTGCGCTAATTTTTGCGATACTGCAACTGACACACCAACATCTGACAACGATACCGTATGTTTTGATGAATTCGATGAAAATTCGGATTATTTCGACGATATAATTGCGACAGAACAAGAATTTCCGTTTGTTACAAGAGAGTGCATAATGGGACTGATTAATAGATACGTCAATTGTACCCCTCAATTGGAAACAGCATCAATGAGGCTCCTTCTATCAAGAGACTCTATCGATGTGTCTACAATTGAACCCACTCAAGTCATAAGGTACAACCGTTCTCGTATTACACGTTACGATGGGGTCAGGGACCATTTGGAAAATTCTTCAGTATTCAGGGGTGTGCGACAGGGCTTATCGGAGGAGAACACGGAAGCCACTCCCACAACTCCAACGGAAACTGCTGAACTTCCAAAACTATTGGTGGTACTGGACTTAGACGAGACACTGGTGCACATGCATGATAGACCAAATGAACAGTTTGATTATTTGGTCAATATTGTAGAACCAGATGGATGCAACCCGGAACGCGTCCAATTCCAGTGTGCAAGTAGCAGTATTGTCGGATTCACTGTACACCCAACTATGCAAGTGTCACTCCGACCAGGTGTACTTGAGTTCTTCAGGTACCTACGTGCACATTGCTCAAGCTTCGCCGTTGCTCTCTTTACTGCCGGGACAAGGCATTATGCTGACGCCATTCTACACGCAATTGACCCTCTTGGTCACGTGATACCGCGCTCAGCACGTTTTTACCGAGATAGTTGCGTGCTCACATCGACACCGAGTTCCATAAGCCACTTGCGTGCAAGTTGTTTGGGTATCGGTAGCCGTAACCGTGATGATACAGTCCCGCAAGTATTCTTAAAGAAAGACTTGACTGTACTAGGTTGGCCATTGAGTCGTGTTGTTTTTTTCGACAACTCACTCCTCTCCTTCATGGCAAACCCGGATAATGGTGTGTGGGTCCGCCCATGGCAAGGTGCTCAACCTTACATTGAAGGTGGTCACGTAAAGGTTGTCGCTACGTCTAGGCGAGGATTCTCTGGGTTATCTAATGTTGGCGGTCAGGATGGTTTATACGAGTTTCAGCAGATTGTGCACCTACTTGAGGAATTAAAAAATGTAGCGGATGTTAGGCAGGTCTTACGACACAAGTTTACGATTCACGAAATTATTGATGCTGTAAAGGGTAGACGTGGGGGACAGGCGACCCTGGAAGGTCTATTATTGACATGATCATCTTGTCATGTGTTACGCCATGACGACCATGATTGATAAATATCGGTCTGTCGGCGTCTTGAAACCACGCACCTTCATTGTTAACACTTGCAATAATGTAAGGGCTACATGCTCGTAGTCTATCATCTTACACATCCGTTTTCACGTTGAGCACTGAGCCGTAACACTGCATCGGTTACACCCATACATGTGTTGGTGCTTTCGTACACTGCATTTTAACATGAGGATTACAATAGGCGGTTTAAAAATGCCATTATGTGATAATATATGAACATCATGCATTCATTGTTATGATGGCCTAAGAAGTGCGCTCCCCCGACCACGGGTCATGTGTCTATTAGGGGCCCTTTTTTAAATACATTTTTATTATCATTCCACAGCAAATATTGCTATATATAATTGTTGTCATTTTCATGATCCATATCATTATATCTGGCATATTCGCCTTCTACTTAATGTGTTTGACAGCGTCTCCGTTGTCGCATCACAGTTGTTAGCCGCGCGTTCGCGTGGCATCCTTGTATAGGACTTGCTCCTACGGTCACCGTTTAATAAGGTGTACAATATGGTGGAGATGATTTACGGCGTTAGCCAAGTTTTATCCAATCACACCCCTCAAGATGAGGCGGGCATGTTTGTTAATGGGTCGTCGGATGCAATGGAGGAAGAGGGGATGACATCTTCAGGTGTAGAGTCGGACCATGGCAGCACTTCAAATACAGCTGTTTCGATCAATCACACCGCTGTTACCGCGAACGATTTTGCAGCGGAACGCATTGATGATTTCGAGGAGGGTGCAACGGTAGGTGTGTTGATTATGACTTTGACAATTTACAGGTTGACGTTACAACCAAACAATCAAAGTCGTGTGCCGAATGTGGAGATGCTAAAGGTCCTTTTTTGAACTGTAGCGATTGTTCACTCATATACCACAGCAAGGTGTGTCACTACCCATAACCCTTAACATATACTCAGTGCCTTATGCAATGTTTCCTTCCTGCAGGACAAGCTGGATGGAAATGCCCACAATGTCAATGGAAGTTGATAAACACTGGTGAAGTACCATTGGATGCTACCCTTACTCACAGTGACTTATTGGATGATTCCCAATCTGGATATGATGCTGGACGCTCACCACTACCAACTGAGGAGTTATCGGACGAAGCTAGTGGACACGAAAAGGAACCTCCAGTGAAGGTTACACGTTCCACTGGAAGCCCGCGTGAACGTGCTTCGGATTTACTTGAACGTAAGAGAAAGAAGCCAGTTACAGAAGGCTCCAACTTCCAAACCAAAATCAACGTTGGATATAGTCACCAAGTTCCTTTCACACCAGCTTTCTTCCTGGATGATTCTCTTGGTCCACAACCAGAACGTTAGCTTCATTACATTTTTTATTCACATTGACTCAGAACATGATTGGGCGCGCATGATGTATTCACCTTACTATCTGGAGAAGATACGTACACGCAAGTTACAGGAAGGCGCGGATGACAGTGTGATAAAGAACGAGTTTGAATGTATGTTTCATTTTTATATATTTTATACATAATTTGCTAGTGGCCGAGTTTATACAACTATGCGCACAAAACTGGAAGAACAATCCGGGTTGGCATCCGTTTTCACCGGAGTTCGCATATAAGATACTGCACTTTGCTGACTACGACCCTAAAAAGGCACTAAAGGTTATGAATGATCCGAATTTCAACTTTTTGTGTAAGTTTTTACCCTGACCGTCATGACACGTTGCACAGGCGTATGCGACCCACCAACACGTCGTTACGACAACAAGTGGAAACCCAAAGATCGTCGCGGTCAGGTACCTACGACGCCATATCCACCTCCGGTCACACTGAGGGGTTACCTGTTACGCAGACACGATGCGTCGAGGTAACTCCAACGTGAGGTATTGTACAAATGTCTTTAAGTGGTAGAGTTATAATGCCCGCCCATGGCATATGATTTTGTGTGAAATGTTATGTGTAGCGTGTCCAATGAGTCTTTCTGGCCCTGTACAGTGTCAGTTTATATCGATATGGTCGTGGATGAGGACGCCACGTTATGGCATAGGCAATATTGCATCATAGTAAACATATTACACAACACTGACATGCCTTACAGGCAATAGTCGTTACTTACATATTTTACCGGTGGCGATCCATTTTTGTAAACTACTATGTTGCAGCGCAGAACACTCGATAAAGCTTGAACTTCCAATTCGCCGCTGACATGTGATTGTACTTACAAAAGTTTAACATACCCCCATTCACCGTTCTTAGCGACTTTATGACAATAAGCTTCAAATGTATCTTTGGATCCTGTTACCATATACAGTGTCCGTTGGATTTCTCACCCTTTTGTGGAACAGATTGCGCAGCTATGAAACCCTCGTAATCCTCTCTATGTGATCTCATGTGTTGAACGGCCATCTGTCTTAGTTCAGCATGGTCATATGCAAGTATTGCAGTCCCACGTTCCCTGGCGCACATTATCTGATGCTCCACAGCTCTGCATGGTATACATTATAGATTCAAGGTGTAATGTAGTACCTGAAGAGGCAGTTTCCATCACCCAGTATTTTGAATATGGTTTTACCGACAGCCTGAAGTTGCTGTAGGATATCATCATCTTCTGCTGCCTTTAGATTCGGAGCTACAGCATTTGATATTTCATTAGATAAGAATACGTACCGCTAGCACGTTCTGCTTCACGTTTAGACTCTTGTTCCATAGCCTGTTGCTTCTTTTTGAGTTTCTTCCGCTGCGCGGCGGTCAACGCCCTGGGCTCTGAGTAGAATGCACCTAAACATATTACAATATTGAATTTTACTACTTACCTGTTTCCTCGAAGTCCATTGTTCAACTCTAAAAGTTGATGTGTAATATATTCATATCTACTGGCGACGACCGTCGTGGTCAACGGTAACCTACCTTCCCTGCCCGTCCCACATTAGTATGAGACAGGACATCTCATATTGCCCAAATTTTTCCAGTTGTCATTTTAATCGATACCATGTCGTCTGACGAGGTTGTACGCGGGATATCTGTCATCCTCGCTACGTATAACGAGAAAGATAACCTGCCTTATATCATTTATATGCTATTAGATGTGCTTCGTACCCAGTAAGTCCCATTTATTACAATTTGAGAGCCTTTAGAGATGTTGACTACGAAATTCTATTGGTTGATGACAACAGCCCTGATGGAACCGCTGATGTGTACGCTCATCTACAAGCTCTATATCCATCCGCCCCGTTAAAGGCGCTTCTCCGCCGTAACAAAATGGGTCTCGGCTCTGCTTACATGGATGGCCTCAGATACACTAGATATGATTTCATTTTGATACTGGATGCAGACCTTTCACACCACCCAAAGTACATTGAACAAATGATCAAACTTCAACGTACTGGCAATTATGATATCGTCAGTGGTACACGTTACGCACCTGGTGGTGGAGCAAGTGGTTGGAGTTTGAAGAGGATCATTTTCAGCAACACTGCCAACATCCTGGCACGACTTCTCCTAAGACCAATATTATCAGACCTGACGGGATCCTTTAGGTTATATCGCAGGACATTGTTTGAAACTGTATTGCGCGATATTGAATCTAAAGGTATGTCATAAATGGTTATTTCATTTATTATTAGGTTACACGTTTCAAATGGAAATTGCATTGCGTGCCGAGAAGCAATTAAACGCCCGCATCGCAGAGGTACCTATAATATTCCTGGAACGCATATACGGCTCATCAAAACTCGGTATGGTTCTAAGTATTTAAACCAATTGTTCTCAGGGTTGATGGAAATTTTCGGCTTCCTGAAAGGACTGTTTAGAATGTTCTGGATTCTTTAGAAAGCCGATGGAACGGGATGTGGCAGAGGCATAATATTTCGCAGTACACGAAACAAGATTTTAAGTGTAGCTCATATTCTGTAGTGGAGGGTACCATTGGGTGGCTTTCTTCGCCAAGTTGACCCTGTTGCCGATGCAGGTATTAATAGGTACTGATAACTAATGGTAGTCATGCATTGATAACTAGATGTAACTACGAAGTTTCACATTCATGGACACTGTCCACGCTGTCGGTGTCATATTCCACATTTGGAATTGTAGTATTATCCATACCTGCCTCGAACACTTCATTGAATGTGCGATATATAAGTTTTAGCTCGTTTAGCCTTGGAATAAGATGCTATATATATATATGTAACTTAGTTGTAAAATTTTACCTCAAATGGCGTCACTACACCGTTGGTTCTTTTTAGGGGGATTGCCAAGTAGAATATAACTTTGTTGATGAGTATTGCCTAAATCGGCTGATTACCATTTAGTTTGGGGCTCACCTCATTGATCAGCATATTCTCCATTTCACCTAATGCAAGCGCCTTGGTAGTTTGACTGCCAGATAGCATCATAGTTTCCATCTGTATCCCATACCCCTTAATGATGATGAGCCTCTCTGTAGACATTTATCTATTCAATTTTGCAACACACCTCCGATGACATAGACTCGGCTCAACACATCAATAATAAAGAAAAATACGGTAGATAGACACACCATCAGGAGCCTTGCCCTTTTGGGTACCATTGGCTGTAAGTGAATGTGTAGCTCTGTTCATCGACTTACGAATGATGCCAGCAGGATCCATCTCATGGATCTCATTAACCAGAGTAACGGCAGGCATATCCTGCTGCGACGAGCAGAAGTGAACACATAGCCACCTGACCATAATTCAACCGAGAAACAGGGTTCCATAATACGCTAAAGACAGTCCGTCCGATTCACATTCTTACAAAGGAGAGGACACAGCGCTGTTAAGTAATCAACCAGAGCACATACGCTCCTCCATTATATCATTATATTTCAATGATGATTTGTATGTGCTTCATTTGTTTATAGAGGTAAAACGTGGGATTAGTAAGGTGGATGGCCCTGCCTGTCATTCTAAACCGCGCGGTAACGTGGTGTGCGTAATGTTACTCCAAAAGGTGGTAATCTAATAATGGATATTCATTAGGAGCTATACTTCAATATATGCTCCACTGAATGTAAATGTGTTGCATTTCCAGCTCTGCACTTGCCTCGCAGTGTATGAATACGTGTGTTACCTTGTCTAGTGTATGCCAGTATTAGAGTACCAGCCACTGTGCTCTCGTCCATCAACTAGATATATAGATTAGAGCACACTACAATAACATTTTACGCATTCTACTTCACGAACGGCTGTCCGGAAGGACGGTTCGTGTTCCCTTGGTGTGTGCGATTGGCTCGAGTGCATTTCTGGTAATCGATGAAGCAAAAAAACAATGTGTCAAATGGTCCCAGACCGTCAAATAAGACGGTTGGCTTCGATACCGGTATGTTTAACTGCCTATTTTGTTGTATGTGTTTCCTCTCCCTGAGCGCTACTCCAAGCTTTCGTCAATTTGCTTAATTCCCTGCCCATCACAACCACATGTAACTGTGCCCTGTTTCAGGACTTGTTAAATGTGTGAATTGTCAGCTCTAATGTGCGCCATTCTAAGTGAGTTACACGTTGCCGTAGATAACACCAAGGATAGGGATACGAAAAAGTCAGCTTTGAAGAACAAGGATCTGAAGTACAGAAAGGGGGTGAAAAGCAAAAGAGATGTACTGCAGGGACTACAGGAAGAGGCACGCGAGCTCTTATCGCTGACCTACGAATTGAAAATGGATCCCGAGGAAATGGGACATGATGACAACGACGATGATTGCATCGCCCCGAAAACACTTCTGGAGTCTCCGCAACTTGATATCGACAGTAAGACCAAACAGGCAATCGAAAGAAAGTGGTCGCAAGATAAGAACTACAAGGATTATAAACTGCTACCAGGACCAGATGTAACCAAGGGCTGTGAAACTGAGAAGGTTCTGGACGTCAGTACATCTGACGAAGCACGGGAACGCATTGTTGGTAATGTAACATCTACAGACGTTATACTGCCGATACGCCACTTACAAAAGGATCTCTCCTACCCTCTGGATATATCACTTCGTGACGCACAGAGCAGTGGACATTTGGTCGCTGATGCAAAGCGTGAGGATTATCAAGAGATGCTAGTGTCTCTACAGCACAAATACAGCGTCGTACTGCGCATGTTCGAAGAAATAAATGAACAAAGGATGTCCTACATCGAAGGTATACAGGAATTGCAGGGTCATTTGGACAATGCCCGTTCTGTCATGCAGCTGCAGAAGGCAGAGATCTCTAGGCTGAAAAGCAATTCGGAATATCATGAATCTGTAGCCCGTGAAGCTGCGAAAGAAGCCGAACATTGTACTGCTGTACTAACTGAGCATGTCCAACACGAGGAACAACTAGAGAATGAACTGGAGGAGAAAACAATTTATATCCAACAGGTAGAAACTGAGCTTGTAGAACAAAGGGAATCGGTGAAGGCACTTACCGAACGTATACGTGAACTTGGTTTCATGCCAAAATTGTCTGATAATAAGGAGTTCAAGGATGCTGAGTACACCTACTCTCAAGCCATTGAGACATTATGGAACATAATGACCAAACTCAGCGCTCCGAAAATCTCTGAGGCGGAACTGGAGAGTTTCGTATCACCAGAAACAGCCAGTACAGCGCCATTGCGCTACCTTGAAACATTGTTAAAGATGCCATTGACAACTCAACTCGTGGACATCTATAGGTACCGCTTCGACATGGAGAGACGTTTCAACAGTGACGTCAAACGTATCCGAGAAGATAAGGACAAGGAGCTTGAACGCAATAATGAGCGTGCCAAGCAGTTGATAGATACATACGCTGCCCGTACTCTCCAAGCAAATGCTGAGAACATGGCAGTACGTGCTTTCTTGCAAACCTCCTTGCATAGGTGTACTCTTCGACGAAACGGTGAGGTAGTCGCACGCATAGAGAAGGTACGTTCATGTTTCGAAATCTCAATTCTTGCAGCAACTACGCGTTCCTAACGGTGTTTTCATCGTTGAACGACCTATGGTTGGTCGTCCATACTTACGTTCAACACTTTTACGTGTTTTCCGCGATGAACTACAATTCGGACGAGTTAAACATGAAAAGTTCGCCCCAAAACAAACTGTACCGTTCGCCGTAAGTCATTTTATCTCAAATTGCATCTGTAATAGGACATATACAAGATCGACTTTGGTTTCCATTCGTCGTCTTATATCTTGCATCATGAGTTGATAAAAGAACAGGATATCTATCCTTGGCACTTTTTCTCGATTACTACACGGACTCGTGAATACAACATGGTCTGTCGGAATGACAAATTCTTGGACGTATTGATTATCGGAATAAACCTCAAGATTATGCCGAAACGTTTCAGCGTAGGCATAGTTGGTATTTCACAGATGCGACTGCTTCGTGCTAAGACGAAGTTGCACTACCATTGTATGGTCCACAATATATCTTACCACCGCATGTGGATCAATGCAATTAAGAAGACAGTTGCTGAGCAGCAAACTTCGCACTAAATAATTTGTCATAGTTTTACATTAATGTGAGCCTAGTAGTCAGGTTAACCTCTGGGTGGCAATTATGACGACATTTTCATTTCATTCGTAATTTAAATTGACATAAGAATACAGTAAGTAATCATGAATAAATGTTGTATGTTTTCATTCTTGGCTTACATATATGGCCCGTGTTTTGTAAATTGATGGTGACATTGAATCCTTGTCTGGTTCCATGTCACGGAAAGTGAATTGCTCGCCTGATTCAGCACCTGAATCATACTGCACCTTAGCCTGTTCCTTGGTTTCAGTGTTACATAATGGGTTCTTGTCACACAACTCGATATCTCGAAGTGGTGATACACATTCACGAGGGCTATTTCCCCTAGAGTGGGAACGCCTTTGGAAAACCCGAGGATACCTAGGGGAGCGTTTCAGGCTCCTTAGTGGTGAACCAGCTTCGCTGTCACTCCATGCTGTAGTATCACCCTCCACAGTTGACGATGATATACACCTCAATCCTTCAATGCTTGAATTCTTGTCGGTACAACATGCCACTAGACTTTTCACGAGAGAACATTTACCTGCATTCATGTTATAATTTACCAAGGGATGGTGGTACGTTGTGACCTTGACAAAGTCTGTGCTCCTTGCCTTCTCCACATTTGTAATAATGTCGCTAACGGATAAAGGCGATTCCATCTCGGACATTTTGATGCCTGACATAATGTTGGCATCGCCAGGTATCCCGAATGATGGGATCTTGGAGACGCCAACAGGTTCGTAATTATTTACAGGGATTTGTTCCTTCTCTATAGTCCTGCTTTCAAAATTGTTTCTCGGTGAAGCATCCTGTATTATAGGGTCTGAGCTTTGTCTGGATTGTTCTTTGAATGAACAGTGAACACCCATTGGATGTTTCCTGTCGAATTTGCAATGTTCGTGAGTCTTGCACATGCCATTATGGCAACCATTTTCGGGATGCTCTGCCTTATGTTTCCTTTTAGAGCAGGAATGTTTGTGCTTTCTTTTATGGTGGCACTTTCTGTGGCGTTTTTCCATGCAGTAGTGATGATAATGGTGATGGTTCGCTTCTTCTGTCATCTTAAATCTTCCACCATTGAGCATTGCCATTTGTGAATTGTAAATATCTGCAGCATTCCTGAATGGAGGCATATAGAAATCGCTGAAACCCATTGCATATTTGTTATGACGGCGTGTATCAGTGAGGTCGTCATCATCGTATTCCGTCGGAAATGGTCCAGTAGGTAGGTTGAACTCATCTCGTTCGTACATACGTCTTGGGCTATCGGAGGTTCCGGTTTGTCGTGAGCTCCTTGGTGATGAGGCTACTGAGTCACTGCCCTCAGAGTTATGTCTGCCGCAAGATTTGAGTGCATCTAGCGTGTTATCACCTAAATCACGTGTTCCCATTGGGATATCACGTATTGCATCCATGTCTTCTGCAACACTTGCAGCCTTGTTTGGCGAATTGTCCAATTTCTTGCCTTGCTCTTGGATCCAGTTCCCAGGATTCTGTTTTAAAAAGTTCACATAGTCATCAAGTATTTTATTCTTATCCGTGGATTGTATACTGTCTAGATCATTACTTATTCTGACGGCTCCCGTGCGCGGGTCCCAAGTACCCTTGATGTAGACGTCCATGTAATTCCTTCCATCTTCCAGGTTGTCGAGTAATCTTTTTTCGTGCGATATTGGCCGAGACGGTTCCCTTTGTGGTTCCTTGGAATCATTCTCTTTCATCGGGCGCTCTGCCGTAGCAGGTGTTTCTTCTGTGTTTTTGTTCGTATCTCTGGTACGCCTGAATACGTTCATACAACATTGTGAAGGTATACCGCTAGTTGCATCACATGGCATCTGCCGGCAGGTAGGACAGCATTCCATTCCAGTCTCTTGGTCACTTTGTGGCTTCTTCGTCTTTTTGTCGTCCTTCTTGCCAGCCGCCTTTCTCGCCTGCCACTGGGCATAGTGATCGCTTAATTTCTTTGAGTTTGCATTTGCCGGCTCGTTCATCTTCCTTAACAGTTCTGCACGTTTCCGTTCCTGAAGTACACGTCGTTCTTCCTCCTTCAAGTATGACTCCGTAATCTCCCATGATATGCCATTCTTTGTGATTCGTGTATTATCGGTTTGATGTGCCCTTTTCTTTTCTTCGTCTTCCTTTTCCATATCTTTTGTAAACCTTTCATAAAAGTGAAGCTCATTTTCACGTGCAGTTTCATCTGTCATAACCTGTGCATCCATCACATCAGGTTTAGGTGGTTTTACGGGTATTTTGATAGGTATGATCAACTCTTCAGAATCGACATAACCTCTCATTTCATTCTGTTGGGGGTAGCATACATTCACATTCGGGTCACAAAATGGGTTCTGCTGTGGCGGAGCCATAACATTATCAACGCATGCCTGCTGATCATTTGATCCACGATTCCCTAACCCTGTGTTCTCTAAATTGTTTATTAGTTGGTCAATTTCATTGTGGAGCGAATTGGCCTCTTGTGATATGACCGAATCTGAGGAGCTTAATTGTTTCCCCGATTGTGCACATTTCTTGTTCTTCAAAGGCATATCCTCATTATCCGATAACATGGCATTAGCCGCCGTTGGTGTGGCGTCTTGTGACGAATACAATGTGGTCTCATGAGAGAATCCATGGAATTTTGAAGGAGTTGCCATGTTATCAGATTGCCACCCGTCGTTTTCCTGATCTGAATAATTTTCCAACGCATGTTCGGTTGGTGTATCAACTAGTGATTCACGATCCTGTTCGATTTTATTTTTGTTGTCCAATAACTTTTCAAGTTCTTGAAGCTCATTTGGGCTGAGTTCCCTAAGATCCCTGCATTTCTTTGTAGTTGAGGAGCTCTTCTTTTTTCCCTGTCCACCAGTCTCGACGTTCGCTTTATCATTATTTTTCATGTGTTTCCTAAGCTTGTTTTTCAGTTTTACCTGCTGTTTAAGCAAGTAAATAAGCATTTCCTCACGGAAACAGTCATACGAAGTATCACTATTGTCTGATATGTGGTCACTTATAACCTGTGCATTTTCTTTCGCCTTGTTACGGCTACGTCCGGACAATATTTCCTCTATGCTTTCCTCAGTCAAACCATATTTGTTGCAGTCTAGTTCTATCCTGTGTTCAGTTGTATTTGATATATGTGTCTGTGCTGAGTTGTTTCCATCGGAGTTTGTTGAACTAGCACCATCATCGCTTTGTACCTCTTTTGTCATCCTTGACGATTCCGAGCCCTCACTAGATTCTAAGCGGTCAATATTATTATAATCACTGACAACATCAGACTTTGATCCTCGTGACCTGCCAGAGCTGTCCCTTCGACTAGACTCACTCCTGAATGTACTACTCTTGAAAAATGATCCCAGTTGCACGGTATCCGTTTCGTCACGAGAGTCCAGAGTATCAGTCCTGCTCATGCTATCAGCACTTCTTAGGGATGCTTTCGAGCTGCTAATTCCGGAACTTGCATCATCTCTAAATGTAGTTGATGATCGTATATCGTTCCTGGGTATTACACTGAAGAGTGCATTTGCATTCCTCTGCCTTGTTTCAAACGACCTCCTTGAGATGGATGGCGACATTCGCTCTGGTGTCGCATCATAGTCCGATGTGTAGGTGGTTTCCCTCCGTCTTGCGGCACTTGAAGCCGACCACATCTTGTTTGAACTCCAGTGGTATCGTATGTGTCCGGAGTACAGTTTTATTACGGTTTGTTACCGATATGCACCCCTTCTGGCAGGCGGTGTCTATTTGGCATTAACACCTGCCTGGGGTGTGTATTACCTAATGGAAAAGATACTGATGCCAAAATAGTATATAACCACCTTTTAATCGTAATTTTTGATTTTTTGGCGCTGATTTGCCCACCGTTCCCTCGGTGTGTACGCTCTGTACGCCGCTGCGAGTAATGTAGTCTAATTGGTGCACTTAAACTTCCGTGTCGTTCTTCGCGTATATCTCTCTTGCAGTACTATTTTATGAATGAGCATTAATGTGTCAGGTGTGTGTACTCGGAAGAAAGGAAAATTATAACTTTTCCACCTTCCTCCCTGCAGCGAGGCTGCGATGATAATCACCTCATAACTCACGAATCTCTCCTGAGTTGTTATGTAGTTTTAAAGCTATTTTATAGTATAATAATATGTGGAGTCGTGAGAACAGACTCATGGCACAGGCCGTTGTATAACTGTCTACCATTTGGTCTGTATATATTGATATTGGCAGGTCTTCCTTTAAATTTATACTCAACATTTTAACCATCTTTTATGGCCTTTAACGCTACAGTTGCCATTGTTAAATTATTCAATATCTGCCGATCGATATAGCTGGATGAAGGGTGTATGGCAGGTGTAATACCACACAAATCTATTGTATGGACGCTAAGCATTATAATCGTCCAGTATGCCATTTTATAGTTTAGTGGAATCACTAGCAGGTCTCGTTAGCATCACTACTGACCTAGTATTTTAAGGTCCCATGGAATCCATGTCGCGTATCCAATGGTGAAGTCATATTTGCGCTACGCGCTGCAGGACAGCTTTGGTACTATTACATCTAGAGTATGTAGAAGCGTGTTCGCCTTATCGCAGGATTATGTGATCACCGGTCATGATGAGCGGGTGAGCATCTGGAATTGCCGAACAGCCGAAGCCAAGGTACATTTCGAATGTAAACCTAACGATCTCCAAGCTCCATCTGACGTCACATGTTTCACATGCTCAGATGTTAACGAAAGATGGCTATATGTTGGCTATGCTGACGGTTCTATTCGTAGGTTCCAACGACCGGAATCTTTAGTCAATGAGTCTGTATCTGTGTTGAACGAAGATTTTCAAGTCCATGGACATAAGAGCGCTGTGACCTGCTTGGCCCTTAGTCCTTCCCAACAGCTACTTGCCTCTGGTTCACAAGATTGCTGTGTTATCATTTGGGATACAACTAGTGATTTAGGTTTATTTCGACTTGAGGGTCATCGTAATGAAGTTACAGATTTGCGTTTCGTACGCCATAGCACAGGTTCCGAGTTGCAATTAAAAGCACGTAAACTTGGAGTTGAAAAAGCTACTTTAAGGCATGGGGATGACATTTTAGGGTTCTTGGTTAGTGTCTCCAAGGACTGCATTATACGTATATGGGACTTGACATCACAACTTTGTATCCAGACGGTGATACACTCCACAGCTGAGCTCTACGGTCTAGCTGTGAATAGTAATGAGTCACGTATGTACGTCGCAGGAGCAGAAAACCGTATCCGTTGCTATAAGTTGGATTTGTCAGGTACTGAAAAGGATGAAAGTTCAACATACGAAATACCACTATACGCTAAAGAACTACCAGCTCTTAACCGTCATGAGACACATGGCAGATGTAAACAATTGTGTATCATGTACCCGAGTGCAAAGGAAGAAGCCTCTGCAACTTCACGTCGATCCTCAGCTAAGCCGTCGGTTGAAGCCGAGGGTAAGGAAATTGAAATAGACCAAAAAGGAATGCTACTATGTATAACCAGTACTTTTGTGGTATTCTACCGGTTATACGACTCTTCGGAGGCAGCGAAACGGCGTAAAAGACGTCAAAAGCGTGTTCTGGAGAAACAACGTGCACGTTGTAACAAGTTACGTGAAGCTGTAGCATCAACAGGTCGTGTGGCAACACAAGAGTTTGACTCTTTGGAGTCTGAAATATCGCATCTAGAATACTTGCTAAGTGGGTTCAATCCGGTTGAACCACTGGATCCTTTTGAAGCACCAACAGAAACCCGCTCAAGTGACCATGCTGCTACTGACGAGATTACCTACATGTTTGCATTGAACACATTTGAACGTGTATCGTCATTTCAATTGTTTTCTGGAGGGTTCGTTATTGGTCACTCAAGTAACAGTATCAGTGTCTGGCGTGTTAAAGTGCAGCGTTTATTATGTGGTAAAATAACGGACGATGACGATGACATGGAGTCATTGGTATCGCATTGTCAACGGGTACACTTTTTGGATATAGTCGGTCATCCTAGTTCCATATTAGGTTTGTGCGTGTCGCCAAATGACATGATGTTACTATCATTTTCGAGTGAATCTACGAAAGTGTGGAATAGTCACACTCGTCATTGTGTGAGAACGGTTGAAACGAAAGCTGTCACTTGCGCATACTTCGTTGCTGGCAACCGTCATGCGATTCTAGGTACCGCTAACGGTGAGCTGTTAGTGCTTTACCTGGAGACTTGCGAGGTATATGAGGTACACAAAGAGTCTCCTGACCTTTCTAAGCGATCTTCTGCTTTGGATGTAGTGGCGCTTTGCGAACATCCTGATCACGCAACGTTTGCTGCGGCATTCCGGGATCGCTGCGTGAAACTGTTCCAGTATGTTTTGAAGAAGAAAGGCAACCATGAAGTGCTGACTGTCAAGGAAGTGTCATCCGTGGCATTGCCGGACCACCCGACGGACGTCCGGTACTCCACTGACGGTAGTCTATTGGCAATTGCATTGCAGGACAGTACTATCCAGACATTCTACACTGATAGTCTTAAACCGTTCCTTTCGTTATACGGTCACAAACTTCTGGTCACCTCTATCGACATATCTTCTGATGGTGCATTGCTGGCATCCAGTTCTTTGGACAAGACAGTAAAGATTTGGGGGCTAGATTTCGGTAACATCCGCCGCTCGTTGCTAGCCCATTCTGGTGCCGTTATATGTTGCCGTTGGATCAGTGGTACTCATTATTTGATAACTACGGGTCTCGATGCCTTGATCAAATTGTGGGACTGTGATACATATGAGCTTATTTGCCAATTACGTGTACACAGCTCACCCGTTCGTTCACTTGCAGTGAGTAGTGATGCTCACTTTTTTGTGAGTGCTTCGGATGACAGTACTATCCGTTTTTGGTTTCGTACTGATGAGCAGATATTTTTATCTGAGGAACGTGAGAAGGAGCTTGATTATCAGCTTGAGCATGAAGCTGTTCGTGACGATCTTAACCAAGCTATTCCTGTAGACCGGAGTGCTTTGATGAACAAGGCTAGCCGTAAAACAGTGGAATCTGTTAAGGCTACTGAAGATTTGATTCGTGTGATCGATGATGCTGAGGAATATCGTCAGGCTCTAGAAGACTATAAACATCGGTTGGAAGAGTACGAGGCTATGAGTCGTAACAAGGACGGTATTTCTAAATATGGTATGCCTGATGGAGCAATGCCAGAGGAGCCTGATGCCCCGTTGGAACTATTTAACCGTACCCCTACAGAACATGTGATGATGGCTGTCAGCGGATTAAGCCATAACGTGATCCATGAGGTATTGATAGCACTTCCATTTATTTATGCTGAGAAGGTATGTTCTACATTGAATCTATTGTATGTATTTTATTAATTTTTATACCATTTGATAATCTTCACATTTTTTTACAGTTATTGAACTACATTGTGACAAGTTTGGAGTCGTACAATAGTCTCCGCGATGGTGGCAAAACAAATTTGTATAGCATGGAGATGTCCTGCAAGACAGCTCTTTTGTTAATACAGATATACTTTCGTCAGTTTTTTTCTCAACGGCATCAGCGACCTTTAATAGCACGTTTGGAGAAGCTGTTGCCACCGGCACTTCAACATGAACTGGTATGTTTCTCATCGATAACATCATATATGTGTTTCTATAGGATCGCATGTTGCTTAATAAGGCGGCTTTGGAGTATATGAGGGGTCTTTTGGATACTGACGATTTGAGTAAACGGTTACGTGAGCTTTAGTTTGGCATTTTTTTTGTGGACTTCCATCGGTATCAGAACGCCTTCAAAAGTGACCACCACTGCTATAACGTCTGTATAAAACGTCTCATATTTCAAAATGTGATCTACGTGGCGTGATGCATAATGGTCGTGTGTGTGAGCGTTGTTGATGTTGTGATGTTTGGTCTTCGTGAGCCGTACCTGGTACAATATGTGCCATATTATTCTTCGACTCATTCTGAGACTGAATTGACGTTTTTATTGGTCTCTGTGGCATTGTGTATCTGGGCATCAGTGTACGTGTTTACAGCATCGCCGTTTGCATTTACGCATTGTATATTTAAAATGAAGTGTGTGTAACCTTCAAGATTTCCTTGAAAATTAATTTCTAGTATCACTATTTTTACATTAGCTTCTCTCAAAACAACGAGGGTATTTAATGCGGAGTTACGATATGTTACGTAAGACCGTCGAATACTCGTGCAGTGGTACTGGAACCGGTTTATACTAGTTCTTCCAATCGTTGTAATAACCGATCAGCTTTATTTTCAGCAAACAGCAAGTTTTTTGCATTTTGCCAAGGCCATTTTTGGCTATTCTAAAAGGATAAGTTTCTACATTGTCTGTTTAGGTGCAGTATTTCAATCGTAATTCTTCCGCAAAGGGTTGGTTGACGACCCCCCGTGTACAGTGAGATAAGAAGATTCTGTAACTCGTTGCTCTTCCAACAGGATGGGTAAGTGTCCGGTTACCGGCCGCGGCACCTCGTCGGCTGAGGGTGACGCATTCCGTTTAGAGGTTGCTGACGACGAAAGTCAAGCTACCACGGGGGATATCATACGGGTATGTAATCATATTAAGTAAAATAACTCTCATTGCAGTTAATGAAGCCCTTCTATTGGCCTGGTGCCCCTACGGACTCGCTACACAAACGTGTTATGCTTCGCTCTTTTGTGGTATTTGCCGTGGTTTTGCTATTTTGTGGAAAAGCATGCAACTTGCTAGCCCCGTACTATCTAGGTCTCACGATATCATCGCTGACGGCGGGAGAACACAGCCAGGCGATGATGCAATTGCTCACCATGGGTGTACTGTTTTTGTCTGGTAGCGCTTGCGACGAATTGCGTAACCTGTTGTATAACTATGTAAGTTTACATCACTTGTTTTATAAACGATTCTAGGTGCAATGTAAAGGGTTGACAGTTCTAGCTTCAAAGATGTACCGCCATATCTACACCATGGATTACCAGTGGTTCCTAGAGTCCAAGGGCGGTGAGGTTATCCGCTGTATGACCCGTGGTTTAGAATCGATGCGTGATTTGACGAGATTTGGAGTACTGCTACTGGTACCGACATTGCTAGAAGCATTTTCCGTCAGCGTATTGTTTGCGGCATACTTCAAGGACCTCTGGATGACCATGACGGTTATTATTGGATTGATTATTTACACCATAGTTACCATCGGTACCACTAACTGGAGGAACAAAACACGCCGTGCTGAAGCTGAGCGTGATGATGAGATGCACAGCATTTCAAACGACGGTATCAGCAACTTCGATACTGTGAAGTACTTCACGAACGAGGAGCATGAGGTTGCGCGTTACGCAACCGTAGTGCGTCAACATCAGCAATGCCAGTATAAAGTTTTGTCAAGTCTTAGTGCGCTGAATGTATCGCAAGAGTTATTGAAGCAGATTACTATATATCTCTGTTTGTTGTTTGCCTTGATGGCTGTTCGCAACGAAAGGATGACCGTTGGTCAAATGGTATCTGTTCAAACCTATCTCTTCTACCTCTATCGCCCGCTATTTCTATTGGGAACTATGTATGCAACGATCTGTCGTGCTGCTGCAGGTATCCAGAGCGCGGCAAATATGATGAACTGCCAACCGACGGTGGTCGACCGAGAGGGTGCTGTGTCGCTATGCCTAGATGAAAAGGAAGACAGCTCTATACCAATGATCGAGTTCCGCAATGTCTCATTTAGTTTCCCGAGTCGTGACTTACCAGCTCCAAAGGTAACATTGCGCGATATCAGCTTCAAATTACCAAGGGGACGGTCACTGGCTATTGTAGGTCCTACCGGTTCCGGTAAGACAACTTTAAGTCTGCTGCTTTCTCGTTTGTATGATGCTAGTAGCGGTGAGATTTATGTAAATGGCCAGGATATAACTTCTGTGACGCAAGAAAGCCTACGTCGGAACATCGGTGTTGTATCTCAGAACACTATGCTGTTCCATTCTACGTTACGTGACAATATCCGTTACGCTAAGTTGGATGCTACTGACGAAGAGGTTTACGAGGCGCTTCGTCGTGCAAGTTTCCAAGATCGTGTTATGACCTTGCCAGATAAGCTTGACACTGTTGTTGGTGAGCGTGGTATGAGACTTTCTGGTGGTGAGAAGCAGCGTGTAAGTATAGCACGTTGTTTCTTGAAAGATCCACCAATATTGATCTTGGATGAAGCTACAAGTGCCCTAGACTCCAAGACTGAAGCTGATATTCAAACAGCGTTACGTCTACTGTTCCACAACCGTACTGTGATAACCATTGCGCATCGTCTGAGTACTATTGTGGATTGTGATAGTATAATGTATATTGAGAATGGTGAGATCAAGGAATTCGGTTCACATATGGATCTTTTCGAGCTTGGTGGTCACTATAGGTCTCTGTGGGAGGCGCAGCTACGTTCTGTGACATCGTCCATATCAATGGAGTTCAGTGGATAGAATGAGCGCCCTTCATAATTTGGTGAAAGGTGGCAACGAAGTGGTACTGGAGCGTGTATTATCAGGTGCACTTCGTCTTCGTAATCGTGACGACCCTGAAGCGACTACACTTGTTCCAGATTTTATCGATAAGCGGGACTCTCACACAAGGTAATAGCCCTGTATTATTTAGATCCCCCTTAAATTACCGTATTAATTACTATATTTCCATTATTTAATTATATATCAGGACAGCGCTCCATCTAGCGGCGCATTTGGGTATGTCACTACTGCTGTGTTACACACTAGGCAGGTTCCGTGAGTATTGTTGGTTTATTATTACGTTATGGAGCCTCTGTTCATGCCGTTGCGCGGGATTCTACTACAGCTCTACATTTCGCGACGCAACAGGGCCATATCGAGGTTGTGAGATTGGTAAGCATGTTGATCTAGGTGATATCTATTGCAATCAGCTGTTACGCCGTGGAGCACGGGTAAACGTGAAGACATCGAAAACATGGATGACCCCTGTAAGTATTCTATACTTTTTTATCAGTGATTGTTTAGTTACACCTGGCTCTTTCCAAGGGTCACGCTGACGTTGCTGCTGAACTTGTTGAACGCGGTACGTTATTTAAGTGGATATTTCATCACTTAATACCAATAGGAGCCATTCAGAAGTATAACAAGCGCGGTGAAGTGCCGTTGGACATGGCATCTGAATCTACATTATCACGATTGCAAGATCTATTAGGCCCAGAGCGTTTCGAGAGGCTGAAAAGCGTAGATGATACTATGAAGAATATAAAACCACCGGTACCATTTTATAATCGGAAGAAGAAAACGAAGGGTGATAGCTCTGTAGCTAGGGATGACAAGGAATCTATTGAGCAAGCTGTGAACGATGCTGGTTGATATATGTCTTGCGCTATATTATCTTCTACATTTATAAAATTATTTAAATAAATTAGAACTATCGTGATTCATATAGTATAATGAATATGTGTCCGATGGTCACTCAGGTTAGCCGGTGGATGGGGGTTGTTATGTTTCCACTGTTATAAAGTTGAAATCCAGCCGCTGCGCTGACACTTCAATATAACCAAAAATTCATTTTTGGTCCCAAATAGGATCTTGTAATAGGTCGTCAAAGGATTATCAACGGGTACTCAATATAACAAGTATATGATTTACCCGCACATTTGACCTATACATCGACCTTGGATTACATATCAATGATGGATACGGAAAACGGTAGCCTATCAGGTAACCAACCTGATAGCGAAAATTCTCAATTGGTACTTACATTCAACAAAAAATCACCTCACTTTCGTCGGATAACGGAGTTCTTTGAAACGGTACCATTACCATTGTTTCCTACTAAATTCACACAGTGCGACATCAATATTACTGTGCCGCTACCGCTTAAGAACAAATGGGTTATTTGGGAGCAAATAGTTAAGGGGGGTGATCATCGTCACAATACAGACTATAAATGTCATACCAGGCCACTGGTGGCCTTTGACACCGTACAGGTAGGCTATTCACCTCAATTTCCTAACTTACATCTATCGTCAGAGCTTCTGGAATCTATGGTTTAATATACCTCAACCAAGTGAACTTTCCACAACACGCCGCCTATCCAGGGAATGCAAGGACGGATCAGAACATGTAGTGGACGCTATTATGTTATTTAGGTAGGTATATCCATACCATATTCACCGTTGTTTGACAAAATCACTGTTTATAATAACAGTGAATATGATTCAACTTACGAAATAGATTTTATGTTACCCCGTCCTTACATATGCAAATGGCGCAATACGCAAACACGTAACATTGGGGGTGATTAATGTCTATACAGAGATGGAATAGAACCCATGTGGGAAGATGAGATGAATAAGGATGGTGGTCACTTTGACTATCGGTTCAAACCTACCGACGTTTCGCAAATTACAGTAGATGAATATTGGAATAATATAGTACTAGGACTCATAGGATGCAGCATACCACATGCCAATCTGATTAATGGCATTCGTCTGGTAGGTTTAAATTTCCAAAGTTAATCTCATCTATTGTAGGTGGACAAACTTGCCATCAGGTTCCCCGTCGTGCGTATCGAAGTTTGGTTCCGTAACCTAGGCGAGGATAACGACGCTACGCAGTTGATGAAATCTATCGGAACGTGTATGGCCCGCCGTTTGGTAAGTAACAAATATGTCACAATCATATCTGTTACAGGATGGGACTGTTGGTCCTATTCCCAAGGGGGACCTGAAGTGGCACTGAGTCATATTTATAGACTCAAACATTATGCTTTAAAATGTCACGCAATGCGTTATATGTTACAGGCGACTTTTGCGTTAATACTTTGGCGTTTCACAATAGCCGCGACTTGCTCGTAACCGGTAGCATCGCTGGTAGCCTTGCCTTGTGAGTTCATCGGTGGTAACCGTTTCTAAGTAATTAACAGATATACATGGGACCTTGAGACGGCCACTATTACACCTTCTCGAACTATAGACGATGCACATAACAGGTCCATAAGGAAGGCTGGGTTCTCAGATGATGGCAACGGTAAGGGAGTATACTGGCAATTTGACCATCGCTAGATATCATAGCCGTCTCTGCCGACAAAAGGGCGTCACTAATTGACGTGGAAGGAGGCGCCGTGAAGTGGTATAGCCGTAAACATGAGTTAGTTACTGTGTGTAAATACAATTCAACTTTATTTAGAGCAGGAGTAACCACATTCTGCATTATAGATGACCATACTATCGCCACGGGTGATGAAGATGGAGCTATATTGGTAAAAATCGAAATTTGGTGTAATTCAATATTACGCAGCTCTGGGACACACGGGTCACCAAGGCAGTTTGCCGCTCAAAGGTTACCGAGTTCAACAGTACTATTGCAGGTATCTTGTTAGGAAAGGACACAAGGGAACTGTTGGCGATATGTGATGACCAGTTGGGGTGCTTTACCCTAAAAAACGGAAAGATGTCACTACTCGGCATGTCAGACAATGTTGAAGACGAGTTTTTGTGTTTCTGCTATGCCAAACAGATGCGAAAGGTCGTATGCGGGACTAATACAGGACACCTGTGTCTATTTTCTTACGGACATTGGGGCGATATCAACGACCGCATAACCCTAGGGACAAATAGCCTGGAAAGCATTGTCGCATTGGACCATAACACGGTACTAATCGGCGGTGATAATGGAACTATCGATGTTGTATCGATAATGCCGAACGAAATAAGAGGTAGAGCCTACCCCGTGATTTCGTAAACAATGACACAGGCACTCTGGGGGATATAGCTAAGCTCGGCGATAAAATAACAAATACGGACTCGCTATGCCTAAACGACACAAAAACAATTCTAGGTATGTACACATAAAACAGTGAAGATTGCTATTAATAGGGTTCATAGCTAATCTTGAGCAAATATGCCTCGTTACCACAGACAAGATCATCCAGTTGGCAGACGGCAAATTGCAAGAGTCCAGCTTTTTTGCTGACCTCTAGTTCTTCTAAGAAGATGACGTAATTATCGGGATATGTTCCGAATTACGTCGCAATGGTGGTCACTTTGGCCACATGTAGTTATCCTACATTGAGATACGGCATGGATACATATCCATACCAAACATAGTAACGCATAATCTTATTAACGCGCACGATTTGGACCCCTAATCCTTTGAATTACACTATCAACGTCTATATGGGCTTCTTTCGCCACGTTCTCAATCAGAGTTAGGAGACGAACCACAAGGTCACCCATCTCGCTACTCGGGGCCACTTTGTAAGACACAAGACATATACCCTTGCAGTCGTACAACACTTCTGGAGAAATGCGACCTCCAGAACAAAGTAAATATAACATAAGAGTGTCTAGCATGCAGATAACCAACAGCTGCGCAACAGTTGGAGTACGGTTCTGCTCTTCGATCTTTATGCAGCGCTCAGCGGCCTGGACAAGATAACTTATCGCCATGTTTGCAAGTGGTGCGAACTCGTTGCTCTCCGATATGTGAAGAACCGGTGTCCTACGCTCCACCTCCTCTGTAGCACTGACCTCCCCCGATGGCTCTACAGCAGAAGCATTAACGGGATTCACATTGACATCAACTGAAGGTGCTTCCACCCTAGCTTCATCAGACTCCCTCACGATTTCCTCGATTAACGGGGTCTGCCGTGATAAAAAATCAGACTGCACTACTTGGTTGTTTGCTGGTACAAACAGACTCTCCCTACTACTACAAAACCGATTCGACGCTCCCGAACTAGTAGTTTCACTACCGCTCCAGCTAGGTAATGTAGCCATCATACGTTCTTCCTTAGTTCGATAATCGTAATCATTCCCAATAACTATGCCACAGTGCCATATCTCCGCAGGTTTCAATAACGCGTCCTGCCTCTCACGTAAGGCAATATCCTTAGCGTCAACCTTAGGAACACTCCTACCCAGCGATGGGCTCCTTCGTCTAGAGACAAGCCGAGACCTAGCATTATTCTCACTGCTAGCTCGCTTGTCCACTAGGGAATACATGTGCAAAACACGAGCCATAATATTCTTACCTATGTAGCATTCCGGGAGATCGCTTAGATGATATGCCGTGAGTTGCATACAGGAAAGCATTATCAATTTCTGATATATCGAATATTCACCGTCAGCTATAGCCTGGCAAAAGAATTGGATAACCTTTAGTGGACGTTTTTTAGCAATGCAGCCCAGAGCATGCGCAAGGTGAGCTTGGATGTTAATCACGGATGAGCATTCAGTTACACCAATCAGTTCAGTCCACATCCTAATATCCTCGACTCTACGTTCATCATCTTTTGAAAGTCGCAACTTAGTAAGCTGCTCCACAAAGGCCTCCTCGTATAATTCCAAATTGTCAAGCTTTAAAAGTAATTGGCAAACTGGTACAGCAAATCTATCCAATATAGGCTCGTCACGTGCCACAACCCTGGGCAAATACAAAAGGGTCTGCGCTATCATATCCCTCTTAGCAGCGTTGGGCATCCTGCGAGGTTTATTCAAAGCCTTGTTCAATAGCCTCGATACCTCAACATCTGCAGCAACAGGTGTGCCACATAGACGCTCGAAACATTGCTGTATATGTTTAGGCGGATCAGTCCATATATGCATCTCTGCGGGCTCTATTTCTCGAAATTCCACCAGAGGGACGTCCGCGAAAATGTCATTTACCAATTTCGTAACGTGATGCTTATCATAATTGTCACTTGTTTCACGCTTGGATGACCTCAGGGTTAGTTTCTCCTCAGTTTCCTTTATACTTTGCTCTATCAAATCAGACGGCTTGGCGTTACCACGTGCTCCATCCAAGAAATAATCGATACCGTCAACGACAAATGGTGCAGATGCAAGTTGCATAGGGAGCAAAGTATCATCAATCAGGCAATCTTCCTCATCTAAGTCAATCACATCGTCAACATCGTTACCCAAAAGCTCTTCACGTCTTACTACAAGCTTCGACATCGCCGATGCAATGTACATCGAAGCAGAAGACAAATTGCGATCCATCGAAGAAAGTTTGGCCTCAATTCCTTGAGTCAGGTACAATTCAATATGCAAAAATCGTTCGCTCTTCAACTCGTCGTCTATGCTATAAACAATCTCCAGAAGCTTCACTATACCAGCGGCAATAATGACAAATTCAGAACTCAAACTAACATCTTGATCAACACTTTCAGACCACATAAGCGACAATTTCCTCAACAATCTTACAGCCACAAAAAGGTTAGTTGGCATGTCTTTAGACCTCAGCTGTCGTTCCCGAAGGGTTGGTTTTTCCCTGACTCCCTCCGTCTTCACATTGGGCACATTTTCCGGTTCTACAGTTGTCACCTTGTCAGAATCCAGTGTTTCTTCCTGCGATTCAGGAACCTCTGCAAGCTCCGTTACTGGCGGTTGACTGGTTGGTTCAGTGTCAGCCTCTTTACCCTCACCCGGCAACTCCTGACGTTCTAACTCGATCCTCCGGGCTAAAATATGCAAAACAAAAAACTGCATTTTAATGGGAAGCAATACCGCACTCCTAGGATGAAACATGCGGGTTATATATGCATAGTTGTTTTCTTCCTTCATCACTGAGGATTCCAAAAACAACTCAACTATACGTAAAGCAACGTTATAATCCCGACACTGCTTGAACCTCATCTTACACTCTCCATCCTCATCAACCACATCTATCTTTCTATCCATAGCCTTGAGTGCGTGGGCGCATATACGCAATGTGGTACCCGAATCCTTCAATAAACCACCTAACACACTATCGCAATCCAACTTCTCAGAATTACTGACGGTCGTACCGAAGTACATCAACATAGCTTTAACAAGCTCTTTCACAAAACCACGAAGGTATAAACGGTTTATCAATTGCGCTGCAGCCGGAGTCTCGAGCTCTAATGCCACCCTCATAATATGGTAACATAAGCTGCCATTTCTACCCTCACCACCTGACTTTCTACGATGTTGTTTCTCAAATTCCGCTAAATACAAGAGGTCTTGAATTATCTCACCAGTATTCTCACTTCTCTCCAAGACTGACCTCAGGTGGTCACCTGGGCCAGTTAGGCGGTCTATGTACTCCCAAACATCTCTCTCATTATCTATATTCCCAGGAACGATGAACGAAATAGCTTGAAGCTTATCTTGTAGAAATTGAGCGTCCATTGTTTCAAGGGGGTACGGTCAACTATCGAAAATATCCTATTAACACCAACTATATATGTAATTCGGCAATGTCTTTTGCCTAATACGAAAATATGCCGATCAATCGCCCGCATAAATCACATAAAATTTTAGGTCTGACTTTCTATGTGTCGTTTCGAGTCGTGGGCTGATGGCTTTTTTGTGGGTCGCCTATATAACAGGCATAATAAGGGCCAATCGATTGGATAAACGCCGTATTCACAATTTCACCTACCTAGAAACTCCTCCTAAGATCAGTAGTATCTTGTCTAACTTGATTTTTAGTAGTTGCAGTATTTCAATACCGGCACCACTGACACTTTCCCGCAAAAAACGGGATTCCGTATTGATTGGAAACTAATTAAATCTAGATTATACCTACTATGACTGTTGTCCGAGCTATAAACTGATTTCGCACTGAAAATATGTTATGTGCGGATTAGTGGCTCTTTGGGGCGGAATCATTGGGAGCGTTGTGTTGCAGCTCACCATGATTACTCGCACATTGCAAAAATACCACATAATTCAGTGATATTATACCGAGCACAATTTTACTTACATGGTATTATGGGCGAAGAAGCTGTTAACATAGGCTAAACCGGCCTTTGTCTACTTTTATATACTTTATCGCTCGTCAACACGCTAGTTAAGATGTTCGGCGGTTTCGGAGACCAGGACTCTTTTGGAGCAAATTGGAATCTAGATGAAATACAACAATGTAAGTTCAGGAATATTAGCAATAACCGCAAACTTCATTCATTCATAAGTGTGATAGCACAAACATGTAACAGATTTTTGTATATATCAGCCAAATTCACGAATATTAGTTGTTGATAATTTAACTTGTTAAATTTATGATATATTGTACATAACAGTTGACAACCTTCCCACCTTAGCTCTCATTTATTTACATCATGTCGCAGTGGAAGACATCACAGCTGGAGGATTCCTGGAAGATGATGCCATACCGCAATTGGATGAAACAGGCTTGCAAAAGGAAAAGGTAGCACCTACCAGGCAGTCTATGATGCCAGTCAAAATCAGTATGATAGTCAACGCATGGCACAACGATGCCGGTTACATCCAATTTTTCAATAGGGTACCTGACGTTATGAAAATATTAGGACGTATCGAAAGCCATAAATCAACCGATGAAAATACACAATTCCTTATTGATGACGGTACAGGTCGTATAACATGTACATTCGTACACCCGAGTGACATGACACCGTTCAGACAGAGGGAGTTGGAAAAGGTTATGCAAACACATCGGATGGTTGTAGTTTATGGCAGCTATAACCCAATATATAGTGTAAACTGTCCTGCTATCGTTATTTTCAAGATAAGGGAAGTTTATTCACCAGATGAGTTCACCCTTCACGAACTAGACGTCATTAACATGATATTAAGAAATGAAAAAGAAGGGACACCACTTCAAGTCGGTGATGTCATAGATATTGCACAGACATTTGCCGCACAACCTATCGAAAACCAGTACCACAATCCCACAGGCACGGCTGCCAGTACCATTCGTGATCACCCTGGGGCTGCTCCGTCGGTAGGTCAACCTTCTTCGAATATACAATCTTGTGTAGGACGGACAAACAAACCTCACGCTTACCAAGTATATAGCACAGTTATTGGCGGAAGAGACACGAAAAGGTAACCTTAATGGTTTACATGTGGATGCTATTACAAGAGACTGCAAGATGCAACGAAATTTCCAATGTAAGTAGCTTTTTTAGATTCAATCATCGTTTGTAGCAATATCGGAACAGCATGTTCGCAAAGTGTTAACAGAACTTGAGAAGGATGCGACGGTATATCAGACTGTGGATGCGCAAACATTTGCATCAACGGATGCATGAATACCTGGACTTAGTGGCGTCAATTTTTTGAAGGATTGGCCAATATAAGGGTTAAGGTCAAGAAAGATTCGACTATGCCTTTTGGTTCCATTTTATGGTTATGGTTTGCTTCAGAAATGTGGTGTACAACGCATAACGCGACATGCGAACTAACATACATCTTTGTGCTCCTACACATCGAACCTTAGAATGCGTATTCGAATTTCAACAGCATTATATTCAAAGTAATTATATACACATTGCATTATAGACACCTGCATCGCCATTAGTCCAATTAACGCTCCGTTGTGTGCGGGTTTCGCGCCCACATCCCTAGTTGTTAGCAACCTGCGTCACGAAAAAACGAAAATATAAGCAACTGCAAGCTCTCTCTCAGTGGATTGAGTGGTGCTATGGTCGCACTGCAGTAGGTGTGTACGCAAATGGGTCGGAACACCCGGCCTGAGCATTGAGAGAGTGATCTGTGACCCCTTTTTTTCTCAAGGAAAAAGATGGAGGATGGACACATAAATGACGAGAAGCTATTCTATGATCGGCTTTGGACACCAGTAGACCCCTCAGGGCTACTACGTGTACACTGCATGCTATCTGAAGCAGATACATACTCACAATTGGTTTTAAATGGTGACCATTCCAATGCGGCATCAATAGCATCCAACCTTGTGGCATCGTATAGAGCTCAAGTAGATGTAGTTTCTACAGGTGAACGCATGAAATTCCAGGAAATATCCGCTGATATATGTGATCGGCTCATTGTGTCAGAAATAGCATCTGCGAAAGGACAGCGGGTTGGAGAAAAACGTATAGTAACGTTGATGAAGGAACCGGAACCAAATCAGAGAACACCTGTAGAAACATCACCCGATGCTGCTGATAACAAGGCTCCAGCAAAGCATGGATTTACCATAGTGACATTAGCGAAATCGGAAACTACAAAAAATGATATCGACAAGGGAACTTATGGCCACAAATATGACCAATTTAAACGTATAGCTCTTGGAGATAAGGGTGAATCTAAGGGCGCTACAAAAAGAAATGCCCACAGCCATGGCTTCCATCTAGAAACCTCAGCTGAGACGAATACATTCGCCGACACCGCAATAAAACATTTGCTGGAAAATATCACGCAGAAACTCAAAAGGATACCACTGGTACGCAATGATTGTGATATATGTCGTAGGAGCTGTATGCTTGTTGAAGATTCTGCACCGGGACAGCAGGGACCCAACCAACCTGTTCCGTGTCCACATTCATTGGGGCTAAAATACACACCAGAACCCCATGGGTTATCAACAATGTGCACATGCAAGACCACTGCCCTGGAACGTGAGATGAATGAGTATACATCTGATATTGACTGCCCTCGTCACCCCAATGCTGGAAAATCAGTATATCGCACATCCACAGTCTACGAGACTCTGGACAAATTATACGGATCATGTAACGATGCAGAAGTAGAGGATCTTCTAACGTATCGTCATGAAGAGGTACAGGGCGATGGTTACAGTTTGTGCTTTAGTCCTCGTTACGATGTTGTGAAGCTGATGGAAGGAACTTTACCTGACGCCGTGAGACTTGAGGACATGGACACAGCATGGTTGCATCATGTAGCTTCACGTATACCTGCACGAAAAGGGCACGCTATAGATGTCGCATCGGTTGTCAATGAGGTAACCATGATGCAGACATCGGATGGTGAAGGGCAATTTGGTTGTGACCGTTGCGTCTCCCTAACCGGAACTGTTACAGACCCATATGCTTCAAAGAAAGAGCTTTGGATATGCCCAAGTATATATCGTATACCAGGGTTCCGCACAGCCGAATCGCCAATTGTCACGGTGAGATCGACGAGGCGTGAATCGCTAGAAGATGCTTTTGGTGACGATATTGCCGTCACTTCACCCTCTTCCATTGTCAGCCTAGACTCTCTTTACGATGCAGAAGGTCAAGGATCGCATATGGAAGCACGATCGAAGGAGCAAAATGATGAGGATTACTACGATAATGACATGACCCTTGATGAGTTGATGGCAAAGTTTCTAATACTGCGTAAGAAACCTGACTGTGCTGCAACGATCCTCAGAGCGCTGAAACATCTCATATGCGTAAGACTAAACAAAGAACGGCTATATCTAAAACGCCGAATTGGTATGGAGACCTCGCATGGCGATGGGCAGATGCTAGGAGATAATTTAATGGCAAGAACATTACGACGTGTTCTGGATTCTGTACAAGTATTAGATCCGTTAGATAATCCTGTAGAAGATACGTTGTACCCAACTCCATCAGATGACGATACTAGCGTATACACCTATTCCAGTATCTCAGTCTCCAGTTACTTTAGTGAGCATGAAAGTGTTCACATCCCGGTTAACGACAGGGAGATCGCACGATCGTGGACCCTTAATCTACACAAGAATGTTGTGAGTTACTATGGAATTTTGACGGTTGTAGATGAAAATAAATCTGACATTTTACCAAACAACTGTTGTACACTGTACTGTGAGCTGGTTGGAGATAAGCTTTCCATGTACAATGTGAGGGACTCATTCGCATCTTCTGTAATTAAGATCGCTGAGGAACCGTTGCTGGTTTTACATCTCGACGGTTCATTTACATGTGCATCACCAAGGAGCGTGAAGAAGGGTGAGGCAGTGTTACGCTTGAATGCGCTGAACTACGAGTTACGGGGTGTCACACATAACAGCTCGGATTCCGAAGCGGAAGGGCTATTTTTAAAGTTGCTTGCTGAACAAGGTGATATTTCACGTTGGTATATTACGATATCTGCAAGGTACGTTCAATTACAACCAGTTGTTTCATTAAATGTTGCAGATTAAAACTCACTACATTCCTAGTCCTGCTCGAAAACGAACACAGAGTAAACCTCTGCAGTTCCAATCTGGATTTGATTCATTACCCCAACCGCCGTGACATTGACCTATCTGGTTTGGAGTTTGACGAACTACTGGAAAGACGCATTGTTCAAACTTACGTAAATCCACCAGTCAACAGCCTTATAGTATCATATCGAACTATGAGTGACTTTGATCTTTCTGCGTTCGCCAGCATCTGGAATTACAACGTCGACACTCTTGATCTATCGCATAATAATTTGAATTTGCAGGAATATGGCGATGATTTTGTGAAGTTCATCACACGAGCAAAATTGCGTCGTCTATACTTGGATGGAAATCCAATCAGTGTGGAAGGATATAAGGTCTTGCCAGAATTCTTTGCCGGCGGCACCCTGCAACATCTCAGTCTAAGAGGTTGCTCCCTCGATGACGGCATAAGGGCTGCACTGGTTTCTATTAATAAGAAGCTAGGAGTTAACGACCGTGCCGTTGTAGATATGCGTGAAACTATTTCGTCGGACGAAATTAAGCACTTCTTGAAATCCCATCCCTTCAGCCATATAAAGGTTATTACCGCTGATAGTCAGATGGTTATACCGGAGCTGTTGTCGGAGAATTTCATGGATGTTCATAGTATGTCAGCTATAAGGAATATGGGTTCTATTTTCGGTGGTCGTCTTCTTTCTGCTCGTGAGGTAAGATATATCTTCTATCAATTTCAACTTCTTTCAGAACGTTGTGAAGATCCCTTTCCGCAGGCTACGTAGTTTATGCAAACCACGAGAGAAGCAATACAGCCTGGCAAAGGAGCACGCTTACTTTGAGTTCCGCCCACCATATCTTATAATGAATAAGCATGGTGGTAGTAGTGAAAAGCGTCGTAAAGCAGGTCTATCCAAACAATTGATAGTATTCGTTAATACGTGCAACATAGCACGTATGAGTGGGATGCGGTGGTTGCATATTATAGGTACCGCTCCTAAGTTAACACTTCTCTCTTGGCTATTGGGAGGTAATAAAAGTGACACGGATAAAACATCCGAATCAAATGAGATCCGACTATTGGTGCGGGCTTATTCTGATGCGGCAACTCGGAGGTGGTTCGAAATTATTAGCCGTAGCATTGCTGGGATATTCTACGTTAAGCATATGCGTAAAAATCTGGATATACCCACATCCAGGCATATACTCTCTTTCTGTAGCAGGAGCGATGCTTCCCATTTGGTACTACATGATATGCCTTACGACCGTGAGTTATGGACAGGATTTTTCAGTAACCTTAACTCCCAATCAACGTTACGAATACTTGACTTCTCAAATATGAAGTTAACGGCTGAACAGTTGACGTTTCCCGAAATGCTTTTCGGTGGATTAAAATTGGATCGTCTAGACTTTTCGTTTAACAAAATTGACTTGCAATCTGCAACTCGCGATGTCTTCAATGCATTAATACCACCAATAACATGTAAGGTGTACGATGTCAGCGACAACCCATTAGGTGATTATGCTCTTTCAGCTGATTTGTTTGTGGAGGCCTGCAGTCGTGCGGGTGCTGTAAAGGTCTGTTTCAACCGTTGTATGCTTGGCAATAAATTCCTCGAGTCGGTAACTAAGTTGCTATCAGAGAATACCTCTCTTCCACCTAAACTTCATTTGGAGGTGGTTGAACTTGAAGGTAACTCGTTTGATGTTTCGAAGCTACAGGAGTTTGTTAAAACTGCAACTAACTTTTTCCCTTCACTCGCAACCGTACGATTACATGGTTCAGTGGCTTCCCCCGAACTAACAAAGTCGTTGCTGAAAGCACATCAGATACTGACCGTCGAACAGTTTTCTGCAAACGAGCCTCGATACGGTAGTTTTACTCGTATAAATTATGTGAAAAAACCTAAACGTACAACGAAAGAATCTGTATCGAAATTCATCGAGGCGGGCATGCCAGGTGGATTTGAGGGAAGGTATCGCTTCTAACGTTAGATATCGCAATATATCCATGCTGAGTTCCTGCAGTGCAGGAACTACATGTATCACACCTTTATACATTACGGTAATATTTAAAACTCATTTACAACCTATATCTGTGTTTAACTGTTGTATATTGATGTCTACGCGGTACACTGCTGGACATTGTAAATACAATTTATCATTTTATTTCCAATGGACGTATTAAAATTTTTAAATGGGCTAAGACATAAATATTAAATTCTCGAAATTCTATAATATCACCAAAATGGTACTTTCTGTGCAATGCGCACGTTCCGTTTGCGCCGAACGTTCCATGTTGAATTTTATTGATACACAATTGATACAGGTACTCTGTCAGATGTGTAAATGCATGTATAGAGACATAGATTGCTAAATATCCGGATTTAACCGCTTTTCAGCGAACTTCGTAACGGTTCGTGAACTATTGATGGTGCTCTGGAAAAATGTGTAGGGAACTATTTGACCCGATTTATGCAGCCCCCTTAGGATAGGTAGGTTGCCGAATCGTCAGGGTATATTCAAAAGATGGGCATCTGTATCGTAATACCTATTAACACCTATGTATTTCGATGGTTCTCTCGCGCCTCGGCGCGTTATAAGCCTCTCTGGAGCGTCAAAGTTCGGGCAGTCTCGCACATCACGGGGACAACCGGTGGGATTCCTCTCAGCTAAGAAAGAACGCGAACGAGCTGGTCATACTATTCTGCAATTTTTAAGGCGTATTATCCAATTGAAACGCGAATTGCTTCCATTACGGGATATACTGCCTGAACTTTTGGCCAAGGCCGAGTTATGGTGTCAGTCACTACCGCCTAGTTCATCGGCTTCATCATCAAACCAGATAATAGAAGCTTCTATTAAAGAAAAACTTGTTTGCCACAAGGAGTCTAAGGAAGAAGGCAGTGAAAATGGGACCGAAAACACAAACGTTTCAAAAACGGAAAACCGAACATCTTTCGAGGTGTATTCTAACGCAGTAACACGTCATCCGATATGTAAGTTCATTAGAGTTTTAGTAGCTTTGGCGAATATTGACTGGAAAAGTGATTACTCGCATTATTTTCGACGAGCCTTGTATCTATTCAAAACATGGTACTTTACTGCCGAAAAAGGCACGGGAATTGATGAGCTGATAAAAGAGCCATTATTAAAGGCCCAGTTATTGTACCTATGTGTTAAGTTTTTCAGGGTTTTGATACCGCGACGTGACCTCTCGTCAGTGGCATCACAGCGCAAACGTGCCAAAAGGGGTCAAAATCCTTCGATAATCGATGATCCAAATTTGGCACAAAATACGTGTCGGGTTGGTTTAACTGAAGACAAAAGTTCTTCGAGTTCCACACCAACCAGTATCTTTTCATCGTATAATGCCGGATTACCGTCTAAAAAATTGTTGGCGGTGGGCTCTGATAGAAGGCTGCCTGTGCACGTCAACCCGGATGAACCGGATACCGTCAAAGCGTCGATTAACACACTTATTGAGCATCTGTATCTGAATCGTAAGCCGTTGTCTTTTGATGAGGGTCTTGTTGTGTATTATGCGGCGGCATTGTTCCGTTTTATCCCCCAAACGGTAGCACAGGATTTGAACAGGGAATACCATCTAGCTACCGAATGGCTCCCAATTATGCTTCGTCGTGTTATTGCTGGCGATGTTCACGACGAAAATGTTGTGTATGCGCTGCTGTATTTGGCTCAACAACTTCGTGAGTCATGTACCACTAAGGAAATGGCGTTTAAACAGTTGATAAATGTGTGGTCAGTAGCTGAACTGAATTTGGGAAATAAGGTCGACCTAATGGCTCATATCGCCGAAGTAACACTAAGTTCGGAATTCATTCAAGGTATCTGCTGTGTTGGATGCAAGCTACGTGAGTCACATGAATACAGTGGCACTACTACTAATAATGAAGTTTCAGCGGAAAAGGCTGACGCTGTAATGACCACATTAAAGCGTACTGCGAAATCGCTAGTACCGCTTACAGTGTCTTTGAATAATGAAGTTTGGCAAATAGTGGAATCTAGATTGCGATCACAGGTGAATGCGTTACTAGGCGCCCAATCATTCATGACTTTCCTAAGTGTTATACACAATTACACTGAGGATGTCGAAATCGACACAATTGAGCAGAAGACAAAGGCACCGGTTGATTACGAAGAACGAAGTATCAATTATGTGCGATACGGCGGATTCTATAATTTTGTTTTCGGCGAAGAAGATTTGATGAGGGGTACCATAACTTCGTCACGTGAATCCGTGTACAAGCTGATATTCAACAACATGTTGAGCTTGTTGATAGCTCTGAAAAGCATCGAATTTACAAAATCTGATAAGGTATGGATAGCATCTGCACTCGCTTTAGTGTTGTTTTGTTCGCAATTCTACAGTCTGGAGGAACGTAGAAGCATGTGGTTTTCTAAAAGTGATAGGTTGGACATATTATTCAAGATACTTCGTTCTTACCGTGGAGATGAGTACATCGTTTTGAATGTACTGTTAATTCTCTCACCTGTAATAAAGTGGCAATACTTTAGCGCTGATCCTGATGCTGCTGTCGTTGAAAATGCTACTGCTGTTGTACATAGGATTACATCAGCTGAGGAAGTGGTGGATACATTGCCAAAGTTGCGCGGGCTTATTGCCATCGAGTTCGTGTCAAGCAAGGTACCTCTGTTGCTTCTAAATATATTTAGGCGGCACCATTCCAATTGTTGTACGGCATCGTTCTCCCAATTCGTGGCCTGTCTCTCAGCGGGCCAGTCTAACGACAGTACGATGTGCTGTTTGTGGCGAATATTCGCAATGCTGCTTGATTACTGTCTCCATGCAATGGATGATGCGACTTTGGTTGGAGATGAGGATGAACCTGGGTTGTTTGGACCTGACGAAGCCTTGTTCATAGTAAACGCTCTAAACTATACTTTCTTGTATCACGTCCAACCACAAAGCAAGATAGAGAAATGGGACACCTTCCAAGTGAATGACCAATTTCCGTGGAACAAGTTTTGTAGTTGTGGCATAGAAGTGAGCGTAAATGATCTGTTTCATGTAAGCAAGGGCAATCTGGGATTCACTTCCTTATATTGGGGTCAGTTGGCACATAGGTTCAGCAGGCGATTTTTCCGTCACCCGGATAAAACTCACCGTCCAGATGTGATTGATGATGTAGAACGATCTGTGATACGCCATATCAATACCAATCATCTTGGGTCACCTATAATTAACGCTCTGAGATACATACCGCAGGCAGTGAGCTTTGATACACGTTTGCAGCTGTTTATGGCCTACATTAGGAACGATAAGTTGATATATCGTAATGAGATGCCTGATGATTTTGATTTGCCACCTTGCTTGATTCGTCGTTCCCATATCTTAGAGGATGGTTTGGGCACATTAGGTCGACTAAACGGTATACAGCTGAAGCAACATTTCCGCGTTGTTTTCGTTGATGAGACTGGTAGGCGTGAGGAGGGTATAGATGGTGGTGGTCTATTCAAGGAGTTTTTGACGCAGTTGTGCCATGTGATTTTTAACCCGGGATATGGTATCTTCGAGGAGTCGCCATACGACCGGTCATTTGCACCATCACCTAATTCGGCATTGGTACATGATGACCACCTTTCAGTGTTTAACTTTGTTGGTAAGGTAGTGGCTAAAGCGTTGTATGAGCATATATTGGTTGAGCATGTACTGTCACGACTTCTTTTAAATTTTATGTTGAAGCAGCGCAACGGTCTGGACGATTTCAAGCATTTTGACCCAGAGTTGTATCGAAATCTAGTATCTATTCGAAATATGTCCGCGGAAGATATTGAATCTCTAGGTTTGACGTTTACGACTTCCGTTTCTTCGTTTGGTGATTCTGTACAGGCTGAGATAGTAGATGGCGGTAGTAATAAGAAAGTGACTAAAGAGAATTGTGACTATTTCATATTCCAATTTGCTGATTTTAAGTGCAACCGTCTTATTGAATCTCAATCTGTAGCATTTTTACGGGGCTTCTCCGAGTTGATACCACTCGACTGGTTACAGATGTTTTCACCATCAGAATTGGTCCACCTCATTTCAGGATCGGTTTCTGTGATCAACGTGAATGACATGTGTCAGAATGCGACTTATTCGGGTGGTTACAGTGCAGAGTCTACCGTCATCGTTTGGTTCTGGGAGATAATGGTTAGTTGTTTATTATTACATTTTTCAATTGTATGCAGCATGAATTTGACGAAGAGCAACGTCGCACATTTCTGTGGTTTGTAACTTGCTGCAAACGTGCTCCATTACTGGGTTTTAAGCAGCTCAATCCGCCATTCTGTATCACTCGTGACCAGAATGATCGTAACTTGCCAACAGTCTCGACATGTACCAACTTGTTGAAGCTACCGGAGTACTCTAGTAAAGAAGAACTGCGTTCTAAACTCGTGGATGCCATGACAATGTCAAAAGGTTTCGGTATAAGCTGAAAATTCCACATGGCTGATTCCACACTACTACTGTGGTGCATTGTAATGAATGCCGCTAATAGACAATATGACTAACATTATCGACTGTTTTTCACTTATGTTGAATGTGTGTCATGTTAATGGGATAGACAGGGTATTGCAACGCCTTTTGCGTGCTGACAATTGAAGAGGACTTATGACTGTTTATCATAGGTATGCATAGATACAATATTTTAATTGTGATCTATGACTACGTTCTGCTTTGTGAGATTTTACACCCGCAGTTGTTGTAGCTTTTCGCTTTGCGTCTAGACAATCCTGAGTATTTTTACCAGGATATCGACAGAATATTGTCATTGCTGTTGAGATGATGGTAGATTACCGTTTATTTTAGATTCCGAGGGCTCGACAGAAACGCGTTTATATTGAGGTCCGTAACGTTGTATAAGTAACTTTTCTACTAGATCAGTTACGCACCAGAGGCCATCGAATGCACGAGACAGTATCATCGATGCTCTATATATAGTCCCCAGATCCTCTTCAGTGTATAGAATTGGCCTCAATGGCGAATCCGTAGCGTGTGCTGTAGCGTCTAACTGCAGTGTATAGCAAACTTCCGTGCTTACTAATTTAATGCATCTCAAGAAGTTGTTGCCCCTATCGATGTCCAAACCGTCAAGTAGGAAGTGGTGTGACATCGCATTGTATAGCAGGACCAGGTTTCTAGCATTGAACCTGTTAATGACACTGCAGCACAAAGTGAGCAGCATTACAGTTAGTGCAGCTATATCAGCGACTTTTTTGGGTTGTTTGGAACTAGCAGCTGCAGCCTCAGCAATCTGTTGCTCTTCAGCGTTGTGATCTGCAGAAGGGTCGGTATCATCGTCATATGTGATAATTCCTATTGAACGTTTTCCTTCTTTATTTGACCTGCTTACTTTAGTAGCTGCTATATAGAATTTAACCAATGCTGGAGTGCTTTTCATAAGTAGTGATGGTGGTTGTGTGAGACCATATACTAATATTTCAATCGCCTTATAAGGTTTGCCTTTGCAGGTTACGCACCATGTCTGGAGTGCACTAATAGCCTTTGTCACTTCAGCTGTAGTTAGAACATCTTGGTACGATATGGCTGCTAGCAACCACTGAATTGCATCTGTGGCTACAATATGGTTACGAACCCGTAGCCACTTTAGCGCTACTATGTATCCTAATATTATGGAAGATCTTGTCATTATATTGGACAGTCCTTCCTTTGCATCCATAATAGCTTGTTCTAATCGTGCTTTGGCTGATACAGAGAATGAATGGCATTGTCCAACAATTGCCATATTCCGCATGATCGGTCTTAGAAGAACAGTTCTGGGTTCTTCACCTTGTAATTCTCCTAGAGCGTCGATGAATGTTTCCATAGTAGCTCTGCTTGATGATTTGATCATCTTTTTACGCCTTGCACTATTCTTCCCCGCATGGTGGAAGGACCATAGTATTCCGCCCTTTAGCGGATATCTGTATATTCCTGGTCTATGTTCAACAGCTCTGCATATATGAGCCCCTATGTTTACATCAACAGCATTGAGGTCATATAGGCAATCTGCTGCCTGTATGATTGTTTCATCAGATACAGAATTTTCATTTATAGCCCCTGTCAATGCAAGTTTTAATTCCCTTGCAGCCTTTGCTATTGTGGATCCATCATCTAATACTCCACAAAGTGGCGGTTGTCTGCTAAGCAGTTTAAGCTTAGGTAGTAATGCTTCAAGTTTCCTACAGTAATGCATATTTCGCCAGTACAAGATTTTACGATAACATGTATTGCGGGATTAGTAAGTAGACATATTTTTGTCTACTATATGAGATGAATGTATATATTTTGTTATTTGAATTTGCACAGCCAACCAATTTTATCCAGGACCCATTACTCGTAAGCTTTTTTATGCATACACATCCTCCGCTGGAAATTCTTTAACAGTAAAAGAATCTGATTAATTAATTTATATATATTTCATAATAATTGGGTCTTTTGTTGTGTCATAGCGCATGACTTATGTGTGACGACGTTGGCTGAGGTATATATAATATGCCGCTTCCATGCAACTTCTATCCATCATACGCTTTTGATATTCCATGGATGTACCTAAAAAGTATATGCAGAGGGTAGGCAGGCCTTCTGGTCCTTCCTTAGATGATTTTATCTACCGAACACCCCCGCAGACCTTTGCTGACAATACTACGGTGTTTTACCACCCTGCGGGTTCAAATGCATATGAGGGAACTGCTAAAAGTGCTAGGTAGGTTGTTTTTCGATGTAATAATGCGTTATTGCACATCATGTGGTATTGTGCATTATACGTGGTTATTGAATATATATTGTAAATTAGCACTTTACTGCAACATTTGGCTATGTAGAATGGTCTAGGCTTATGCATGTTGTATATGCAGCGAAATTCTGGCTGAATATGTCGCCATAATCACCCTTAACTTATATACAGCACTCCCTTCACAACCCGGGATAGGTTCACGTTCGATCGTAGCATAACATGGTTCCCTGCGCATATGGCATCCGCCAAGTTGAACATAGGCAAGAAGCGCCGTGCTGTAGATTGTATCCTTGAGGTGCGTGACGCTAGAGCGCCGCTGACATCATCTAACTGTTCCCTTTTGGAAGAGTATCCTGACCATGTCCCTCGTTTGGTAGTCCTGAATAAGAGCGACCTTGTACCAGCATCTGACATAAAGGTATATCCTTATTAATAGTTATTTATACATCACAGCGTGCCAGTAAGCTTCTGGAGCAGACAGGTCGTCATGTGGTTGCTTACAGTGCTTTGGGTCTGCGTAAAATCACTCAGATCACTAACTTCGTGAATACGCACGTCTCGCCAAAGTTCAAAACACTAGGGGTGTGGATGATGGTTGTAGGATTGCCTAACGTTGGCAAGTCGTCAATAATTAATGCACTGAAGCGTTATTCATTTTCGGTGAGTTAGGTGATTGCAATTATCATATTTAATTATTTTAAAGACACTCTAGGTTATTTCTCATGCTTATATATCATATATTGCTGTATTTCTTACATTTTAATGTAGCAACGTTGGCACTCAAGGTATGGTATGCATGAGCCTACGAGGCTGACTACTGCCAAAGCGAGATGTTCTGCGGAACCGGGCAGTACTCGCCATTTGGGAGCATTTTTCGTATCCGAGAAGCCTAAACTCTACTGCTTTGATACCCCAGGGGTGATGCTTCCTAAGATGGAATGCCCCGAGATTAACCTGAAGTTGGCTGCTCTAGGGTGTTTGGAAGATCACCGAGCAGGACTGGATTATATCTCGGATTACATATTGTATACGTTGAATCGTCGTCAACTGCTTGATTATGTACATGTTTTGGGTTTGGAGCGTCCAACGGACGATGTGAAAGAGGTGGGTAACCAACCATTGAGACAGTATAAGATAGCCCAGGTGATGGAGCACATCTCCCATGTTGCCGAACGAAAATACAGCACAATAGAGCCAGCGAACTGTTATCGTATATTTATAAATCAGTTTCGTTTGGGTCGTTTTGGGCGCATCTGCATGGACGATTTGAGCGACATAATGAGGCGGGGTGACCTTTCAGATTTTGAATTGAGGTATGTAATTTATGATCAAATAACCTTGACATCGTATTCTTAGTGAGCCTCCAGGTCCCATGGGTCCGAGTCACTGGCCAATTCACGGTCTTTAGTATTTTACAGATCACAACACATGGTTACACTGGGTGTAGCTACACATTACGTCTTTCAATGTAAAGATAATTGTTACTTACTCTAGAATAGTTTAGGAAGGCAGCTTTGTTGCTGTGGTTTACGCTACCGCCGTGTTACTAATTGTGTAAGAATATGTGGGTACACATTTTTCTTAACAAAGGGTATGACAAAGTATTAAGTGTTAGAATCCACATAAAAATAAATTTGGTGTGTTTTTTCTTCACAAATATTAACATTATAGATATATTTTTGAATTTGTGTCTTCCTCGGAGTCGATAAATTCAGTTATTACAGCCGGCTGTGCCGACTACTATTTAAATTAATAATGTTGAAACCATTATATTGATTGATGAGACCGCCCAGTATCGTTATCTGGCGCGTTATTCTACTGGTATGCGCGTTGCGCCTCTACCATGTCTACGCTTTCACGCCTAACACAAGAACGTACTTCTCAGCCCTGGGTAAACCGTATATTAGCCTTTCTGAACATCATTCTTCGGGATTTAAATCGTGGAAGGTAAGGAATCATGAACTCCCAGCCATTGCTTCTACCGGTAGTGACCCCTCCGGTGGTCAACAGCGCCAATATGTTGAAGATGGTCTCATTATTACAGAATTCGAACCATTACACAAGGGTGCATCTGCCCCTGCAAGATCAGATCCTGCTTTCACTGAAGCTGTTAACCATTTTCACGAAGTTGATTGTTCTGAAGGTGCTGACCCTTTACCCAGGGAAGATGATATTAACAGTATAGATTACGAGGAATTGCAACTTGCATTTTATCAGGGAGATGAGGTAGTTGATGTTGTACTTAAAAATGCTCAGGATATGTTGAACATGGAATGTGAGAATCTACTTCAGTTTCACAGATGCCGACGTTATGCCGGGTTGGCCAAAGAGTCGTCCCGCAACGATGCTGCAGCAATGAGATCGATCCGTTGTCTAGTGTACTTGATTGGCGGTCGTATATTGAATTGCGCTAAAAAGGCAATGAACCGTGTAGAACGTGAGCATGATGGAAACTCATCTGCAACTGAAGGTATCCGTCGTAACCTTGAGGGGCGAATAAGGGGCATCATACTAGAGACTGTAAATTACTGGGAGGGCATTATCAAGCCAAAAAAAGTAGAATGTTATCTACCTGTTTATCCTAGAGTTAAAGAGGTTGTTACGGGTGAGGAATACGTTGCTAAGGTGTGGGACTACCTAAACGCATCTGCTTTTGGTGGAGATCTTCCCGAATATTGTGACATGAATTTTGGTTGGTACAACATGATAGAACCGGATGGCAGTGTTATAGAGAGTTCAGATGATGAGTTGTTCCGCATATCAAGAAGGGAATATGTTCGATTCCCACGTGTTGTGTATCCCAAGGAACTGGTTGGGTACCAGAGTGCTCTTGGTAACACAGTATTTAGGTCTATGCTGAAGTTGTATTGTGACATCTATGGATCACGTTTTGGTGGTGAAGATTATGCTTCATCTGCGCTATCGGCATTGCAATTTGTGGAATCCACTGCGGCGAGAAATGACCGTGTGGCTTTCAGCTGTATCCAGTCAGATGTGGTAGGGTCAGATTCTCGGTTGAGACACTTGTTATCCCATCTTAACGCCTTAGAACCTTTGCGTAACGCCGAAGGTGATATAAATGATGATGAAGATGTGTTTCCTGATTTGGACCAGCTCCCTTATTTCAAAAACCGCCTAAGCTTCCGTATTCTTAAAAAGGTGGTCAAGGAGACGCAAACTGCTTTGGAGATATTCGATAGTTCGTTCCGCCCACATGGTAAAGAGTGGTTAGACCGTGTTGACGAGGAATTGAAGAGCGGGAATATAGACATCACGGCCGGTATTCTAGTGGAGCCTCCTGGGAAATTGTCCAGTGCACAAAAGGTTGATATGCAATCCGATTCAAAGTCATCAGATGATATGTTAGAGCCTCGTGAAGTTGTTTGGTCCCGTGACACAAATGGGAATTTAACTGTTCCAATAAACGAACTGTATCGCAGTCTTGTGTTTGCTGACTTGGAGAAATTCGGCAACCTATTATCTTTAGGTATGAACGAATTGCTAGAATTGAAGCCCGTGCAAATAAACAGTATACAGAACAAAATCGTGGCGTTATGCATAAATGTGTTAAACCAGGTGAGAGCGCTAGACGCCTTTTCAGTTAACTTCTCACTAATCCCTGAGGATATTGCTAAGCAATCTACTGTTGGTCTCGTTGAAAAGTCAAACACGGTAATTATACAGTGTATAATGTTTTTGAACAAGTTTATTGGTCGATGTCTAGCTCATCGTGGTCTATATCCTCTGGACAATGAGTTTTTGCGTGAAAGGCCGCTGGAGTTGTTGATCAAGGAGAACAACCCATCAATGTTCACTTTACCAGCCTCTATTGATCCTACTCGTTTCGGTGCAGCAGCGGTACGTGAGGAAGCACGTATGAAGCCTGTCCCGTTTCCCAAGGAGTACATGAACGATGTTGTATCCGCGGACGATCCGTCAGCGCTTCAATTTTTAGTGAATTATTACAACTTTAACCTTTTTGGTGGCCGATTACCGATAGATTTAGCTGTGAAGTTTGACGATGAAGCGTTGAATGAATATCTTTCTTCACATGATGATTCCGCCGAGTCGCTCATCGTGCCTACCATTCGACTTAACCCTTTGGTAAAGCGTAGTAAGATCCTGGTATCACGTTTGGTTATGGACGAATGTTTTCACCTGTACTTAAGGAACTCATATAGGTTTAATACGAGTTTTGAGGGTAAATCTAAATTAATGTTAACGGACGTACTTGATTCGGACATCGTTCGGCGTACAAGGCAGCATCTTGCGAACTGTATTGAACCATCTGGTGGCTGGCCATTTTTCTTTGACGAATTAGAGTATATGGCCATAAATGAGCGACCTGAACTGGCCAATTTGGGTTCTAGATTACCTGCCTTGAAAGGACGATCTTTAAACACTATTTTCAGTGATTTGATCTCCACCGACCTGGACGTTGTGGGTACCCTTGAGAAGCTGGTGGAACGTACCGACATGTCAGATCTCTGGGAACGTCAGGTGTTGCCAATACGTCATTTTGTGAACTCGCTTCAAAGCGGTATTTATGACCTTGCTTATACGGTGATACTGAACCCTAGTTCGGTTGCTGTAATATCCCCTATGCCAATAAGTGAGATAAATATGCTTGAGAACAAGTTTAAAGAAGCATGTCATATTTCACATGTCCTTGACGACGGTGATGGTAAGGTTGTGGATGAGTCCAGGCAGCACCTGAACTCACTTGCTAACCTGGAGTCGCTGAAGATTGTTGAGTGTGCTTTCGACGAGCTTAGAGAGCATTCTACGAAGCACGGGCTAATATCTGTGCCTGACCTCACCGAGGGCATCAGAGAGGCGACAGATAACCTTGCCCGATGTCAGCCAGAAGAGTTGGCGCATCAGCCTTCCGAAGTCGATTGTACTATCATAGGCACAAGTCCATCTGGCTTACCTACGGAGTTACGGCGCAGCAATAAGGATGAGGAAGTGATTAAGAAGTACATGCCAGTAACCGATCCCCCGACCTCAAAGTGTACACCTGAGGGAAATGTTGATAGCAGCAGCAATAACTATACTTTGAACGAAGAAGAGCGTCTTGTTTTTGCTGAAGCTGTATATAGTGGATACAACCATACGCTGTTTAAGGATGCGCTCCCATCTGACGTTGGTATTGAGTTTACCAGTTCCCTTGATGATCTATCATCCCTCTACGAGGATCTGCATCACATTGCACCTCCAATCATAAGGCTTCACGGGTTACTTTTCAACGCTAAGTTGATATTTTTGCAGATGATGCTGCAAATGATCAACATCTCCTTTGCATCATCTACGCACAATATAGAGATGGACTGTTTACGTTATTTTGGGACACCATACCGGAGTGCATTTGCGCGATTTCATTCTGAGCAGCAGCAGTTGATTAAAAGTCGCTTGTTACCTCTAAGTCGTGAAGCCCGTCAGAAGGCTAAGGAGGAGTCTAAGGATGGAGTGAATGAAACCTATATCAGTTCATTGAAGGATGCTGCTGATGTAAAGGCTGCTGGTGGCAGCGGCAACACGCTATTGGATATGGAAATTGATGAGTTTGTTGACGAGGTTTTGGAGGGTCGGTCCAAGGTACAGCGTCTGAATACTGATGTATCTCTTTGCAACCCTTTCGAAGAATATCAGACGCTTAAGTCGTTTGCCCGTCATTTTGTAAACTGGAAACGTACAAAATCAAACTATCAAGGCGCTGCATCAGTTGAACCTGTGCCGTTTTCATCATCTGGTGACAAGGCTCTACCAATATTAAGCAATAGCATTTTACGGACTCTATGGTCCCGTTCTAAGTTCGAACATGTTGAGAAACTGCTTAAACAGATGGGTATGGAGATGCCACTATCTGCTAACATGGAGTTGAACTGGCAACGTCTATTAACTGAGGATCAGCAATTCAAGTTGATGAAATATCTCACTCTTAAGGCAGTGCATTATGACAGCGCCTTTACAATGTTGGTTCGTAGCGGTGCTTGCACTCCTGAAGAGTCGTGTGAGCTGATGGTAAAGTTGACCGACCCTTATTTGAAATTAGAGCCATATCCTGATGATAATACCGACACGGCAGCATCACAGGAGCAGCGTGAAACTCCCAGAACAGATACTCAAGATGCTACAGCTAGTGCTGATGAGCCAGAGCAGGGAGATGTATTCTCTAACGAAACATTTGTTCAAGAGCTTGAAGGGGTCACTAAAAGTATGGACCCATCCACGGCGGAGACCGTTAACGTGTTAGTTGACAAGCTTGTACGTCGTAACTACTCTGCTGCATTGGGTATATTAAGTTCGCATCCTAAACAGGGGTATCTGAAGGAGTCTGCGATGAAGTTGCTCGATATAATCCGTAATAACGGTGTTCTCGACGACCGTCAACACATAGAGATCCTCGAGTTTCTACGCAACTAAGCTAATGTGATATTATATTTTCATGATATTACCATGTGTCATGTGTTGGTATTTTATTGTCCCTAAGGTATGCATGGAGTAAATGGCTCAAAATGCCATGTGCCCCTGTGATTTTGTCGGACGCTGTAATCTCCATGTGAGAATACAATCATATATGAACTTTGGCGTTACCAACGTTGAATGTCGTGCTCCATGTGTCTTCGAGATCAAATCTTCATCATTATCGGCGAATTTTCGCTTCAACTCCAATGCCTCTTCCGACTTGCGGTCCGTAATAACCACGTATTCTGCGTCACTTGGGTCCGATACCAATTTTCCGTTTCCTAGTTCTACTAGCAAGCTGCACAGCGCGGAGTCGCCACCTTCACCGCTACCTGATACGAAGAAATCTTCGTCACAGAATAGTCTTGATTGTGCCAGGTGCTGTCGACTATCGAAAGAGAGGTCTCCCCAACAACGTGCTTCATGTCGTGTGAGAACATCAGTCCATCTTGTATATCCTATGGAATCATGTGGTCCCGGCCATCGCTTGAAGTTGGCCAGTAGGTAGTCTATTGCTGCCTCCTTGACTAGGAATACCTCACCCACTAAGCTAGCTAGTAAATGCGGATCATATGTATCTACTGGTACTTCACCATCATGTTCATTTGGCACTACACAAAGGGAGATTTTATTCCAAGCTTCGGTACCTCTGGGTGCTTCTACGAATTCTATTCCCCCGGTTCCTGCGCCACCTAGAACTACTTTTCCCGATGCAGAGATACTTGATGAAGGTGGTGCAACTTTTTCTACTACGTTCTTGATTTTTTCCCTCACCCGCATCAAGTGCGGTTCTTTTCCAGCAGCTGTGATTAACAGTTTGGTCACAGTCGCAAACTCGCTTTCCGTGTCGCTATCATCGTCCTTTGGTTCACGTTGCCGTTTGAGTGGCACGTTAAGGTTAACTCGATCCGATTTTTTCCTATGTTCACGTTTGATATCCCGTAAATTTATGCCCCTGGATGATAGATACGTGTCACCTTGGTTAGCTTCTCGTATATTCGGTAGTACGGTCATAAGATCTTCTAATGCAATTCTGAGTTGTGCTGTTTGCCAGCATGCCGATATTTTATTCCAGACATATGTTTGCGTTGATGAATTTAAAGCATTGCTAGCATTTCTTTCTTTGAAGCGTGCTACTATATCTTTGTTGAATGGTATGAGGGCTACCTCGACAGTTTCTGCTGCTTCTCTGGCAGCTGCCTGTACTGCTGGTGTTGTTCCTTTTCCTATATCTCTGTGTATATCCGGGTTGAACCCCGGAATTACGCGCAGTTCTATACGTTGAAATAACCATATCTTGTTAGTGTTCAACCAATCGAGTAGGTGTACCTTCGAGAACACCTCCCCAATGCCCCGCATATCTATCGACCTTAGCCATGACCATAGTCTAAATAACACCCTATCATTAATCCTTAATCCTAGGAATGCTGCGAATTTAACGCATTCATATATAAATATGGTTTTTACACACCATAATTTGAATTCACTGTCCCATTCTAGCCATTTCGATCCTACAAGCATTTTGAGATAGTATACCACCTTATTGTTATGTTCAGTCCACTTCAACTTTAGCGCAATTACTTCATTATTTCCATTTGTATCGGTTTTGTTTGGTTTATCTGTGTCACTTCTCATTCTACTAGCGTATGCCTTCGGTGTTGTTGCTTCTGAGGTGTCATTGGCTCTTTCCAAAAAGGTTACTGCGTCCACTGCATTAGCAGTGCTGCTATATACACTGCGTAGCGCTTGAAAGTTGTTGTCCGTGACAAAGGTGATTGCCGATGGTGGAGCTACAGTGATGAGGTCCACTCCATTTGTTTTCGGTTTTGCTTCACATGCCGCTACGGGTGTCGATGAGCTGGGTGTCGCATTTACCTGAGTGGGCGTTTCCTTTTTGAGAATACGGAATAGTATCCTTTTAGGAATGATATGTTCGACGTTATCTATGAACCATTCTATGTTTTCATTAGGGAAGCAGCAATCGAAGTTATTATCTAGGTTGTGTAAACTTGATGCTGCTTGAGTGTAGGATCCTGGTTTCACCAATACCTCTATGACTATCCTTAGGTTGACCTGCAGTTCATCAAAATTGATAGCTGATGCCATTTCTGGTAATGTAGCGTACATACATGAGGGTGTTGCGAATATATATTTATTTTTATCAATGTCTCCTTTCGATTTCAAAGGTAATCTGAAAACATTCCTTTTCCCCTCGTCCGTCACTGTTTTTTCCCGTTTTCTATTTGGATAGTGTACAAATGTGATTTGTATATCTTTATCGTTTGACATATCCGCCGACGTATCATTTACCCTAGTTTCTCCTACAATATAGCAGTCTGACAGTTCACCCTCGACGTTTTTATTGTTTAGTGATTCCTTTTCTAGCCATAGTCGTCCTGTATCTATTATGCGTAAGAATGTTCTTCTGATTTTGTACTTGTCGTTTCCCAGGGACTCTGAGTTAATTGGCACATATGCGGTGTACCACGTGGTTGTATCAACTGTTTGTGTGTTATGTATCCCTATCCCTATATAGTTGATTGGGTGATATGTTTTTATTGGCGGATATCCCATTTGAAAGAATGCCTTAAGTTGTTCCATATCATTACCTTGGCATGTTGGTATATAGCATCTGTGAGCATGTTGATTGACGACTTCACTTTCTTGTAGCTTCAAGACATGTGCTATGAAGTTCGTCTGTATATAGGTTATATGTCGGCACTGGCTGACTGGATGAGTGTCGCCGACAGTGGATGTTTGACTATTCTGCTGCATTGCTTGTGATGTTCGGCTACGACTTTCTCGGTCTGCTGGCTGTTTGTCTGCGGCCCAGATATTTCTGTAGTGACTAATTGAAGTCCAGTTACGGAAGTATGCGCGTGATCAGACTGCCTTTATTATGTTGATATTTTAGTAATATTCCATGGCTTCTAAGGACGTAGACACCCCTTTCGTTGATGGCATATGCCATTAGACGGTTTGTAACATGTATATATGTCTCTATGATTTTGTATGACCTATGATCTGTCCTGCCATACGCTGTGTCATCGACAATGTGTCATCTTTGCTATCATAGCATCGGTGTATTGCCTTCTATAATTGATAGTAGTTGGTATGACATTTCTTAGTCACATTGTGTTATATTGAGAGTTTTAATGTTCAATAGGTGTGAGCGCTAGTGTCATGGGCGCGTCTACGACACACAGTTGTTTCCAATGTGGTTTTTATGTGTGTGTTACAATTGCAGGTATTAGTATTTAGATTAAATATAATTTGATAAGTGTTTTCCGTTTATTCGTGAATATTTTATAGTACATTTATTGGATAATATCCAGCGCCATTTGGGCGCCTTTCTCATCTCCAGGTATTTTGAGTGCTATTTCTTATGAAATGTGCTTCTAACCATTGTACTAGTAATTCTTTTATATTTGTATATCGCGATAATCTTGTTTTGTGTATATTGTATGTTTTAAAATGGCGCTGAAGGGTCATAACGACAAGAGTGCGAAGTGTATGTTTGTAGCGTGCCTTTCATCTCCTAATGAGAGCCGCGAACAACAGCACGTATTGGTTCGTAAGAGTTTGATTAAGAGTAAGATGTGCCATGAAGTTGGTCTGGTAAATGTTCCTCAAGATTTACGTTTTACAAGTTTCGACGGTTTACTAGTTTGTGCTGATGAGCTTGAGAAGCATGACCCGGTTGTTGAGACGGTGTTGAAGCGTGTGGAATCCTTGGCTCGTGGTATTGACAGTAGCCCTTTGAATATCCATTTTCAGGGTCGTCAGGTTGCAGTAGAAACTTATATATCCCGTTTTCATTGGGATGATGGCCGGTTTCCTCGTTACAATACCGTTGCCGACAATTTGCAAACTTTGGTTGATTTGGTTAAGAAGATGGATGATGACGTGATGGCTAAAGCTAGTGCGTATGCTGACCTGAACAACCGTCGTTTATCTATGAAGAACGATGCTGAGAGTACCTATTTGTATCGTGATTTGACTTATATAGTTACTCCTGAAGTTGTTGACGATCCTCAAGATTTCATTGATACTGAGCATTTGACTACTATTTTGGTGTTTGTGCCATCTGGTATGGATGAGGAGTGGTTGTCTAGTTACATGCATTTGTGTGATAACGTCGTTCCTAACTGTGCTAAGCGTCTGAATGTGAAATGTTCTGGTCATTCTTTATGGCGTGTGATAATCTTTAAGAATGTGCTTGAGTCGTTCATTGAGTGTTGTAAATCCCGTAACTGGGTGGCGAAGCCTTTCATCTATTCTGAAGAGCGTTATCGCGCAATTATTGATGAGAGCAGTAGGTTAGAGACTGAATCTCATCGTCAAGAGGCGTTTTTATCACGTATCTATCGTGTAGCATTTTCCGATGTTTTTACATGTTGGATCCATTTAAAGGCTATGCGTGCTTTTTGTGAAGCTGCGCTTAAATTTGGTTTACCTATAAACTTCAATTGTTTTTCTCTTTGGCCTACGGATCGATGTGACATGAACAGTTTGAAGCATACATTGGACTCCATGTTACGTCGTAGTCCTGCGGGTAACGGTACTCAAGGTAAGTTTGTTATGTTTGATTTAGCTGATGTACAGATCATAACGATTTGGATGGAGAGGTGGAATACGATTCTTTTATAAGTTTAAGTTTCAATGTAATTGGTTACTGATTTTCGCCCCAGTGTTGTTTGAGTGTGTGCCCCGCGTAAATAACGCATTGCTATTGGTTGCCAATATTTATTTTTTGTTGGCAGTTACTGCTGATTACTATTTGTTTAAAAATGTTATTGTCTTCTGGTCGTATTATCTGGCGGTCCTGTGTACCGGTTTCCTTTGGTCAGCGTCGTCACGTGGTGAAGTTGGCTAAGAACACTGAGGAGTACCATGCAGCTCTTAAAGGGAGTGAATTTGTGTTAGCTAAATTTGGTGCTAGTTGGTGTAAGCCCTGCCAGAAGGCGAGGGTTTATGTTGATGAGCTGAGTGAGGAGTACCCTAATATGTTATTCCTTGACGTTGATGTAGACGAGTTACCACAGATTGCTGACGAGGAGGGTGTCAATAGTATCCCAATGTATAAGATATTTAAGTATGGGAAGTCTGTTGACGTGCATATAGGTATAGTTTCTCCATATATATATTGTCTGATATATTTCAGGTGGAGACAAGCAGCAGTTGACTGACATGATTAAGAAACACATCTCTGAATAAATATAATTGTATGTGGTTTGGTTAGATGCGGGAATTAATTTGATGATTGGGCGTTGGACACACTAGCGCGTCATTACTTCTTTGGGTCCATCTTGTATGCATAGAAGAACTACTTCCAACATATTGCTTACTAATAATGTAGCTTGATATTTAGGTTTAATTTTGTGTATCGGTATAGCTATGGGCCGTCCAATTGAACTTCATCTTGAAGGTGATGCTATATATTGGTGGGTATAATTTCTCTTAATAATTTCATTGTAACTACAGTTGTGTTGGCTGCGGTATCCCAGTTACATCGTCATATGACTTGATATCCACTAACTTCCGGGGACGTACCGGAAGCGCATGGCTTTTTTCAAGGTAAATTTATTATAGCTACCTTTCCATCTTCCCAGGGCATATAATGTATCCGAGGGCATGGTCGAAGAACGCATGATGACAACAGGTCATCATGCGATATCTGATGTCTATTGTAACGGTTGTGGTAACAATCTCGGTATGTGAGGTGTACATGACCATGTTGACATGTTACAGGCTGGAAATATCATGACGCTACTCAAGAATCACAGAAATACAAGTGTGGTAAAGTTATTCTAGAAAAGGTAATGAGCTTAGTTCACCGTATTAACCTGGCATCAGAGTTTGCTAAAGGGCAGTGATGAAGAGGAGACTAATACCGACGAGTAGCCTTAAGGGGGCCGATTCAGCAGACAACATTTTACTGATATTAAGGTTTTCAGTATACAAATTTATACTTGTGAATGTGGGCAATACCACAAAAATGTTGGCATCCCTTGAACATTATAAGCAGTACGTAGTTAAATAGGTACATGCTGGTCTCTATCTGGTAGGTCGTAGTAATCATTTTTGTAGTCTTTTCTTCTCAATCTGTGGTTAACGTAAATCGGTGGCGTTCCGCGTCGCTGTGGTGACGATACCGAGTTTGCCAATCCACCACCCTCATCGAACACCTCCAGTTGTGCTGCCTCATCTTCATCGTCTTCATATTGTAAAAAGTCCGGAGGCACATGTGCAAACTGTACCCCTGGCGCTCTTTCTACATACCTTAGATTATCGATGATTTTAGTTTTGATCCTTTCTAGGTGTTCTGGGGTGTTATAGTTTGGCATGTTTGTTGGTGTGAGGTGTAGGTTGAAATCCGGCGCGTAGTAATCATAGTATTCGTTTAACGATATCTGTCCAGACATTTCATCATGTTTATCTAGTACAACACCTGTTTCATATGCCCAGCACCTGGCGACATTCCTGATGGTGTATCCACCTCCTCCCAGTACCATCAGTGGTATGTTAAGGCTTCGGCAGAAGGCGACGCATCCTGCGTGTCCCTTGTTGCTTAAATTGAAGCGCCCCAAACGGTCACCAGTTAGACTATCGGCACCACACTGTAGTACGATAGCGCCAGGTTCATATATTTCTACGCACTTGCCAATGACCACCTTAAATAGGTCTACGAATGACTCATCTTCCATTCCGTCGTTGAGTGGTACATTGACGCTGTAGTATTTTCCTGATGCAACACCTACATCTGTAACATCCCCTGTTCCTGGGAAGAAATTTCCGAATTTGTGGAAGCTTACGGTCATGACCCTGTGTGTTACGTAGAATGCTTCTTCTACACCATCACCATGATGTACATCTATATCTATGTACATGACCCTTGCATGGTACTTCAACAGTTCGAGTATTCCAAGTACAATATCGTTAAGGTAGCAGAATCCTGATGCTTCTGACCTTTTTGCATGGTGTAGTCCACCGGACCAATTGACACATATATCAGCTTGTTGGTTGTTTAGTCTGTGTGCTGCATCTATAGACGCTCCACTACAGCTTTGTTGGAATACGTACAATCCATCGAATACTGGGCAATCTGTAGCTTCTCCTACATTGAACCTTTTGAGTTGGTATGCGAAATCGCGATAGTTATCTGGGCTAACTCCTGATAGGAACTGTAGATATTCATGATCATGGAACGCCAAGAGTTCTGGTTCTACTGCCTTGTGTGGTCTGAACACTTCCATATGTCTGTATAGGTCATAGCTGAGTACCAGGGCATGTGCCATTCTTATCCTTTGTGGTTTCATCGGGTGTCCTGGTCCATAGTAGTAGCTGCCCACATCGGGGTCATAGAAGTATGATACCCTTTTTTCCATGTTATATTGTTGTTAGTTTTGTGTTTTTTTCAATAATCCGTTTGTGTCGTTTGTTATCGTGTGTAGGCTTGTTGTTTATCTTCTCTAGGTCTTGTTGTTTGGTCTAGATTGATTAATCAGTTTACCCTGTTTGTTGCTTTTAAAAACCCGATGAATAAACACCGCTCGATCGTTATGGTAGTTTTGTTCGCACTGTTGTACTGCCATGAAACAGTTTGAGTATGTAGATTGTATGGTTGAGTATAGTTGTTCAACGTCCTATCTCTTGTACCATCTGTTTAAAAACAATTGTTATAACGATACGATGTGCGGTGTTATTCTTATAATGTTTCGTTGATGCGAGACAGATGATGTGTGCCTTAGTGATGGGGAGCGTGATGAGATGTGCACGTTGAGAGTGCCTATCATCTAATGTCCTTCCATGTTCCATATACGGTTAATCTTGTTTTGCCTATTGTTATACTTTCCATTATACACCAAGTCATTCTTACCTCGACCCTTAGATGGTATGTTAGTCTATACACAGTGACAGTCTCTCGACAGTCTAAATTGTATCTCATATTGTAACTATATTAAATCGTATATACATCAATGTGTACCATTGCATAAAGTCTGTAATAATTATATTTGCTTATACTATGGAATCTTCCTGTTAAAATCTGTTCATATCGCCTTAGGGTTTAGGGTCGGCAGTGGATCATTTTTGGGTGTAAAATACAAACCCGTGCTCAACTTACTACGACCATCATCACAACGTGTTTGTGCCATTAACAAAGATTTATTAGGTGTTGCTGAGTCTAGAGGCGATAGTACCAATGGGTCACGTGTCCATCGTCTGCTGCAGAAGGCAGGTGTATTATCCAAGGTATCTCCGGGTATATATGCCCTCTTACCGGTGGGTAAGAGGATAATGTCACGTTTGGAGCGTTTGATTCGCGTGGAGATGTCTCGATTGGGTGCATATGAGATTGAGTTACCCCTAATGCAGCCTGAAGGTATCATAACAAGTCGTCAATCTGAATTTGGTGATGACCTTTATAAGTTACATGATAGGTGTGGGCGTGTTTTTCACCTCAGTCCAACCTGTGAGGAGCTTATTTGTGCAGTTGCCAGGTCTACCCTGACCCCTTTGTCTAGGAAACACCTGCCATTGATGTTATACCAGATAAGGACTAAGTTCCGAGACGAACCTCGGCCATGTGACAGTACTATGCGTTGTCGTGAATTTACAATGAAAGATGCATATTCATTCCATGAGGATGTCGATTCCGCTGTTCGCAGCTATGATGATTTCAAGGAATCTTATAAGCGTATACTGGGGCTATTGCAGCTTAATTATACGATAACAAATATAGATATGCCAGGTTGTTTTGAAGACGAATTTAATGTGTCGCTGCCAGTTTCTGAGGGCGGTGGTCACCTGGAAATAGCACATATATTCCAATTAGGTACATCCCTGAGCAAAGAGTCAGGTCTGGAATATGAAGTGGAAGGTAGGGTGAAGCGCCCTGTATACATGAACTCGTATGGCATTGGACTACATCGAGTTCTATACGCATTGGCGGCGCAGCACAGCGATGGCGCTGGGCTGCGCCTGCCTCAAATAATCGCACCATACGATATCGCTATATTGTTATGTGATGTGAGAGGTCGTGACTTAGCGGTTAAATTGCAGAAGCTGCTGGCCCAAAGGGGCCTGGACACCCTGCTTGACGATTCGACCTTACCAGTGAGGCAGCGTGTAGCTGACCTCCGTACAGTGGGTATACCTCATGTTGTGTACGTGCCTGGCTGTGTTGGTGGTCATGCATTAAGGGAGCTTGATGGTGATACTTCTGAGGGGATAATGGCTGGGGCCATTGCGTCGAACAAATATAACCTGGGTCAATCCTACTCTTCGATCCTCGCTCGTAGTGAGGAAGGTATAGGTGATGACATTATGGACAGAGAGGTCCTGTACAGTTGTCGAGGCGTGGACGGAGAGTTTGCCATGACAGTATCCCGTCTACTAGGTCTGCTGTGCGTGTGAGGGTTATGTGTGCGTTCGCATGGTTCTTTGTGCGCAAAGGGAGTGTCACGATATTTACCAACCTGTCTAATATTATACGATATTTATGTATATATAATATTTGGGTAATACAATTTTAGACATTCACACACAAGGGTGGTGTGGTGTATAAATTGATGTGAATATTTTAATTTTCGGTTCCATAAAATAAAAAGTGTTGGATCGTACTGTTCTACTGTCGCGTATCCGCCCCAGTTGTTTCTGTTGAAAGATATCGCGCCATGTATGGTGCGTAAGAAGGTCCCACGTGGTGATGGTTATAACTCTGTATCTTTTGATCAGCGTTCATATCAGCACTAAACGTGTATCGCAAAATTGGCTTAAAATTTGGTATAAATAGTATCAACACACATATAAAATGGCGGCCTGCAGATGGGTTGACGTAGTGAGTAGCGATTCATGTATGTTAAATGTTTTATAATTAATATATATGTATGTTTACAGGCGCTTCGTTTGGTCGTACTGCGTTGTTACGGTATGAAAGAGCTGATAGACGTTCGACTCGGGCTGCCGATGATAACCTGCCATCGGATGGTGAGGTTGAGTCTGAAGAGTTGAAGGATGATTTAACTGTAAATGGATTAGAAATTGACGATTCATTTATTGAACGTGCGGGACATGTTATGGCAACAGAAGCTAGGACTGGTGTAACTATGGAGATGGATCGTAAGATGAAAATCACTTGTGATATCGACGAGGCGATATTACAGGCCGAGTTGGAGAATGACGCCGATGGTGTAGTTTCTCCAAAAATTATGTGCGGAAGTCAGGGCCGTTCTGGGCGTAGTGGATCGAGTCAACCCACTGTAATAACATCATTTTCAGGTTTCCTGGACATGGAAGATAGTATATCTTCAAGGTCACCTAGGTCATCTGCCGCTGCTAGATCACCTAAGGGCACTTCGACAAGTGAGAGTGTTATCAAGAAAGGTGTGTCTGTTGAGTCAAAGGTTGCGTCTCCTGAACGTGATGTCCATCTGAAAAAGGCCGTTGGTAATCCCGATGACGGTTGTGTGAAGGTCTCTACGTCATCGGATAAGTTGGTACCTGCAGAATCGAAGGAGCTTGGTGGATCCGTCAGTGTGTCATCGTCTGTGAATACTGGCGATGACCAAGAGAATGCCAAGAGGTCTAAGGTAGCCCATGAGGGTAGTGGAGGCATCTATTACGATGAGCATACTCACAAACCGTTAAACCCTCCTAAAAAGCAGCATCAACAGAGGGAAAAGATTGACCAGGAGCACATTTCGCAATTGCTATTGAACCAATTCACTCACCCTGAGAACAAGCCAAAGGCCAAAGAAGGTCAACAAAACGGTCGTATATGGAGTCGTCTTAAAGATATAGCTATCGGGAAGTCTACCAAGGTATGTTATTATATATTACTGATTTGATTATTTTCCAGGGTTACCAGAACTACATTAGGAAGGTCCCTCTTGACCAACGTGCGTCCGATGACCCTCATACTCCTAACCTTCGTGAGAATGTGTCCGCGGCAAGGTTTCAAGTGATTTACCGCAAATGGCGTACTGATCTTCACAAGTACGATAACGTATAAGACACCATAAATATCTTCCCGATCATGGGGAAATGTTATATGTTTGATCATAGCCTTTTTCGCGCGTGCCTCTAAAATGGGCTCGCGTTCGCGATGAGTGATATTGATCGCGATATAGAGCAGCTGCGGCGCTGCGAATACCTCAGCGAGACCGAGGTTAGGCTACTGTGCGAAAAGGCTAAGGAGGTATTAATTCAAGAGAGTAACATCCAGCGCGTGGACGCTCCTGTAACTGTAAGTAATTTAGAGATGTTAATATTCTGCTTTGTATGTCGGATGGGTTCGGGGAAGAAGATATTTGGTGTCGCGCCTAAACTTTTGTTTGAAATGTATGAAAGAACAATATAGTTTTCCACATTTTATATATATTCTCAGTGTGCATTGATGAGATAATAACGATTTTATTACATAGGGTGTGTTAGGACATGGCTAACAGTGTCATGCCTAGGTTGTGTTCAGCTAGGTACCCAGTACTGAGCAGCGTAGCTAATTGCTGTTCGGTACGAATCTGGGTTATGCAAATTTGATCGATGTACTATCTCGGTTATATGTTGTGTTTCATGGTACAATATATCCTTCTTTTCATATTAATGTATATTTCCCCTGTAAAGATTAACACATTTTCAGGTTTGCGGGGATATCCATGGACAATTTTATGATTTCAAAGAGCTACTGGAAGTTGGTGAAGATATACCTAAAACGAACTATTTATTTTTGGGTGATTTCGTAGATCGTGGGTATTATTCTGTGGAGACGTTTTTGCTACTGCTTTGCTTCAAAGTACGATACCCAGATCGTATAACGTTAATCCGAGGTAACCATGAATCTCGCAATATCACACAAGTATACGGATTCTACGATGAATGTATACGTAAATATGGAAGTGTAAACGTATGGAGCTACTGTACGGAAATATTTGATTACTTTGCGATAGGGGCATTGATCGATGGTAGTTTTTTCTGTGTCCATGGCGGACTCTCGCCATCGATATCCACTATAGATGAAATTAGATATCTAGATCGCAAACAAGAGGTCCCACATGAGGGACCCATGTGTGACCTTATGTGGAGTGACCCTGAATCTATGGACGGATGGGGAGCCAGTCCTCGGGGCGCAGGATTTCTCTTTGGTGGTGACGTTGTTCGGCAATTCTGTCACCAAAATAAGGTATATAACATAGCAAGGGCACATCAGCTTGTTATGGAAGGGTACAAGTGGTGGTTCAACAAGACACTTGTCACGGTCTGGTCCGCGCCAAACTACTGTTACCGTTGTGGTAACATTGCTAGTATAATGGAGGTTGACGAAACCCTTAATTGCACATTCAAAAAGTTCGATGCTGTGCCGCCGAACAAACGAGGAGTACCAGCTAAAAAACCGTTCCCGGAGTACTTCCTATGATGGTCGGTTGACCATACGCCCAAAATGCGCGTATAGCCATGCGTTAAAGCAATCGCGGAAGGATAACATGATCCCGTTGCACAAAACACACACCAAGGTCCGCAATCGGACGCATACAATGACTGTATATAATATTTTTTAAATACATGATTATTCAGTGTCAATTCTTTATATTAAAGAACTCATATTCCTGCCTACCACGGCAGAACCTCGCTAGACGCATATCATCGATCCTTAGCGTTATGCGCTTCGCATGGTACGAGCAAGCAGTTGATATCTCCAGTAAACGTGTGATCTCATCTTCTGTAGCGGCTTGTAACGCCGATAGTGCCTCCACGGTGAACTTTACGGGCTCAGGACCCCGCCACCACGTTTGCGCTATCTCACGTACTATCCTCGCAAACACTGCTCGTGGTATTAGCAAATGTGTGCTTTTCTGGTATGCCAAAATCTCACGCTCTATACGCGTCAACCCGTTACGCCGTATAACCTTTCCACGCGTATCACGTGATTTTCCGAAATCGTAACCTTTCACAAACCTTACGTCACCATCTTTATCAACATACATTCTATCAGAATTTTTATGTAACATTTTGTTCATGCGATAACGAATCAACGACTCCACTGCCTGCTGCTTACTCATAGACCCCCTTTTGAATTCAGCTATGATCCTTGCTGGAGATAGCACTGATACCGGTTTAATTGCTTGTCTTTTTGGTAGAGGCGCTGCTCTGGCTTCTGCCAGTACCTGCGCAGCCACTTCATCTGTGACCTGAGTACGTGGTCCCGCGATAGACGAGGACACTACAGCCGTTGTGGTACTACGTCTTGGCGGTATCTCCGAGTGCTCGCTAACAGTGTTCCTGCTGGTATTAGTGGACCTTACAAACGCTGTCTCGCCTATATCGATGGGACGGTCCACCACGCTGACCCTAGGATATCGCTCCTCTCTTGTCGGTGTTATAATTTCACGCGATATCCCTCCCACGCTCGTAGTGCTTAATCTACTCGGTACGTCGTTAGCAACTGTCCCTATCGACGTGAGGCTATCTAGTAACCTGCTGGCTCTTGAACCCCTGACAGCTTGTGACATGCTTGGTCTCGGTGGTGGTACCGATTCTCCATAGCTGTTTACGGATCTTGCTGAAGAGCTTTGTGCGCTGCGTGTAACTGACAGCGGTTGTGGTGAAATGGGTTGCGTAGCGTCGATATGTGTCTCTTCATTTTGATCATGTACCGATTCTTCTTCTGATGAGGAGGAGGGTACTTCGAAAACCTCGGTACCTAGTGGGTGTACTAGAGGCGTGCCAACCACTGGTATCCTGCTCTCGGGAAAGTCGGTACCCGTAGCATCCACGTACTCCACACCTTCATCAGGGGTATCGTACCCATCATCGATATCTCTGTATGCCATTGTAATTGCACAATCTATCGGTAGATATCATAAATTGATGATAATCTCGCTTTACGATATACAGTTGCAGATATGAACTCTATCGGTTTATCCAATAAAAATATTTTTACACAAAACCGGTAGACTTCAATCTAACTAAGTCACAGACAGCTGAATGATAGCGCACTTTTCATTTCTTCTTGAAAATACCTTAGGAAAAATAAAGCGATAAACAATACGCCGCTAGTTTCTAATGGATTGCTGCGAAATAACCACGGTTAGAATCTAGGTTTAACATATGAATCCGTATAGCATAAAATTGCAATACACAGTTAATGTTGGGTATCGGGATATATCACAATTGTTTAATGATCCATAATCTTGTGTATATCCTTAGTGCTTGAAGGTTATAAGAAGCTGCACGGTGTATTGTTTACACATTTATGGATCATCATGATATCTTTGGTTAAAATTATTCTGATGAATCAATACTTCATCGAAATATTAATGATGTGTTATATAATGGCACTGCGGGCAGTGTCAATAGGAGGACTGGTCTATGGGTATGGCGATCAGTGGTCTCCCCATTAAGATAGGAAATATATGGTCTTGATTACGATATAATTGTGACTTAACATAGTGTTGGATTATATTTTAGCGTATGTACGTAGACTATGCCCCAATTTCAGGCGCCTGGTGATTGGATGTGGTAGCTGCTAGGTGTAACTATAGCATAACGCTGGGCCTTGTCAAGTCTATAAAAAATGGCGTGTCGCATCGGTAGGATGCTCACACGCCCATCTGTCAATTCACCATTAAGGTGTCGTGATAATGGACCCTCTGGATCATGTCGGACATATGTCCATTTCTCTCGGACACAGACACATGATTTCGAATTGCCGATCGATACCATGCCGAAGGATATTGACACCCTCATGAAAACCGACCCCAAGATGATGGACTATTTCGGAAGCTACTGGTATTGGCGGATACGGGGGGAATCCACTCTTATGGACCCCGAGTCCCTTCCCAAGAAATCATACAAACAACTGGCCGTTGACCTTGGAATGCAAGTTGTCAATGAACCCTCGGAGCACATGCTGGGACTACTGGAGCTATACGAGTACCTGAAGACATCACCGTTTGTTGGACCCTTTGGCACCATCAAGAACCCCGTACTGGTACCCAGTGTACTAACAGAGAGGTATGTCCATTATATATATATATATATATATATATATATACGACTGACACAATTTGTGTTTTTTATATGTATCCAAAATTTAACGTCATCGATGATTGACCAAATATCAATTCACGCGATATAGCTAAATTTTCATGATTATATATATATATACATATATCGATTACAAATTGTATTATGCATTACATATATTTTTATTATTGAAATCTACGTGTTATCCAAATATCATAATGTGACTTTTTTTCAGTAATGTAAGTATAATTTAATTCTATTACATCACAGTTATATCAAATTATTATACATTTCCTAAGTTTATTATTACAATATATATCGTATATTCGTCATACACTTAAATCCATTACTTAAAAATATTGAAACAACACGGCATTAACCACATGTAATCATCCGATGAATATTATACACGTCATCGTTTATTACAATGTCATGTAATTCCATACTTCAGATATTAAATTGCAGCATATGTCGTTTTGTCACACAACATTCATACATAAATGGAATATTTTAAAGCTTAGAATATTGATCATTTATTTGTTATGACGTATGCATACATATTAAATATACTGCGTAAAATATATGTTGTCTTTAATATTATTGCGATATGTAATGTAAACTGCGTGTTATCATAAAATTATATATATATATATATAAGTTCATAATATTACCAATATTACGTAAGTATCATATATTCAGTATTGATATACGTAAAAATGCGTAATCTGTTGCGTCGCAATTTGTCGAATAAATATGATGAATATTAATATTATTGACAATATTTTACGTGAATTTTATATATATATATATATATATTATACATTCTGCTGCTTCATCAAATTATATAAGCGAAATACGTCGTAGCGTTATCGATTTATAAATTTTGCTGCACAAAACATTGATTTATATTGTGCAATGCATCATGCATATTATCATATTATATCCGTTATATTTCACACAAAAGCTATGTTAGCACAAATGACAATTATACTTAATAATGCGCAATGCATATATGATATTGATAGCATAAATGTGTAGTTTTCATTTAATTGATTGATGCGCATTTTTATATTTCAGCAAACGAATTGAAGCATTACGAAAAATGACGTCGATATTGTACAGTATATTGCAGTACATAATTTAATTAATAATATGTAAACCATATATATGTCATCATAAAATATGAATATATTCGTAAATTGTTTGTATATTCGATAACATCTATTAGAAATATCGCAATATACACATATTTACGTAATATGTATGGAAAATATATTTTCGATGAGCGTAGAATTTTCACTCAGCTTTGTGTAGAAAAATTATAATAGTCGATATTAAATGAATATTGCAACGATTGACATATATATATATATATATATATATATATATATATATATGTCAATCGTTGCAATATTCATTTAATATCGACTATTATAATTTTTCTACACAAAGCTGAGTGAAAATTCTACGCTCATCGAAAATATATTTTCCATACATATTACGTAAATATGTGTATATTGCGATATTTCTAATAGATGTTATCGAATATACAAACAATTTACGAATATATTCATATTTTATGATGACATATATATGGTTTACATATTATTAATTAAATTATGTACTGCAATATACTGTACAATATCGACGTCATTTTTCGTAATGCTTCAATTCGTTTGCTGAAATATAAAAATGCGCATCAATCAATTAAATGAAAACTACACATTTATGCTATCAATATCATATATGCATTGCGCATTATTAAGTATAATTGTCATTTGTGCTAACATAGCTTTTGTGTGAAATATAACGGATATAATATGATAATATGCATGATGCATTGCACAATATAAATCAATGTTTTGTGCAGCAAAATTTATAAATCGATAACGCTACGACGTATTTCGCTTATATAATTTGATGAAGCAGCAGAATGTATAATATATATATATATATATATAAAATTCACGTAAAATATTGTCAATAATATTAATATTCATCATATTTATTCGACAAATTGCGACGCAACAGATTACGCATTTTTACGTATATCAATACTGAATATATGATACTTACGTAATATTGGTAATATTATGAACTTATATATATATATATATAATTTTATGATAACACGCAGTTTACATTACATATCGCAATAATATTAAAGACAACATATATTTTACGCAGTATATTTAATATGTATGCATACGTCATAACAAATAAATGATCAATATTCTAAGCTTTAAAATATTCCATTTATGTATGAATGTTGTGTGACAAAACGACATATGCTGCAATTTAATATCTGAAGTATGGAATTACATGACATTGTAATAAACGATGACGTGTATAATATTCATCGGATGATTACATGTGGTTAATGCCGTGTTGTTTCAATATTTTTAAGTAATGGATTTAAGTGTATGACGAATATACGATATATATTGTAATAATAAACTTAGGAAATGTATAATAATTTGATATAACTGTGATGTAATAGAATTAAATTATACTTACATTACTGAAAAAAAGTCACATTATGATATTTGGATAACACGTAGATTTCAATAATAAAAATATATGTAATGCATAATACAATTTGTAATCGATATATGTATATATATATATAATCATGAAAATTTAGCTATATCGCGTGAATTGATATTTGGTCAATCATCGATGACGTTAAATTTTGGATACATATAAAAAACACAAATTGTGTCAGTCGTATATATATATATATATATATATATATATAATGGACATACCTCTCTGTTAGTACACTGGGTACCAGTACGGGGTTCTTGATGGTGCCAAAGGGTCCAACAAACGGTGATGTCTTCAGGTACTCGTATAGCTCCAGTAGTCCCAGCATGTGCTCCGAGGGTTCATTGACAACTTGCATTCCAAGGTCAACGGCCAGTTGTTTGTATGATTTCTTGGGAAGGGACTCGGGGTCCATAAGAGTGGATTCCCCCCGTATCCGCCAATACCAGTAGCTTCCGAAATAGTCCATCATCTTGGGGTCGGTTTTCATGAGGGTGTCAATATCCTTCGGCATGGTATCGATCGGCAATTCGAAATCATGTGTCTGTGTCCGAGAGAAATGGACATATGTCCGACATGATCCAGAGGGTCCATTATCACGACACCTTAATGGTGAATTGACAGATGGGCGTGTGAGCATCCTACCGATGCGACACGCCATTTTTTATAGACTTGACAAGGCCCAGCGTTATGCTATAGTTACACCTAGCAGCTACCACATCCAATCACCAGGCGCCTGAAATTGGGGCATAGTCTACGTACATACGCTAAAATATAATCCAACACTATGTTAAGTCACAATTATATCGTAATCAAGACCATATATTTCCTATCTTAATGGGGAGACCACTGATCGCCATACCCATAGACCAGTCCTCCTATTGACACTGCCCGCAGTGCCATTATATAACACATCATTAATATTTCGATGAAGTATTGATTCATCAGAATAATTTTAACCAAAGATATCATGATGATCCATAAATGTGTAAACAATACACCGTGCAGCTTCTTATAACCTTCAAGCACTAAGGATATACACAAGATTATGGATCATTAAACAATTGTGATATATCCCGATACCCAACATTAACTGTGTATTGCAATTTTATGCTATACGGATTCATATGTTAAACCTAGATTCTAACCGTGGTTATTTCGCAGCAATCCATTAGAAACTAGCGGCGTATTGTTTATCGCTTTATTTTTCCTAAGGTATTTTCAAGAAGAAATGAAAAGTGCGCTATCATTCAGCTGTCTGTGACTTAGTTAGATTGAAGTCTACCGGTTTTGTGTAAAAATATTTTTATTGGATAAACCGATAGAGTTCATATCTGCAACTGTATATCGTAAAGCGAGATTATCATCAATTTATGATATCTACCGATAGATTGTGCAATTACAATGGCATACAGAGATATCGATGATGGGTACGATACCCCTGATGAAGGTGTGGAGTACGTGGATGCTACGGGTACCGACTTTCCCGAGAGCAGGATACCAGTGGTTGGCACGCCTCTAGTACACCCACTAGGTACCGAGGTTTTCGAAGTACCCTCCTCCTCATCAGAAGAAGAATCGGTACATGATCAAAATGAAGAGACACATATCGACGCTACGCAACCCATTTCACCACAACCGCTGTCAGTTACACGCAGCGCACAAAGCTCTTCAGCAAGATCCGTAAACAGCTATGGAGAATCGGTACCACCACCGAGACCAAGCATGTCACAAGCTGTCAGGGGTTCAAGAGCCAGCAGGTTACTAGATAGCCTCACGTCGATAGGGACAGTTGCTAACGACGTACCGAGTAGATTAAGCACTACGAGCGTGGGAGGGATATCGCGTGAAATTATAACACCGACAAGAGAGGAGCGATATCCTAGGGTCAGCGTGGTGGACCGTCCCATCGATATAGGCGAGACAGCGTTTGTAAGGTCCACTAATACCAGCAGGAACACTGTTAGCGAGCACTCGGAGATACCGCCAAGACGTAGTACCACAACGGCTGTAGTGTCCTCGTCTATCGCGGGACCACGTACTCAGGTCACAGATGAAGTGGCTGCGCAGGTACTGGCAGAAGCCAGAGCAGCGCCTCTACCAAAAAGACAAGCAATTAAACCGGTATCAGTGCTATCTCCAGCAAGGATCATAGCTGAATTCAAAAGGGGGTCTATGAGTAAGCAGCAGGCAGTGGAGTCGTTGATTCGTTATCGCATGAACAAAATGTTACATAAAAATTCTGATAGAATGTATGTTGATAAAGATGGTGACGTAAGGTTTGTGAAAGGTTACGATTTCGGAAAATCACGTGATACGCGTGGAAAGGTTATACGGCGTAACGGGTTGACGCGTATAGAGCGTGAGATTTTGGCATACCAGAAAAGCACACATTTGCTAATACCACGAGCAGTGTTTGCGAGGATAGTACGTGAGATAGCGCAAACGTGGTGGCGGGGTCCTGAGCCCGTAAAGTTCACCGTGGAGGCACTATCGGCGTTACAAGCCGCTACAGAAGATGAGATCACACGTTTACTGGAGATATCAACTGCTTGCTCGTACCATGCGA